AGGTAGAGTTATAGTTGTAGGTCTAGGAGTCTAGTTATAGTTGTTGGTATAGTTATAGTTATAGTTGTAGTCATAGTTGAAGTTGTAAAGTTATAGTTATAGTTGTAGCATGTTGTAGCTATATATATATATATATAGAGGTGTATATTTATCGATGGCTATTTACCTATAGTATAGTTCATTATTTATATATAATGAGTTTTATAGTTACTATTGTTTATTAAATTAACTTGGCTAACCATCTACAAGCAATAAGTATAACCATCTATCTAGATGGGTATCAGCTATAGATTATAGCTAATACCAGTTTATAGCTATAATAAGGGTTTATAACCTATAGTAATTATATATATACTTCTCTATGACAGTAGTGGATATAGTGATATGATGATGGTTGGGGATGGGGATGGTGGGGTTGGTTTAGTTTAGTCAATGAAGGGTTGACTGTACTTTAGTTGCTATATATTAATTGGTATGGTTAGTCAGTGGTTATGTTACAATTGATATCTATGGCCGGGATTTTTTCCCCGAGATGCATGAGTCTAGTTAATGCTATGGGGTGACCATTGTACTGTAATGAACACATATTCTATAGTTAATGGTTATAGTTAATGATGGGATAGTTTTATCTACACCTATCAACTAATGGCTCCCTTATCTATATCTAATATCTATATCTAATATCTATATCTAATATCTATATCTAATATCTATATCTAATATCTATATCTAATATCGTTTAGCTATATCTACAGCAAGACCCTATGGTTTGCCCGGACTCCCTACGAGCATTCGGGCACACTATGATGATAATGATGATGGTGATGATGATGATGGTGATGATGATGATGATGATGCTAACGAAGATCGTATGGTTATGTATGGTTAGTTGTTCCATGGGGGCGGGAGTTTTATATCTTATGTGAACCAAAAGCACCTTAGTTGCGGTATGGTTAATTAGTTGTTCCGTGGTGGGAGCGACTTTATATCTTATGTACATCCTGAAAAAAACCTGCGTGATAGCGGTACGGTTTGCTTGCCAAGCTGCAATGCAATGCTCACTGCGTCAACACAATTTCATGTGTTTTGTTCGAGGTCGTTTGAATTTCATTGGTTCCCCACCTGCCAGGTGAGGGTTGTTAGATTTTATTTGTTAGATTTTATGTCAGCCTCCTCCTGCCTCCTCCTGCCTCCTCCTGCCTCCTCCTGCCTCCTCCTGCCTCCTCCTGCCTCCTCCTGCCTCCTGCCTCGTCCTCCTCCTCCTCCTCTCCTCCTCGTCCTCCTCGTCCTCCTTGTCATCCTTGTCGTCCTCGTCGTCCTCGTCGTCCTCGTCGTCCTCGTCGTCCTCGTCCAACTGCGACCCGCGATCCACAGTGTTCTCTGCCGGACCTCAACCACGACCATCCACGCCCAGTGTTCCCTGCCGGACCTCAACCGCGAGTATCCCCGCCCAGTGTTCCCTGCCGGACCTCAACCACGACCATCCACGCCCAGTGTTCCCTGCCGGACCTCAACCGCGAGTATCCACGCCAAAAGATATGGCACATAGAGTGCCAGAAGATATGCCAGATAGAATGTTAGAAGATATGCCAGATAGAATGCCAGAAGGTATGCCAGATAGAATGCCAGATAGAATGTCAGATAGAATGCCAGAAGATATGCCAGATAAAATGCCAGAATGTTTGCCAGATAGAATGCCAGCAGATTTGCCAGATAATATGCCAGAAGATATGCTAGATAGAATGCCAGATGGAATGCCAGAAGATTTGCCAGATAATATGCCAGAAGATATGCCAGATAATATGCCAGAAGATATGCCAGATAGAATGCCAGATGGAATGCCAGAAGATATGCCAGAACATCTGCCAGAAGATATGCCAGAACATCTGCCAGAAGATATGCCAGGTAGAATGCCACAGAAGATATGCCAGATAGAATGCCAGATCGAATGCCAGAAAATATGTCAGATAGAATGCCAGAAGATTTTCCAGTAACAAAATGTATAAATGTCATGGTGGGGATCACACGAAGTAAAGTAATTTTTATACTTTTCCGTTCTTGGGCAAACCATGCGGAATTACAAATACCTAAGATCTACCATAAGCTCTAGGTAAACCACTTGCAAACCAACGTAACTAGCTATGGGGATCACTTTGTAGTTGTTGACGAAAATCCTCCAAAAAAGTTGAACCATGTTCCACTACGACATGGATCACTAGCCCTTTGCTAACGCACTGTAATTGCCATTAATGCTGATATTTGTCAAACAATTCCCCCAAACATACTTTGCCCCCAATAAAACTATTTCCACTCCTTTCCTCTGGGACCCCCAAACATTTATGCAAATCACAAGTTGTAGGTGATCGGGAACTGAATTGATGAATTTTTTCGGATTTAATTTTGAAACAATTTTAGATTTGTAGTTTTAACATTTAACAACATGTAGCTTTAACATGCTTTAACATTTGAAATTTCAGATCAAGAAGGAATCAATAAAGTTGCATAATCAACAAATACACTTGGCATATGTAGTCTTTCACGGGGTTATTGATCAGTCATTTCTAATAATTGATTTTACAGTGGTTTCGAAATCAAATGTGAACATGATTTGACGTATCAAATCTTAGCACAGGGCAAGGAATACATTGATCAGCCAATTCATAACATACCTCATGGGAAAGAAGGTTTTTCGACCCTCAAAAACTAGGTGAAAAATGGTCAACACATTCAAACCCCTCAGGTCGAACGGAGCCGAGAAAAAACAGGCGGGGCAGCGGCCGCAGCTGCGTCTGTGTAGCCAGGCTGTATGCTTCATGTGTGATCATAGATATGGGCAATTTAACCCCAGATTTTTTGTATAGTTTCCCTGTTTATCAGCTCCATGTACAACCGTGTACCCACGTTTGGTCGATTTCTGGGCTAAATGCTACGAACTAGACCACATATGGTAATTCAATTCGTATAATTTATGGTATACAAAGAACTTACCTGGTTGGTGGTTTGGAACATTTTTTATTTTCCCATATACTGGAAATAATAATCCCATTTGACTAATATTTTTCAGAGGGGTTGAAACCACCAACCAGTATTTCACAGTGAAACATAGTGTCCCAAGTTATAAACGAAATCCATAGCCATAGATCAAGAGGCTATGAACAACAGGATAAGTCATGGACAAGAAACAATCACCTTGGATTTTCACCCACACTGGCCCACACTCATTTACAGGCCAAAGTTGACATATTTAGGTACCTTAAAGTGGATTGTTCAATTCTACTGACCAATATCTAAGATTACCAGGGTCAGTTTTGACTATCACTGGTTGGTTAAATCCCCAAGCTGTGTTGATTTTCATCCACCTTCTTGGTTGAATCGAGCTTCGAGAAGCTGCTTCTCTTGTGATTCGTTTCTTCATTTGTTATAGAAAGTGGTGGCCCCTCAATTATAAGTTGGATTCTAACCCCTATGAGTTATTTTTTGTTATTTCATTACCACCCAGCTACTCTAGTTGTACTAACCAACTTAGCATCATTCTTTGGGGTACCATACAGTTATGGCCCGACATACCAAATGGGATTAAGTACTTATAATCCCATTTATGGAATGTATAATCCCATTGAAATAACCAGGTATAACTAATAGCCATGGCCATAAGTGTAGTTTGACATAGTGGACGTGCGCGTCCCCAGAGGTTTTGTGTCGCCGCATCACCTCTTCGGAGGCCACGCCATGAGTCGAGAGATTTGTTTTTTGCAGAGCCATGTGGCCGCTTGGGTGCTGCTTGAGCTGCTGGGGATTTAATGGGATTTAATCTCAACCCATTAATTAGGGTATTCCCCAAATAGTAAGAATCTGATACTTAAATGGTACCCCGGATTAAACAGCCTAATGCCGGTTTATTCATCCAAAGTTGATACTAGTGGGAATTGTGTGAGATTTATATCCTGGAATTTGAGGTGCTTTGGGGTGCAGTTCTACTTCATAAGTGGCTGAGTAGATAGATGTAGATAGCCATAGTTCAAGTTTATAACATTATATAAACTAAAGGCCCAACTGCAGTGGACTTCTTTGCAGTCTAAAAAATGAGGCTTTTGGAATGCAAAACACACTCATATTTCCCATTATGTCTATAACATATATAATATGTATATATATATTATAGAAAGAGAGAGATGAGGATTTCCGAAAATTAGACCATTTAATATTGAAACCCATGATTTTGGTGATCCCCCATTCTAAAAGAGCCCCCAAAATATATCCGAATAGGTTATGTAGTGATGCCCACGGCATGGCCACTGGGAGAGGGCGAGCGCTCAGCCGGGAACATAGGGAAGTAACCTTGGAGTTTCTCACTTAAGTGTGGTGCGGATGTCTATTTTTATTTATGAACAGTTCACGTGTAAAATGATATGGGAATAGTCCCCCAACTCTTTTTTAGGTGTTGCCACAGTTCGTCAACTAAGTTGGAGCAGTACGTGAACTACGGAACTAGGGATTATGGAAGTTTAGGGTAGATATATATATATATCGTGACATATCTACAGTTATATTAGGTTGATTTCTACGTCAACCAAAATGGCAGTGTGTCAAAACCTTGTACCCCTGGTGAACATCAAAATAGCTGGTAAATGGATGTTCATCCCCCTAAAAATGGTATTAATAGGTATTGATCCATACCCAAATCACTGGGGAGTTCCTCCGTCTTGACTTGGACTTCTCATTTCGCCTTCGCCAAGGAATCACTTCAGACTGGCTGCAGCTTAGCGGCGGACCATGCGCTTTCCGTGAAGGATGAGGTGCTGTGAGGGCTGTGAGTCCTGTGAGAGTCGCCCCACAATGAATGGAGATACATGGGATATTTAAGGAATGGGAAAATAGTGGAAACATCTGAGGCTTCATATGGAATATAAGATAATATAAATATATAGGATCATGACGGTTTCACTATGAATAAGGGAATTTTATATGGTGAACATACGGAGAATTATGGGATAATGATAGAAAACACCATCCCGGTTGGGGTTGAACTTGGGTATGCCATGTTTTTTCGGGATGATGTTATGATTACCCCTTGTTGGTTTCTGGGGTGGCCAGGCGTAACCCAGGTACTGAACTGTGAATCTTGGAACTTTCCTTGGCACCTGAAATTTTGTGCAGACTTTCATTCTTAGAATGGCTACAGTTATGGCCCTTAACAGTTTTAAATTTAAATGGAATTATAACTCCTACAACTAAGGTTATATGATATATATATACATATCATTATATCATTATAAGCCCATTTAAAACTGTTAAGGGCCATAAGTGTAGATTAGATCCCAGATGTTCTTGCTGAAACCACAGGAACTTTTATTCCCAATTGTTGCGAGTTAAATCCCCCAGACTATACCCCCATTGTATCCCCATTCATCACCATTATTCATTATTCAAAATCCAGTTTTTGTGCTCAAGTTTCAACCGTAAAATCCCAGAATGTTTGATGCTCAAATCAACGATCCCAATGTGTGATGCTTCAATCCAAAAAAAGGTGCTTAAATCCCCTGGTAAACGGGCTAACATAGCTATGGAACATCACCATTTTTCATGGGTAAATCCACTATTTCGACTGGGCCATTTTCTATGTCGCAAAGTGTGAATGTTTACCAGGCCGGGTAAATCCCCTGGTTTCGCTTTCATTTTCTTAAGTCCCACACCTTGATCTTTAAATCGTAAGGCTGGTTGGTTTGGAACACGAATGGATGATTTTTTCCATTCAGTTGGGAATGTCATCATCCCAACTGACGAACTCACTAACTCATATTTTTCAGAGGGGCTGAAACAACCAGCCACCAGTAAGGATTTTAAAGAAGTTTTTCAGGCTTTATCGAGATTTCAGTGGTAAATCCCTTAATCTCATGGGAAATTCCCGGAATTTTCGCTTCATTTCCCCCCGAAATCCATGGGAAAACGCCAGGTGCGAAGCTTCCAGCGTCGGATCGAGGAGATTCAAAGACAGTCGCAGCAAGCGAAGGAGGAGGTGCCGGTGACGCCAGTCAGGGCAAGGCTTCTCCGGGGATTTCCGCGACGATTTAAACAACGGTGGTTGAAGGGTTTGGGCCAAGCAAAATATGATGACTGGTTGGTGCTTTGGAACATGAATTTTATGACTTTCCATATATTGGGAACAATGATCCCAACTCACGATCTCATATTTTTCAGAGGGGTTCTGAAACCACCAACCAGGATGAATATGATGATTTTCTGGTTGGTGGTTTCAAACATTTTTTATTTTCCATAATATATGGGATAATCCTTCCCATTGACTAATATTTTTCAAGATGGTTAAAACCACCAACGAGTGATGAATATGATGATTTTGATTGGATTTCATGAGTATTGTGGATTGTTTTCTGAATTGAATGGGGATGTAATGGATTTGAAGGGGATTAGGGGGGGAATTAACCATAAAACAAGAGGGGTCAGACCAAGAAATCATGGGTTTGAAAACAGACATGTCCAACTAAGAGTCTAGGCAAGAACTACTGGATTGGAGACGCATCAGATGTGGAAAGCTCAGGGTCCAAGAGTGGAAACGTCATTAAACACTTATATTCTTGGGGTACAGTTCCACTATACATACCCATTATATATCCCAAACGCATCCAAATGCTGGATGCATGGTGTATTCCCCAAGATTCATCCTAAAATTGGTCCAAAATTTGGAGAGAAAGCATAACAAACATGGAGCATTTGGGTATGAGAGGCTTGTTATTGGGTAAAACCCTATTTGGGATGATGTAACATGACTCACACATTATCCTATTGCTAGGGGTATATCAAATTTCAGAAGCCTCTATTGAGGATTGTTTATAAAGCATTGGCTTTACCACGCTACCCAGTTATAAAACCCAATAATGTGGTTCATGTGGTAAACTCAAGTAAACCCAAGAACAAATCATATGTGGGTACTAGTACCCTCTGGTAATTTAACATAGCTATTGAAATTTACCATTTATAGTGGGTTTACCCATTGAAAATGGTGATTTTTCCATAGTTATGTTAGTTTACCAGAGGTAAATTAGATTAGAACATCAAAAAATATAGACTGGTACACTAAATGATTGTGGTAAAGTAATCATTACAACAGTTTTTAACCATACGCAATAAAATATGGTAAAACCATGTAAAACAAGGAAAAACAATCCAATAATACAGATCATTCATCAGTAATCAAGGATATTATGATATATGGTGTATAGTATATATAAATAATAGTAAATACAATTGATAAACCATAAATGATATTGCCACTCTGTAAAATGGAATTATATTTATTGCATAGTGGTATTTATCGTTATTCCACCCATTTTACAAGACCCAATCATTTAACGATAAAAAACAGTTTACAAATCACCACATTTTCCCACATTGAATTATAATCAGCGCCCAGATTCTACAAATACTACTCTATAATTACCATTTCCCATTAAAACCGCATTTGAGCTGGTATTTTCATGCATTTTTCATTGCCACATTTGACTACTGGAGAGTATTGGGCTTTAAAATCCAATCATGTCTAGTTGTAACTTCCAGTTCAATAATTTATAGCTAGGTATAATAACCGTTAGGTAACAATCTAGTTTACTTTATAATAATAAACATTTAGATTCGGATCTATTGGGTTTATAAAATTGCTAGATATGAAAATAGATGGTATATGTTTGCCCATTTAAAAGCTAATATCATCGGAAAAAAACAATAAATGGGTATTAGCTGGCTATTGATAATATCATACCATAAAAAATACCATCAATAGCCATTTAGTGACTAATACCATCTATAAAAAAACCAATAAAGTTCATCCATTTAAATATACAGATACTTTAAATATACAGTTATCCAATAAAGTTAATCCATCTATTTAAAAGCTAATACCATCTATAAATACCATCAAAATCCCAATAAAGTTAATCTTGGTATCAATGGGATTGTGGCTATTATATCCCAATATCATATCCCATGATCATTATCAATGGCTAATATTGATATCCCATTATATCCCATTATATCCCATTATATCAATATTAGCTATTGGTCAATATCCCATTATATATATATATTGTAGGAAGATATCATTATATTCAATTATATCCCATGACGGTATATCCCATTATATCCCATTGTATCCCATTAAAACCCATTAAATCACCATTTAATGGCTATTGATGGCTATTGGTCATCTCGTTAGATCCTGTTCGACGCTGAGCCGAGGCATCAGGCGCCCAGCAGGCGCAGCGGAGCTGTCAGGAGGAGCTGACCGAGGTGAAGAGTTCCATCCAGCGCTGCCGGCAGGTGCCGTGGAGTTCGCCGGGAAACGATGTGGATTCCATGGTCAATACTCATGGTTAATAACCATTAATAGGGGCTAGTCATCCAATGGTTCATAGGGATTTATAATAACCATTATAAGGATCCTTATTATGGATGGGATGACCATCAACCATATAGTGAGTATTGACCATGGCTCATGTGGATTCCATGGATTTCAGCCTCAAAAATGTGGATTTCATGGATTTCTGCTGGATTTCAGCATCAAAATCCATGGATTTCACGTAGGGTTGTTGGATGGGTTGCTGGGGGTTGCTGGGGGTTGCTGGGATGATGACATTACTAGTGATGACTGGGATTCCCGAAAATTCCCAGGAAACATAGGGATTTAAACATAGGGATTCCAGTAAGAATTATTGGTGACCATCCCATCAATTCACACATTGACCCTAAGAATAGCTATCTTCCAAACCCCTAAATTTGGCTTCATGTTGGGGCGGTAATGGGACATCGCAGTGGGATTGATCTGGGATGCACAGATAGGTTGAGAAGAAACCATGGTGTCCGTGGCATGCTTTGCGCACGCGGTTGGTCTGCTTGCGATGGCTGGTTGCCCCGGTTGATCAACGAGGTCTCCATGAAGAATGACAAAACGATCTTAAACGATAGTAACCAATGTATTCTCATATACAATTCTCCATTAACCAATATCTATATATATATAGAATTATATAGATATATTTATCCATATCAGTCAACGATACAACTGGTTCTCGCTTTCAAGTGGATTTGGGATCATGATCCCCAAGGGCTATGTGACTATGATTGACTATGGTATTATTCGAGGTGGATGAAACATAAAAACAACCAGACACTGTCGAATGGTAGTATATCCACAAGAGCAATATTTTTACATGCTGGATTTCTGTCTATGTTTCCATATCTTTTCTATGTCCTTTTCTATGTCCAACATATTGCACTTGAAAGCAGTATGAACCTTCTGAAACTACCCTCTGGTAAACGTTTACATAACTATGGAATATCACCATTTTCAATGGGTAAATCCACTATTTCGACTGGGTCATTTTCAATAGCAAACTGTTAAATTACCAGAGGGTATATCCCATTCATAATCCATTAAATCACTATAAATTCCCATTAAACAGCAATAATTCACCATTTTTTACCATGTCTGTTGGCGAAGACATCGACACAGGAGACGTCTCAGGTGCAGCACGAACTCCATGTTTCGGAGAGTCGGCTGCAGAAGGTGGGGGGGGGTGGTGCGGATCGCCTTGAGCTGTTTGAGCCAAGATGGTTCACTGGCTTCCCCTCTGGTAAACATACAAAAAGCTATAGAAAATGGCCATTTATAGTGGATTTACCCATAAAAAATAGTGATTTCCATAGTAAAACTAACATAGCTATAGAAAATGGCCTATTCATAGTTGGTTCGGTATGTAATATCCAGTTAATGGGGCAACGTAAACCAAATAAACCAACAAACAGAACTGAGGGACACCACAGTTTATGTGGGGATGAATAGAACAGTTCAACACCTATGATGTTCAGTCACTATCTATTGCCTATGGTGGTTGCTGGGGCCGTGCTGGCGTCATCTGTAACAATGTCTACAAATCCGTCAAAGCCATGACATGCACAATTCAAACTTGGGCCCCTTTCCTGCAGGTACCAATATATACAGTCCAACATATATTGTCTATATTTATTATATTTATTATATATATATATTTATCATATATATTTTATATATACCAATGTGTTCATTTATTCATCACATACTAGCATTCTACCGATGCTGTGGTTTTGCCTGGAATTCTATTGGGGTTACTCTTTCTGAGACATCCAGTCGTTCAGTGGGATTATCTAAAAATGAGTCAGAACAAATGAACGGTATGCTGTGTATTTTCATCTTTCTATTTTTCTATATTCCTATCTATATCTGCTATATAGATATGCATACAATAGATATATATATATATATCCATATGTATGTATATATATATGTATTACCAGATATATATAAACTACAGTACATGTAATGATCATAGCAGGTAGCTCTCTCCAGGTGAAGGAGGATGGAGAGCGCGAGGCGCAGAAAAGCCTGAAGCGCCTTCAGGCGAGGCCCCCTTGGTTTCTTGCGGTGAAGCAATCAACGTGGGGTATACAACTCACCATTTTGTATGCAAAATGTGACTGGAAATAGCACGGGATATAAGGGATATAATTCATCTATGGATTTGAATATACATATAGATCTTCTGGGTTTATAACTCATCATTTCTTAAGGTTCTTATAATCAACTTGGGGTGTATATATATATATATACACATGGCGGTTATGGAATATCATGGGATCTATTTTTTGCACCTTGACATGATGAGTGTTCCTGAAAGTTGGGGCCTCCACCTTTGACATGGCCTTTCTGACAATGAACATGATGATTAACTACTGGATAGAATGGGGCCCGATATCAGACAAACCCATAAAGTATGGCTTCTAACCAGTAGAAATATGGTGATACAATTGATAAATGATGTTTGATTAGGCATTTAATGGCATTTATGCATCAAACATAAGGGTTTTGTGTGGTTCGAAGTATCACACCCTATATAATTTTATAATTCGCAATCCATTCTTTGAGGGATTCTCCACCAATCCACACATTTTTCAGATGAATCAAACCCAAAACGCATCAAACAACAATGTAAAACCTTGAAACAACATCTAAAACCGACATCTGAAATCCATCAACACCAGTTTTTCCTATGCTTTTCCTATGGTTTTCATGGGTTTTCATGGGTTTTGATGGGTTTTCCTAGGGCTTTTCCTAGGGTTTTCTCCATCTCAGGTGGATCCACGGCCCAGGCAAAGCTGAAAGCTGCCCTGGTGCAGGAGGAGGAGCTGAAAGGGCGCCTGGAGGAGATGAAGGACGCGGCGAAAACCGATGAAAGACCGGGGGGGAGAATAGAAATAAGACTCTTAATGGAATATGCTTAATCTATGGTTAATCTATGGTTCATCTATGGTTAATAATTGGAATAACAATATAAGTGATTCATCTATTAGTGATTCATCTATTAGTATGAGGATATCAATAATCTATGAGGATATCGATAAGCTATCAAATATCAATGACTGGTTGGTGGTTTGGAACATGACTTTTATGACTTTCCATATATTGGGAACATGGGAACTAATAATCCCAATGATCCTATTAAGAGTGATTCATCTAAAAGTATGTGATATGGGAACGTGGTTACCAATAGTAGTGATAATAATCAGGCTTTTAATATATCAGCAGTATATTTGCGGGGGATTTACTCATTAACTACAATTATATCCCATGAATCCACATTTTGGTTTATGGATCCCATTTTTTATATAGTTATATCCCATTATATCCCATAAACCATAGTTAACCAAATGGCCATAAACCATGTCTGTTTGGTGCTTTGGAACATGAATTTTATTTTTCCATTCAGTTGGGAATGTCATCATTCCAACTGACGAACTCCATCATTTTTCAGAGGGGTAGGTATACCACCAATCAGAATAAGACTATTCATGAAATGATCCACTAATAGATCCTAATATATCCTAATAGAGTGATAATAGATCCTGATAGATCCCCTCGGAAATACTAATAATAATAGATGCAAGACTATTTTGGATGAACGACTATTAATGAAATGATGAAAAAGACTATGAAATGAAATGATCAATAGTTCATCACCATTAAATCACCATTAAATCACCAAATGGCCATACACCCTGTTTTCTTGCTTGGTTGATCACCATGTCCGTTGGTTGATCCCCCCGATTCGCCAGGCGCGCCGCGCGGAGCTGCAGGGTGAGGAGACGACGTTGAAAGATCGGCTGCTGAAACAGGTGGGGAAGCGACGTTTTCGACGTGTTTGATGTCAGTAACTGGGGAAAGATGGGTATGGATCAATACCTATAGATACATTTTTAGTGGGATGAACATCCATTTACCAGCTATTTTGATGTTCACCAGGGGGATAGGGTTTTGACCCATCCCCATATCAGCAGAATTGGTGATTTTTCTGATTTTTGGATTTAGGAAGTGGTGATCGAATGGAGAAATGCAGATACACCCAGTAACTGGGGAAAAAAACAATCATGAATCACCAGTAATCGCTGGTGGATATATGATATTTCAATGGCAATGAATGAGAGATGATGAGTATAATGGGGCATTATCAGTGATGGATTTGCTGGAGATCAAAGATTGATGTATCGAACACTCTGATAAATTTTAAATGATGAATGGATGATATACCCGTTGGTAAACTAACATAGTGAACTGGAAAATCACCCATTCGGCCATAGGTAGATCAACTACAATTGGCCATTTTCCATAGCTATGTCAGCTATGTTAGTTTACCAGAAAGTATCATTCATCAATCACCAGTAATCAGTCATATATGATGGAGTGATGTATATTTGATATGTGGCAATGGAACATTCCCTACTAAATGGAGGTGAATAGCTGAGAAAATTGTCAATAAATCCATGCCATGTCATTGGTTATATCAATGGATATAATTGGTTATTATATGACGTGGAAACTAAATAGTACATGTTTGGTTACGCATTGATGGTGATTTGTTGTATCAATGGAAATCTCATCTCCGCGGATGAATATATTATAGGGATGTCCATTTAGATGGGGATACTCACTTAAATGGATGGTTTATATCGGAAAAAACCCAATCTAAACTGGATCAAAACTGAGGGTACCACCATTTTTAGGAAACCTCCATATGTATATAATATGTATTTGACTAGGGGAAATCAGGAAATCGTTGAGCGGCTGAGAATTGATAATACAACGGGGATCTAAATGCAAAGCAGTTTATCAATTTTGATATGCTGGGGATATCATGGGTTAAAAATGAAATTATGTTTTAGAACATGTGGTGATATTATCTATGAATATAAATAGATAAATATGTATATATATATATGTCCTGTATCAAGTGCATACGTGCAATTTACTATAGGTGTTACTATAAAAGTTGTTTGTATAGTTAGAATTACAAAAAATAGATAACTACCTTGAACATATAATTTTACTGCAACCCCCAGAACAAATAATAAACAAACGTTTGGAACGACAGGAACAACTTATTTACAGTAACAAATCCAAAATTCAAATGAAGAATTATTGGGAAAACCAATGCTAAAAAAATTGTCAATCTAACCTTCTCTTATTTGTATGGAGGGTGACTATATGTGTTTTGCCATTTTGAAACAGATACATTAACATGCCGGGCATCTAAGAACCATGCCAACTGGCCATGATGTTTTGCGCGAAACTGAGTGGATGGGAAATTTTGTCACTGTGAGACCCGCACAATGCCACAGTCACCGTTCCAGTAATCAACCACCAAAGGGGTCATAATCACAATCACCCCACACTACCCCAATCTCGTAAACGCCCATTGAACACCATAAAGGGTGCTTTACCTCACTACTTTAATCTGTTTTTTGTACATGAGAAACTACCACTAGCTAAACGAAGAATACATGCAGAATGAGGGACAATGGAACTAAGGGAGTTGAATGCCCATTCTAGTCTGTTAACATGTTAATATAGAAAGTTGGTTTTCCGAAATGTTAGCTGTCGGTTGGGTGAAATAACTCACACAACTGTTGTGTTTCTGCTAGATCTATCGCACGGGACGGACGGGAAAAACACGAAGCAGCAACCAATGGTCGCTTCACCGAGGTCTTGGCATATCGTTGATGGTTTTTTGGGTCACCAGAATGGGACGGGAGGAATCCTCCATATGAACATGTGGTTTTAGTGTCCAGAATGTGCCAGAATTTGGGATCGAAAAGCGAAGCAAAGCACATGAAACCACGATCTTTTGGGAAAAACACATGACACATGACACATTTTTCATGGTTTGCCGTGATCTTTTTCCTTAAGCCAATCCATTGATCATCGATCTATATCGCTCCTTAAATCATGCCCCAGGCTAGAACCCATTTTGGTCGTTTCTCCAGACTCAGATCTCTACAGAAAAAGAAACACGTGTCCAATCCACCAACGGCCCTGGATTAAAAACTAAAATGTGCGATGCAGGAAGGGCCTCATCCCTGCTAAAATAATGATGTTAGTTATGGTGGATACATCAAAAGTTCGATGGGATTGGCCTTTGGTAATTTAAATTAGCCTAGCTGTGGAAAAACACCATTGTGTAGTTAGGAAAATCATCATATTTGGCATCCAAGGGTCATTTATAGCTATCGTACAATGTGAGGCCCCCCAGTTATAAGTTGGTTTATAAGCCCCAGTAACTATAGTTATAAGCACCATAAACCATAGTTATTGGAGTGATGTTCACCAACTTAGCTATCGAACGGGGGCCTCACATTGTAACAAATAATCAGAGGCTATAAACCACAGCAAACATCACTGGGCCCTGGATTCCCTGAATCTCTCCGGGATGCCTCAGGAGGAGGAATTCGCAAAGATCAGAGAGGTCTTCGGCACCCTGGTTGTGCTTTTCAGGTAGAAAACATCCCTGGGAACCTGGACAGATGAGGATGATTGGGGGGTTACACCTAGGTCAACCTTGGTTGCAGTAGATACTTTATACGTATATTATATATAATATTAGATATATAGTACTTTAATTTTTTGCTATCAATGGTAAAATGTACATTCACCAGTTCAAAACATCATTTTTTTGTCAGGTATCTAAGATTCACCATGAGAGATTCTACAATGTGGTGCCCGCCAAGTATGATTGTTGGTTTATGCTGATCCATCTATAAAGACCATATCTACTGCAATCAATAGATATTGTACATATTATTTCCATCTATGGTCTTTATAGATATTGTCCATATTTTTATGATAGTTCGATATATCTACTGTATTGATCTGTATTGTACATTACTGTACCATAAACCCTAGATCAACATCAATACAGTATGACTTATAAACCAAAATATCGAAATATAGGGCACCATACGAAGGTCATCCATGTTCATCCTGAAAAAGGTCTTGAGAAACATTGTAAGAACCGGGGATTTGTCGGTCTATTTGGTGTGCCTGGCGGTCGGAAAAGATGGTACCCTCTGGTTATGACTAACATAGCCATGGTATAGATGGCCCATAGAAATAGATGGTTTACCTGGGTTTACCGAACTTCAAAATGGTGGATCTTTCCATGGCGAACTGTGAATGTCATAACCAGATGGTATCACTTAAACGACTGAGATGGTGATCCTGATCCCATATGCTCCACGGCAAAGATTTCCCCCACGGTATCACCCCAAAAGTCGTTTTTTTTTTTTTTAATAGGGGACCTACCAGACTTCGGAGCATCAACAAGTCAACATCTTCTTATCCCCATAAAAATGTGGGTGGAACAATGCCATAAACCACCCATGACTGGGAATGGCAACCATACCACCTATAAAAATGGTGATGACTGGGGGATGGTATGTCATTGTTTTACCCACATTAACTGATACATTTTCACGGTGGAAAGTGCAGACCAAATGAGGTGTTGAAGGGCCGCAGTCTTCGTCCTTAATCTTCTGTGAGCAAGTCAGGCGCCGTTGAAGCAATGGAAATTGGTACCCGGTAGTCAAACTTGGCAAGCTGGGAAATGCCCTTTAACATGTTTTTTTTTTACAAATGGAAAACCATCTATAGATGACGTATTTTTCATTGCCATGTTTTATTGCCAGCGGGTAACCTAAACCTATGGATTTCTTCAGTACTAAATGGTTCAATGACCTGCGTGATTTGGCGGTCCTGATCCTTTTGTTGCGTAGTTTGAAAGCCATCTTGGATCATCATCCACTACATTTGAACGAAGATGCCGGGTAGCCCGAAATTTTCAAAATCGGTCAATCATCATTTTCCGGGTCAAACTGCAATTTTCGGTGTAAACAATTTGTATAGAACTTGTGTACACCCATTTTCAGACACACCCAGCAGGGAAGAATCTCTGGGAATCAGCCTGGTACTTGGCGGTTCATCCCAGGGATCGTAAAGTGGGGGCCCGTTCACCCGCTGGTTATGGAGATTGCCCCTACAAAACGCCCATTGAATTCACCTACCCTAGTCACCCTAGTTATAAGTGGGATATAACCCTAGTTGTGAGTGGATGAACCCTACTTAGATCTACTTAGCCCATTAACAAAACCAGGGTGAACTAACCTACTTAGGATTCGTGGGATGCACCACCTACGGAAAAGGAGTGAAGGAAAACCATTTTTCAAAGCTCTTCGGGAGTTGTCGGCGTCACAGGACGTTGCTGCCTGACCTGTCTCAGCTGGGTGGCATTCCTCTGGAGACGCACCAACGCATCCTGCAGGAGCAGAGTGATGCTCGGTATGGAAATAGTGGTTTGAGAAGCACCACAAGAAGTGAAACTGAGATTTTCACTGGTAGATGTGGTACTAATTTGAATAGTTTTGATGGCCCATTGGCCTCAAGTTGATGAAGGTGATTTTTTCGATGGGATTTGGGGTATTCTGGGCCAACTGAGGACGTTTATCGCGATGCTTTGGACAAACTTGGCAACTTCAAACAGGCCAATGGGCTGATGGTCCGCTCATGGCTGGTGGTTGTGGGGATGATGCCAACCAATTCGGTGATAGTTATTTTGACATAAGCCATTAGACTCATTAGACATGGATTTTCAATATCTTCATTCTCTAAGGTGGGAACTCCAAGCAACCAGTATTTTGTTTATCAGGATGTAGAAGTGGCAAATTGCAATGGGAATGGATTCAATGGATCAAACATCATCAATCTCTGAGGTCTTCAGGAAGCCTCTGAGCTGAAGCCTTTATCAGATAGACCCAACGCTGAAGATTTGTCTATTTTTGGAGTCAAAACCCAAACTTCGGATACATCTTTTGGGGGCGACGCTAATCAGCTAATCTATTTTTGCCTTGCTGGTGGGTTTCTTGGACGCACCTTGCACGACTTACATGTCCAGATTCACAAAATGATCTATCTCAGAAGGTGAATGTCACAATGCATGCTTGTTTTACTTATTTGGTATTCACCATATTGGATCAGGAGCAGTAAACCATACACACACAGATTGATCGTTTTAAGATGATACAACATACATTATATATATACGTATATATATATATATACACGTATATATATATATACGTATATATATATATACACATTCTATACATTATATATATATATACATATCAATTATACTGTGTAGAGACCCTCCAAGCACCAATATCCATGGGTAAAATTACCCAAATTACCAGGTAACTAGATGGTTTCACAACATACGTAAATTATATTGTTAAATAGGAAGGTACCACGCAGCCAAAATATCTCAGAATTTCAGGGTGAGGACCCAGAAATATGTTAAGATGTTCATTCCACTCACGAAATTGCATGGAAAACCCACACATTTCTTACGTGATGAAATTGGGTTGCTCAGACAAGTAACGCCTAAGCCCAAAAACAAACATGCCAGGTTTATAGACTTCACCAGTTTTAACCGTAGTTTTCCTGGTGAAGTCACTCTTCACCCTTCATGTCGGCCCAGTCGGCACATGTCGATCCAGGATCCTCCAAGGTGAAGCCAACAGGATCACCAAGTCTTTTGTCGCATCAGCGAGCTATAAATTGATTAAAATCCCATGAAATCCTGTGAAAATATCATGAAATCACCATTGTTTATCATTTTTAGTGGTTAACATTGGTTTCAATCCGCGATTTTTTGTTGGCTAAACCACCATTTTCCAGGCCTTTTCCAATGTCCCAAGAAAGTCCATCGCCTCTGGGGCCATCGAGGCGTGTCAGTCGACGCCTATGCCGCCGCCGCTCGATGGTTGGGGATTTTTGTGGCACCCGGCACCCTAGAGCTGGTCAATGTTTAATTCCCAAAAAAAAGAGGAACAAGAGGTTTTGACCCACCCCCATATGTTTGGTAGATTTTGATTGGTGTGATATGTTTGATACTGTTTTTTGAATATGTGTGGCATGTTTGATACGGAATATGGTTGTCTGAAGGCATTATGTAGTACCGAAAAGTCTCCTGGCCAATCATCATCCCAATGAAAATTGCAGTTTTTGTCTCCCTCTGATATGTTGATTACATTTCATCACATCCCCATGATATGTTCTGAAAATTGTGTATTCAATATATTTATTACGACTTATCCCCCCATGAGAGTTGCAAGTTTCAATCTATCCAGTGGTTAGGGAGCGAAGGAGCTATGGCAGCTATGGGTATTGGGGGGAGCCGAAGGGGCTCCGAATAGAGTTTCCGATAGGCACATGATAGGCACATGATTCCGAAGGAATTCCTGGTGAATCATGGAAACAATGACTCGGTATGTCTTGATCGACCAATGTTCGCCCCAGCTTTCACCAGCAAGAAGGAGTAAGACGGATCAAGAAGGCAGCCCTAGTTAGGTATTGCCACTTATTCCTACTATTTTTAACAGAAGAATAAACAGACATTTTGACTCCCACTACTATTTTTATCATTCCTGGTTGATTGGAAATAGAAGCCTTAAAGAACTAGGTATTCCCACCAGGACTGGCCTCTTGGTGGTGATCTTATGATTAGGCCTGGGCCTGGACATTGGCTAATTGTCCCAGAGTGCCTTGCTTCAGGATAAGAAAATTTGATTCAGCCAGATTCACCATTTGTTGGTTACATCACCACTAATTATATGTATATATATACGTGTATATACATACCCTCTGTTATTCCCCATGAATCTCCATTGAATATCCGATTTCACTTCCCCCCATGCTTTCTCCATGAATCTCGCCATCCCCAGGAAGGATGAGCCGGAGCTGGAACAAGCTCTGTCGGAAGCAGTGGAGGCGGAGGAGGTGCCTCTGCAGTGATTTTTGTTGGTTTATCACGTTTATAAACCAGTTGGTAAATATAGAGTTTACAAACCACAGTTTATAATATTAATAAGTTGGTTTTCCAATTTCACTATGGTTTATGGTTTATAAAGGAATATATCTACCATAAACCATCGTGAAATTGGAGTGATGTGAACCCCAACTGAACGCGATTTCGTGGCCGGGGGCCTTACATTGTAACTGCGCCACATCCCCGTCATCCGATCCAGGCGCAAGCGCAGATCCAAATTCAGATCTTGGAGTTGACCCAGGAGTTTCTCGGCAATGCCATGGCATCGGTGATGGTGACTTGGGGACTTTCAAAGGAGATTTTTAATGAATTTTGGGAAGTGGATATATCCAGTGGATATTCATCGGAATTCATGAACATTTAAGGGTTGTCATCTGAGTCTAGAATTGGAATGTGAATTAATGATAATTAATGGACATTTCGTGGCAGTGGGACTCAATGGGAACTCACCCAAAAAGATTTGCTGAGTGCTTTCTGATAGACTCCCAAACTTGGGAGTCTAAAAATCAATTATATTTGGATTTCATCACATATCAAAAAAAACATGTTGATTTTTCAGTTGATATCTAAGACACCATCATTTTAAGAACCATCATTTTTTGGTTCAAAAAATCATGGTTCATATCCAATATCGTCATATGGCTATGAGTCAATACCTATTAATACCATTTTTAGAGGGATGAACATCCATTTACCAGCTATTTTTATGTTCACCAGGGGTACAAGGTTTTGACCCACTGCCATATTAAAAGCAAAAAACATCATTTTTTGGTGACCATCAGATCATCAGATCCGCGCCGTCCGTGCCATGGAAATGACACTGGGGGATGATCCCATCGTACCAGCGAAAGGATGGGCATAGCCTAAGGGATGGGAATAGCTTCGACGATGAGCTTTGCGAAAGATGGGGAAAATGTGTGTTCTGCGGGGTATCTGAGCTTTGCGATGAAGAGAACTTCCATGATCTATTTTCTGGAATTTCTGGGTTCTAAGTCTCTGTGAAATGGGATATAACATGATATAACTACAACATGTAACATGGGTTATGATGACCCAGTTAACAATTAGGAACATCCATGTAGTTTGATTGAACGCGTTTTTCAGCTGGAAGCACAATATGAGTTGGACCTCTGAAACGTGGAACCTTTATGTCTGAATTACCTGCATTACTTGGGCTTCCATAAACCGGGAGCTCAACCACGGGGGTAGAATCAACCACAATGGGTGAAAAAACTCACCCAACTGGTGACTGGATCAAAGTGGATCCATCGGCAGGATTTCGATCCTGCCTTTATTTATTTTTGTTGGATGTTTTTGGGTGTTTTTTTTTTTTCGAAACCAATTCGTGAAGGTTTGGAAGGCTATCAAAGGCCAAGAGGCTCCTCATACCTGGGACAGTACAACTGGGGAAGAGACCTATGTGTCCCTGTTCCAGCATTGGATATTGGGGACTTGAAGTTTTATTACTTCAACCTTTTGGACCTCCATGTTTGTTATTGATGTTGGATTGTCGTTGGCCAAATTAGTTTAAATATGTTTGTACGAATGAGAATGATAAACGATGATTGACATTTTTTTCGGATACTCATCCTGAAACCTCCGTATTTGTTCACATCAGCTCGGAAAGCCTCATATTTCATTCATGGTAAAACATGTAAAAACCAACAAAAAGGCCTTGATCATCTTCCCCTAAAAAAACTGCCAGGTGGTGCCCCATACTTAGCTAAGTTGGTTTATAACCAGTAATTATAACATATTACAACTATAGTATTCATGGGGGTTATAAAGCAACAGACATTTCAATGTGGGCCAGCAGCACCTTGTACCGCCTGTACCGATGGAATCCGATGAAGTGCCATGAAATTTCCAAGAAATCAGCATTTGTTGTTGGTTAAATCCAAACGGTTTACCATTAAAGTAAACCTCAATTTTCCTGGCCATTGAGTGATTTGATGAAAATGATGAAATGTTCATGAAATCAGCCTGAAATGTCCATGAAATGTCCATTTTTCAGGATGATTTTACAGAAATGTCCATGAAATCAGCCTGAAATCAGCCTGAAATCAGCCTGAAATCAGCCGGAAACTCTGGGGGAAACTCCTGCGTTGGACTCAGCCCAGGTTGGAGCTCTCCACCTGTAAGTTGCAGCTGCTGAAGGACAGCCTCCTGACCGAGAGGCCGATGGCCTGTGTCGCCATCGAAAACTACGACGTATAGATATAGTCATCCTGGAGTAGATAGAATATTATCTATCTATCTATCTATCTATCTATCTATCTCTCTATCTCTCTCTCTCTCTCTTTCTCTCTCTCTCTCGCCTGACTACTATGGAATATGGATTTGTTTAAGATATTTCCACAATAGTAGATGGATCATGATGCCCTTCCAGTTATGTTTGTTGATTTTGTTGGCTGTTTTCGTAGTTTGATAGACCAGTAATGTTTGATATCACTATCTGATTGGTGGTTGAAAAACCAACTTTGCTCAGGAACTGGGGCACACCGGGCACGGGTGACACAAGCTTTTGAACGTGTTGTTACAGTTTTTTGCGTAAGTTGCATTACCGAACCTTAAATGCCGAATTTGGTAACATGCTACTTACATCTACTTGCTATTTGTAGTATATTTGTAGTAAAGCAATCCGTTTCTGTTTTTGTGGGGGTTTTTGGAAGTTGGATGGTCAGCAATTTTCGGAGTGGAGATATCCAGCTAACGGGCGCCGGCCAGGGGAAGGAAAGCAGAGGTGTCCCGGTCTCTCCGCTGCTTGGAACGAAATGGCAAAATTAACCCCAGCAGTTTTTGGGAAAACCAAAGGATTGGGGAATCGACAACGAAACGTTCGTATACAACCACTGATAGCTTTAGGAATCACGGAATGTTCGCCACGGCACATGATGTACTGAGGTAAGATTGGCAAGATCCAAGATCGGGCCACTCTTTCGCAAGGGGCGGTTGATCCACCAACCGCGCTGTGGTTGGCTTACTGGGCTGTTTGGTTCACAGGGATCATAAATCAAAGCTGACACTTTTTAACACACTAACACTGCACTGGTTGGTGGTTTGGAACCATGGAATTTTATGACTGTCCAAATAATTTGGAATAATCATCCCAACTGACGAACTCATATTTTTCAGAGGGGTAGGTATACCACCAACCAGAACATAAATCAACATAAAACATATTTCAAACATGAAACAACCACATATCAGATGGCGTGTTTTTCCATATATTTTTCCCAGAGATAGAGATGCGCATCGAGGGTTGACTGTCGTTGATCAATCCATTGGTTGACCAGTTCTCTGCAGAGCTTCCAAATGAAGCTAAACCCTCAGATACCGAGGATTTAGATAGGGCAGATGCCGGAAACCAAAGGTGTCTAAAGCACCCAACGAGAGCAACAAGGTGGTGCCCCAGTTTTGTTTCTTGGTTTATACACCTATTAACTATAGTGGTATCAATCCTCTTCCATAAACAGTTCACCTTAAGTTCTTCCAAGTCAACTTGGCTATCATAAGTAACATTGAACAAATCCCAACCATAATTACTTGTATATGATGTTATATGCTATGTATCCCAACCACAGTTATATGAGTTATATGTTATATAATCTTTTATAATCTGTTATATGTTATAGTTCATGTTCATCAACCCAAACATGTTCTTCCAACCCACCTATCTCGCAAAAAGGTGCCGCCGACCTCGCCCTTGTGGCGGAAGATGGAGCTCCGGTGCCAGCTCCAACAGCACCAGGAGCTGCTCCGGCGCAGGTTCTGCGCCCTTCAGAAGCTCCAAAGTTTGCTGCCGAAGTTGACACCCTCTGGGCAGGAGGGGGCCCCAAAAAGCCCAGGGGCGGCCCAGGGGGCCCAATGGCCTCGGGTAGAGGTAGATTGAAAGATGTTGAGCCAGCTATTTCTGGACTATTCGATGTGAATGATTGCTCACTAGGTTTTGCTGTTTTGCTGTTTTGTAGTGTAAAACATGACAAAGACATCACTAAGCTTAGGTAGTGGATTGTGCACTACCTATGTTTTTTTTCTACCCAGCTGTTTTGTAGTGAACAAATATTATGATTCAGATTCTGTAGATTATGGTAAATTGCAAAACCAACGGTTTTTTTATTCAGGATATCTATATAAGATTCACAATAACAGGGAGTTTACTGAGTTGGTTGATCAGTTACATGGTTTTTCGGACCCAGATGATGGTTGTTTGATTCACCAGCTGCTGCATGTCCCATCTCAGGACCCATGTTTTTTCTCGAATGATATTAGGGGCCTTCCATAGTCATGGGGGTACCCCAAAATGGATGGTATTTATAATTACTAGAGAATCCTGTTCGAACGGATGATTTGGGGGTACCCCCATTTTAGAAAACCTTCATCTAACTAGATCACTATTTGGTGAATCAAGCAACTAGAATCTAGTGAACCTCGGTTTCGAAGGTTGGCCAATATCTGACCGACAGGAGGAATACTTGGTGGTTCATCCCACTTAGGCTGCGTAGGCTGTAAGCCTGGCTTTGTGAATGGGCTAAGTAGATCTAAGTAGGGCTAATCCACTTATAACTAGGGTGACGTAACCCACTTACTGGGATGAACCAGCACCAAGTAGAATGTCAAGCTTTTGGTTTGTCCAATATGGCATCAAATACAGTACTTTACGATCATTTCCCCATGAAAATTGGATCTGGGGCTTCTGCACCAGTTTTGGGCAAAGCAACAAAGAAACATGGAGAAAGGTAGGCAAGCCGTCAAAATACACCAAACAAAACAACCAATATCATATTGGAGGTACAAAATTCAAGGTAACGCAATGGGCCAGTTTTCACAGGACTTTGGAGTATGTTCATAGCCCTATTCCGATGGTCCAATGGGTATTGCTTTGTGACCATATAACCCCTCCAAGTATCAGAAACTGAAAAGTACTGACATGTGATGGGTTCTTGGCGTATATTCTTCAAAGAAGCCACAGGCTCCCCCTACTGTAGACCCTCAGCAATTTTGCCCGGGTTCTACCCCGGGAAAGTTGCTGGTGCCCCCCGGGTGAAATGTTTGTTGGTTTAGTTTCATCTCAGTATCGACATACTTAGACCCTCCAAGTGCCCCCCAAAAAGTTAGCTCAAAGATGCTAGAAGTATTCACATGATTTGGTAAAAGAGCAATATTTATGGGTAACTGGGGGGTGTAGTTCGATATATCTACGTACCATAAAACCAAGAGTTATTGGTAGTGACACCACAACCAACCTATAGCTCGCTCACTGGTTGCAGGATTTGAAGATCAAAGTCCAGCAATTGACCCTGGCAGTCCCGAGCATACCGGCAGTGAGCTGCACAGATCTGACGAAGGAGATCGAGAGTAGCTGGACATGGCGCAGTGGACAACCAAAAACATGGCTTGTTGGATATATGATCATTCCCATGACGGATCCGGCTGGTGCTGGTATATATGCTAACATTTTCATGGGGTATATTGATGGTACATGTTACTATATATATATATAGCATACATGGATCCTATGGGTTACTATAGTGCCATTGAATATACCCATATTTTATATACCCATTATTACTAAATCTTTATGAATGGGTCATTATAGATCTATATAGCAGCACCACGGATCCTATGGATCCTTATATATTATATATATACCCTCTGGTTATTTAACATAGCCATGGAAAATGGCCCATTTACAGATGATTTTCCCATTAAAATCTCCATTTATAATGGATTTTCCATGGCTATGTTAAATATCCAGAGGGTATTCATTTATTGTAATTTACCAAGATATATATAGATATAGATATATAGATATATTCATTTATGTGAATTTATCGATCTTAGATGTTCAACCATGGATTTTAGGCTCCATGGATTTCGGGATATAAAACGGGGCATTCCATGTTGCTGGAGGTCAACACTGGGTTCACTCATGAAACTCATGAACATTGATAGGGTACCCTCTGGTAAACTAACAAAAAGCTATATTGAACATGGCCATTTATAGTGGATTTTCCCATTGAACATGGTGATTTTCCATAGTTATGTTAGTTTACCAGAGGGTACAGCCCAATGATAGCTATTTTTATATCTATTAAATGAAGCGACATTTTTGGGTAAAAACACAAATTGCTGTAGCTATTTTCATGATAACATTTTTGAACATTGATTCTAGTTGAAATAGCTATTAATGAACATTAATGATTGATATAGAAAATTGATGAGCACTGATTATATCATGATATATCGACCATGGTGACCATAAAAGTGAAATTTGGAGTTCTGTTGACCAACTTCGCGCGATTCCGACGCTGGGGCACCAAGGTATGGAAGCACGGCTCCTAGAGCTTCGTCAGAATCTTTTCTGCAGGGGCAACCAGTGCCCCCCGTTAGACTTAGATTTTCTGAAGGGATTGCTGCACTTATGGCTCGACATACCAGTTCTAAGTATTGAGAAAACCCCATTGATGAACGGCCTTAATCCCATTATTACAAAAAGTATCAACTAGTAGTCATGACCATCACCATATTAAAAAAAAAAAACACGGAAAACGAAGACGGTGAATTCAAGATCTTCAAGGTGATGAATCCACCGTGATGAATCTACTGGGACGACTGGTCAAATGAGAGCAGAGAATGGAATATAAGTTGGCTTATGAAGCTCTGCAACTTCAATATGTATATATATATATGTATGTATATTATATTATATATATATATATCTGGTTGGTGGTTTGGAACATGAATTTTATTTTTCCATTCAGTTGGAAATATATGTTGGGCCACCACCTTGTAATGGTTGCAGCACCGCTCCGAATCCCTGGTTCCTAGTGGTTTGTGGGGTGAACACAGTGAACAAATGCTTGGTTCAATGGATAGCATTCACTGGCTGCCAGAAATATTGGTATTTTATGGCTGTTATCCTAAAACTTTACTTGACACTCTGGTAATTCGACATATCTATGGAGAATCACAATTATCTGCAAGAATTTAGCAGAGTCTAAACCATGCTTAAACGGTCCAACCCACCATGTTTTTGATGGGACAAACAACGTGCTGTGCCCACATTGTTTGTGATAAATGCATCGGCAACTTTGGATCGATACTTTTTTCTCCTTGAGTTTGTTTGCTATAAATGGAACATCACCATACATAACCATAACCAGCAAAAAACGATTTTTTTGTAGGCTATCAAGGATTGACCATGCAGGGAACACCGCACCAGGACTGACAGTCACGACTGGAACTCCGACGCGCTTCAGAGATACCTGGATGCGTTGCTGAAGTGGACCTTAGGCGTTCACCCCCGGTTACCCTCTGGTAATCATCAAACATGGATAAACATGGCAAGAAAAATGATGGAATTTCAGATTTTTTTATGGAACTTCATGAAATTTCACGGACTTTTCATAGCAATTGATTTTATTGGACATGGACATCCACTTTTTTAATGGAGCTGTTAATTGGAAAATCATCTATACATTTATACATATGGATTTGTCCAATGCCAAGGTTGATTACCAGAGGGTAAATGGGTTACAAGCCCAGTTGCAGCTGGACTGAAGTGGGGTTGTAATCCACTCACTGGGGTGAACCAGCAAGTATCTTGTATAAACCGGGTTAAACCATCTTAGACCCCCTTATCTGGTTGGTGGTGACTGGAACATGAATGGATTATGACTTTCCATATCTTGGGAATAGTAACCCCAACTGACGAACTCCATCATTTTTCAGAGGGGTGGCTCAACCACCAACCAGCTTATGTTTGCTAGTGTGACTCGCACTATTCTGATGTCGCCACTTTTTGTTGCTTTTCAAAGTCCCATTTTTTCCGGTGAAGCCCCAATTTTGGCTGCTGAAACTCCCATCAAACTTGACGCCCATCAAACACAAAAAAGTGCCCCCAAGGGATCGCGAAAAGCTCTGCCTCCCTACACTTCTTAGAGTTGGTGTCTTGGTTGTTCTTGATGGTCAAGAGGTGATTTTGGATCCACCAGATATTTCATGGGATATTGAATGGAAAAATATGGGAGATATACAACCAAGAATATGGGAATATATGTATATATATATAAATATACATATATATATATGATATGGGACATATTGAGATATTATGGACATATCCACTGTGATAGTGGGAGATATAACAAGCAAACTTGGGATAACTTGGGATATGTCACTAACTTGACATGGAATACACGACCAACTAACAATGGGCTACAGTATCGGGAGAATGATATACCCTTTGGAAGAGCCTACCCACCAAGTGACCTTTAACACCCCATTGACGTCAAAAGAGCATGAATGGAACCTGAATGGAGCGCAAACCTCCAGGATCACTTTTAATTTTTCAGGAACTTGCAAGTTAGACACTGCATGTATATGGATCACGCGGTCATTCATGTGACATGTGCAACCTTGCTTAGTTATCATCGAAAATGTGCAATGTCCTTTATGGATTTCCAGCAGGCCCTTTGCAAGGTCTGTGTCGAGATACTGCTCACAGTGTAGAAAATAAATTCAAAATCAAAACTAAATAAACATGACCCAACAGAATTTGAACTTTTGCAGATGACCCTGTAAAATTTGTACTCGTACCTTGGACGTTGGTTTTACAAAAAATGCAAACATGTCAACAAAAAGGTTTTGAATAATGATCGGAGGCCATCATGACAAGTCATAGTTTTTCATTACAATGCATGGAAAAACAAGATTCAGTGGAACATGACAGCCACCAAACAACTCACAACTTTTCATGTCATGCGAAACTGCTAAACCATGCTGTGGCACCGCGCGGCATCGCCAGGCCTCCCAAAGGTCCACTTCTGCTCTGCAAGAGACGTTGGGCGCCCCGGTGGGCGCCGCCCAGTTGTAACCCATAGGATCCATGGTGCCGCATGGTGCAATGTGGGCCCCCCCAGTTACGTTTGTTGGTTTATAAGCTCCAGTAACTATAGTTATAACTACCATAAAACCATAGTTATTGGAGTGATGTTCACCAACTTAGCTATCAACATAGCCCATTTATGTTGGAAATTTTATCGTGATTCAACGGTGATTCAATGGGACTGTATAGTGATTTAATGGATTATGAATGGTAATTTGTTACCCCATTAAAGTTAGCATATATACCAGCACCATGGATCCCATGGGTAATACAGAAATGGAATGGGATTTAATGAAAATTAATGGGATTTACTGGAGATCAATGAATTAATAGTAATTGTAAATTGTAATTGTCAAGAATATTGGGCATAATTTTAGTAGGAACTAATAATTACTAGTCAATAGTAAATTGTAATTAGTAATAGTATTAGGAAGAGTAATCGGTAATAGTAATCAGTAGTAGTAATTCGTAAAAGTAATAGAAAGAGTAATTAGTAATATTGTTAGGAATAGTAGTTCGTAATAGTAATAGTTTTAGGAATATTGATTAGTAATAGCAACAGTATCAGTATTAGTAATTAACAGTAACAGCAAGACTAATTTTCCGATTATTCAGTGAAATTATACAATAGTATGCAATGGTGATGGCTCCAAATAAAAATGTATATCCATAATATCCTTTATCCCAATATTGGTCATATAATTTGTTGGGACTTACATTACTTACAGAAATTGGGAATTATGATAATCCGTAGAAGAGAAACCTATCAGCCAACTAGTATTTCATGACATGGGATAGGGATGATAGGGGTATATTTTCAATGGCTATAAATGGCTAAAACTCCAGTTGCCGGCCTCGGTGTATGTCATCAAACATCGTAAGAAAATGGTAGGACTTCATCGATTTTTTTTGATTTTCAGGCATCGTTGGCTGGGAAATTAGAAATGGACTAAATGATTAAAATGATGGATTGTAATACTGGAAATAATATGAAATAATTATAATGGATTGTAATGGATTGTAAACATGTAATACTAATTATTTCCAACATACTAAATGATTAAAATGATGGATTAAAATGATTACAATTAAAATGGATTGTAATGGATTGTAATCCAACATACTGGAAATTATAACGTAATACTGAAGTAAATATGGAAGTATTGCCATATGACGCTCATTTGGACGCAACCAGTTGGTCGGTATTTGAGCGTCGCACGAATGTCACAGAGCTAAAACCTGTCGCGATATCTCAGGATCCTTCTCTAGCCTTTGAATTTGTGAGGTGAGATTGACGCGGCTTTTGCCTGAAAATAGGGTACCCCCAATTCTCGTGGATGATTTTCAGTTTTTGATGGGGGTGGCCAAATGGGGGCTACACACCATTTTCAGACACACCCAATGTGCTGTCAAGATGCCAAGGTCAAGAAGCAACGAAATTTTCCACCAGAGTAGAATTCAATTTCCAGATCCAGTAACGATCGAATGACCAGTCAACGCTGTTCGTGGTTTATCAGTGGATTTTCACCAACATGTGCAACTACCCCAAGATTTCCGTTCCTTACCTCTGATTTTCAAGTAGTCTGGCACTGCAGCCATGGAGGTGTGTTCCGCCCTCTCGGGGGGGACGTTGGCAGTCCTCGATCCAAAGGAGTTCGAAGGAAAGTCTGCGAAGTCCGTGAAGCAGTGCTTGGCAACCAAAGTTGGCGTCACCAGATTTCGACAAAAACTGCTTGCAGATGGCTTAGATGGATCTGAGATGCCAGATGATGAGGTCTTTGCTCAGGCTTCTGTGAAGCTTCAACTGGTGATTTTGGACTTTTGGCCGCCTGATGAAGAGCAAGACCAACAACTCATCTCTGCATCAAGTGTGAACGATGCAGTTGCACTTGAAAAGTTGTTGCAACAACCACGGACTCCCAATGTGACAGATGACACTGGCAAGACTCCGCTGCACCACGCGGCTGCGAATGGACATGCGACACCGTTGCAGCTACTGCTCGAGGCAGGTGCAGAGAAAGATGCTCCAAACTCACATGGGCGGGCGCCTGTGCATGGGGCAGCTGTTCGGGGCCATCTTGACATGGTCCGCCTTCTGGTTGAAGTTGGGGCCAACAAGGATCAGGCAAGCACGCAGGAGGGGCACACACCACTTCACGTCGCAGCCTTTGGTGGCCACCTCGAAGTCATCCGCTTTCTTGTAGAGGCTGGGGCCACCCGAGATCAGCCATGTATGGACGGGCAAACAGCATTGCATCTTGCAGCTGGGAAAGGGCATCTCAACATCGTTCGTTTCTTGATTGAGACTGGATCCAACAAGGATCAGCGTACGACAGACGACAGTGGGAGGACACCTTTGCATTTTGCGGCTCGGGGAGGCCATCTTGACATTGTCAGCTTCTTGGTTGAAGTTGGGGCCAACCAAGATCAGCCGTCGACGGAAAGTAAGGAAACAGCACTGCATACTGCAGCTGGGGCAGGCCATCTCGGCATTGTTAGTTTCCTGAATGATGCCGGATCCATCAAGGATCAGCGTACGACAGACCACCGTGGGTTGACACCTTTGCATTTTGCGGCTGAGGAAGGCCATCTTGACATTGTGCGGTTTTTGGTTGAAGTTGGGGTCAATAAGGATCTTGCTACCAATCGGGGGTTAACGGCCTTGCATTTTGCGGTTCTGCAAGGCCATTTGGATGTTGTCCGCTTCCTGGTTGAAGTTGGGGCCGGCAAGCATCAATGCTCGATGGGGGGATCAACACCCTTGCGACTTGCAGCCCACTACGGTCACTTGGACATTGTCCGCTTCCTGGTTGAGGCTGGGGCCAGCAAGGATCAGGCTAGAAAAGACGGTACAACACCATTGTTTACTGCAGCTGAAGAGGGTTATTTCGAAATTGTACGTTTTCTGGTTGCAGTTGGCGCCACCAAAGACAAGGTGAACGATGACTGGATGTCACCCTTGTGGATTGCAGCTGCAAGAGGAAATCTCGACACTGTCCGTGTACTGGTTGAAGCTGGGGCCAACAAGAATCAGGCGACAAAAACCGGTGTAGCACCAGTGCACATCGCGGCCGCTGGAGGATATGTGGAGGTGGTTCGGGCGCTGATTGAGTCTGGTGCAGATGTTGATCTGACCACAAAGGATGGACAAACCGCTTGGGATTTGGCTTCGATGAATGGCCATCACGAGGTGCTTCACGAACGTTTGGAGCCACACCTGCCCTGCGTGGGTGCTCTCCAGCCATGACAGTAAGGTCGTGAGTTTCAAGGAATGTTGTGCAGGGATGTTCTGGGAACAAAAGGGGCTTTGAAAGGCTAAGGAGAACATCACGAGGCTTTCAACGGTCACCAATCAAGTACCAACGGTAACCAACATGGAAAAACGCCCGTGGTGGATAGCAAGCCTCAACTCATGGCACAGTCGTGCTGTTATTTGGCGGGATGGTAGGTGGGCTGATTGCTGTATATTAATTCGCCAACTTGTGACGTTCTTTGTTTTTGTTGTTGAGCCGATGTTTTTTTTAATTGTTTAATTCACCAGAATTCACCATTTGGGGAATCGACTGGGAATCTATACAATTACATACAATTACATATAATAAATCATAAATATACATGTGTATAAAATATGCAGCATGCATACATATTATATATATATGTTCACAGTCCCTTGGTGAATGGTTGATGCGTTTGTTTTTCGTCCTATACATGTCAGCAGTAATTAAATAATACATGTATTGTGTATATTCACCTTTCTGGGTGTCAAAGGTTAGGCATGCAACAAACCAATTGAATTGGATTCAGAAGGAAGGGGATGGAACTGACGCTTTTCAGGGATTCAATCGACAGGACGCTGTGCAGACTTCAAGACAGACTCACGAGGGACATAGACATAGAGTTAAATGAAATTGTATGAACCCTATTGGGGCTTCTGAAAACAGGGCATGATTCTTTTGCTTTCCTCTTGACTTTACCAGCTGAATCCATTTTTGTGTCAAGCCACTTCCCAGCCTTCCTCAGAGAACGCCTAGGATTCACTGCCTCTCCGGGGGTTTGGAGTCAAGCTTGGTGGAGGCCGAAGGAAGTGAAGAGGATAATTTTATCTGGTTAATCTATGGTTAATCTATGGTTAATCTATGGTTAATCTATGGTTAATCTATGGTTAATAATGGTTAATAATGGTTAAAACAATATATCTGGTTGGTGGTTTGGAACATGAATTTTATGACTTTCCACATATTGGGAATAATCATCCCAACTGACGAAGTCATATTTTTCAGAGGGGTTGAAGCCACCAACCAAATTATCTTATCCAATCCTGATCTGGTGGCGATTATTTCATGAGAGATTTCATGGAGTGTTTAATCGGAATTGATGGGATTTTTCCATGGGATTTCATGGGGTTTAACGAAATGTTGGTGATCCAATAGGATATGTTTGGGATGTCGTAGGTTTGCCCTCTGGTAAACGTTTGCATAACTATTGAAAATTACAATGTTTCATGGGAAAACTCACTATTTCTATGGCCATTTTCAATAGCTTTTTCTATGTTTACCAGATTGTAAATGGGATGATTTTTCCTCGATTTGATGAGGAGAACGATCCAGTGGTGTGGTGAATGGAGTGGTGAGCCGAGCCAGGGCTATCATGGGGTATCCACAGTCGAAAAACCATGGGGAAGCGGTTGGAGCTGCAGGAAACGAGTTTCAAAAAACCACATGATGGGACCGGGAAATTTTTGTTTTCAATCCCCAATTGTAGTAGTTTATCAGAGGTGAAGATTGAGATAACTGGATGGACAATTCGTATTTCTATGATTTTTTATGTGTGCTTTTGGGACCAATCAGATGTGGTTTGATGCCACAGTTGTATATCCCACTCAACAAGATATCCTCCGGTGAACTAACATAACTATGGAACATCACCATTTTGTTATGGGTAATTCAACTATTTCTATGGCAATTTTCAATAGCTATGTTAGTTTACCAGAGGGTAAAGAATTGGATTTTGGGGTGCAGACCCAACTATGGTCATAGCTGATATCTCCCCCGACATTTGCCATTTCGGAATGACTGAACATTCTTGGGCCCCCAAAGAAGGTATTGTGACAGACTTAGCAAAACCAATTCTTGTGGGTTCATTGATTACTACTCCATTGTTGAGCTGTAGCCAATGGGGAATGTTCGAAATCTAAGTCATGTTTGTGCGGATGCTTCCATAGATGTAGGTTTGAATTATGTTTATGTCTAGAGTTGTTGTATGGATCCTTGTTACAGGGACTGTCTCCACATGTCAACGACTGTCATCGTGGTGTTTGGAGGGGCGACCAAGATTTTCCTGAGGGATCAGCTCAAAGTAGATACCATCATTTTGTGTCCGTAAAATGGTAGATGAATACCAACATGATGTGGTAGATGCATTTTTTTTACGGGCAGATCGAGGGTCTGTCTATCTATCTATCTATCAATCTATCTATCTACCTACCTATCTATCTATCAATCTATCTATCTACCTACCTATCTATCTATCTAGCTATCTATCTATCTATCTATCTATCTATCTATCAACCTAACTATCTAAACCTAAACTATCTCTATAGACTATAGAACGACATACTTTTGTGATAGTATTGATATTGATATACATAGAGATTTGAAGAATACATATATATATATATTCATATGAACATGTATATACAATTACATAGACATATATATATATACATGCATATGCAACATTCAATAACTATAGTTAAAGTCATCATAACACCTAGTTATATTGCTTATAAAACCAACTTAGCTATTATATAGATTTAATCAGGGGCATCACCTTTTTAGTAATTTTTGACATCCCTTAGCTGCCCTTTTGACATCCCGGCAGGGCTTCGTAGCCCTGCTCCAGTCCGCTGCTTCCTGCGAGACGCGGATCGCACCGGAGGTGCAGCAGGTGCTGGGCGCGGTGACGCTCGGTGGAAGCGGCGGTGACTTGGTGGGACTCCACCAGCAAAAACATCCCGGAAATCGGCCCAGCGCTTTCATCAATTTTCATGTTCATTGTGATGTTCGTGTTGGTGAAAACATTGGTATTTGCCACATGTCTGTATCATGGTGATGTTTTTTGGCACCTCATTTCCATTGGGGTTTATGAAAATTACTTTACTTCGAGTTATCCCCACCATGACATTTATACGTTTTGTTACTGGCAAATCTTCTGGCATATCTTCTGGCATTCTATCTGGCATATCTTCTGGCATTCTGTCTGGTATATTGTTTGGCATTCTATCTGGCATATCTTCTGGCACTCTATCTGGCATATCTTCTGACATTCTATCTGGCATACCTTCTGGCATTCTATCTGGCATACCTTCTGGCATTCTATCTGGCATACCTTCTGGCATTCTATCTGGCATATCTATCTGGCATATCTTCTGGCATATCTGGCATATCTTCTGGCATTCTATCTGGCATATCTTCTGGCATTCTATCTGGCATATCTTCTGGCATTCTATCTGGCATATCTTCTGGCATTCTATCTGGCATATCTTCTGGCATTCTATCTGGCATATCTTCTGGCATTCTATCTGGCATATATCTTCTGGCATATCTTCTGGCATTCTATCTGGCATATCTTCTGGCATTCTATCTGGCTAATATCTTCTGGCTATCTGGGGCATTCTTCATTCTGACTTCTGGCATTCTATCTGGCATATCTTCTGGCATCTGGCATATCTTCTGGCATTCTATCTGGCATATCTGGCATTCTGGCATCTGGCATTCTATCTGGCATATCTTCTGGCATTTTTCTGGCATATCTTCTGGCATTCTATCTGACATTTTATCTGGCATCTATCTGGCATACCTTCTGGCATTCTATCTGGCATATCTTCTGGCATATCTTCTGACATTCTTCTGACATTCTTTCTGGCATATCTTCTGGCATTCTTTGTCCCATATCTTCCTACATGAGGTCCGGCAGGGACACACTTGGCGTGGATACTCGCGGTTGAGGTCCGGCAGGGAACACTGGGCGTGGATGGTCGTGGTTGAGGTCCGGCAGGGAACACTGGGCGGGGATGGTCGTGGTTGAGGTCCGGCAGGGAACACTGGGCGTGGATGGTCGTGGTTGAGGTCCGGCAGGGAACACTGGGCGGGGATGGTCGTGGTTGAGGTCCGGCAGGGAACACTGGGCGTGGATGGTCGTGGTTGAGGTCCGACAGAGACCACTGTGGATCGCGGGTCGCAGTTGGACGAGGAGGACGAGGAGGACGACGAGGAGGAGGAGGAGGAGAGGAGATGAGGAGGAGAGGAGAGGAGAGGAGGAGGAGCAGGCAACTGACATAAAATCTAACAACCCTCACCTGGCAGGTGGGGAAAAAATGTTTTACTGCAGTGGGAGTTTAAAAATGCATGTTGAACACCCTCAAAAAACGTTACGTTTTTGGGATGGTTTCGCGTCTCGCCACAGCGCCAGTGATTCTTTTCCATCACTTCAACTTGCGGACCGTCTTTGCAATGATGTCACACATTAGCATTTCGATGTATGTATCGCCGTTGCCAAGCCTTGACATATGTCATGATCATTGGACTTTGGCTAGACAGGCTACCTGGCAACATGTTTTTACAGGCCTTCCAGCAACTATCTATTATTGTACCAGTATGGGCCAGCACCTTTGGGCTGCCTCGCTGGACACGGCACACAAGGCTACAACGTAACATGAAGCGTGTTCACCGAAGTACAACGAAGTGTACAACGTAGCATGGAGTGCGTTCACCGAAGTGCAACAGAAGTGTACAACGTAGCATGGAGTGTGTTTACCAAAGTGCAACAGAAGTGTACAACGTAGCATGGAGTGTGTTTACCGAAGAAGATCGATGATAACGTAGAGACAGGGCGTTATTACACTCCCCCCACCCCACCCCACCCCCCCAAAAAATATATCACAACGCAAAAAAACGCAAAAACGCTGGACCGGTTTTCGGGCCGCAGGCAAAAACATGTTTATAATTTGTTCACATATATATATATATTGTATGTATATATTAGTATAATATATATATATATATATATTTATTTATACATATATTAATCATGACAATTGGATAACTAGGGTTATTTTTGTGGGGTTTCAAGTGAATGTATGGTTACGACCGGATATATCATGTGATGTCTTTTCCAATGGAATATTACACGATTATCATTATATATAGTTGGTAGTTCAACAGACACACATAGGGAAATCATAGGACAATTTCCCCATCCATGCTGTCTCTAAATTCAATCTCATGGAGAGGCAAGGGAGATACAATCCGGTTGACGACTATAACATGTCTTTGATGTGGATGGAAGAGGGATAATACGGAACAATTATAGGGATAAAACCCTAAAAAATGTTTGATCAAGATTGGAGGGATAATTGAATATTTTTTTCTACCTTTGATTCACCAGTGCATACGATGTCTCATCAAGTCTGTCCCATCCCATCCTCCCCTGACCCCCAAGGAGGTTCACCCGAGAGCAAGCAGCCAAAGAAGCTGCCCGCACGTCTTGGGAACTGCAGCAGCGTCCGCGACATCCGGAGGACGCGAAGCTTCAAAGCTTGTGCCCTGGCTGTGTCAAGAGCTTAATTCTTGGACTAGCATAGGGGGATATAACATGATAAATAGAATCAACACACATTTAAGACCCTGGATGGTGATAACTGAAGGGGTTTGGTTGGCCTCAACCCGTGGATGCCTGTTGCAATTCCAACCCCAGGTAGTAAGATCGTGGCCATCAGCGGTCACTGTCAGTTTGCAAAAATATTTTTTGAAGAATCAAAGGTAATCACTGACCCACCCACACATGGTGCCAGAAATCTTTCTATGTTTAGTTTTTGTAAGGCTGGTAGTTTTGACCACCACCCTAGGAGACCTGCCAGAGACAAGTCGCAGAAAGATTGGCACCCAACGTTGGATGGTTTTTCCAGTTGTGCCATAGACAAAACGTTCAAGAAGTCACAGTTTGAATGGTATGGTTGCATTTTAAATACCCATTTTCAATATTGCTATGGTATGCTATATGGTATGCTATATGGTATGCTATGGTATAGATGGATATGTTCATGGCCCATTTAGTTCAACGATTCTGCCAGTTGGCAACTGTCGAAACAAAATCCTTGGGCTTGGTGTGGCTGGGAAATCCCCGCGGCCGAGCCAGGCTTCAAATGGTTTGAATGGGAACATGTCAACTATTTAGGGGTATTAACATCCATTTACCAGTTAACCTTTGGTTATTTAACATAGCCATGGAAAATGGCCCATTTATAGATGGTTTACCTAACTTAAAAATGGTGATTTTCCTTGGCGATGTTAAATAAACAGATGGTAAAATCCACCTCAAATCATGATCCCTTAGATGTTTGCTAGGTAAACATTCCCATTGCTCATGCTTGGTGCTTCATCCCACGAATCATAAGTGGGTTAGTTCACTCTAGTTAAAAGTGGAACAATTTAACGCTACTTGTCCCATTTCTAAGCACAGGCTTATAAGCTACGATTCGTGGGTAGTTCACCACCAAATATTCATGCCTTTGTTTGATGGCCGAAGGGTGTATATGGAAACATGTGCGTCTCACATCTTGTGTTTTGGGAAATCTTGGATGGTTCGCTAGTCTCGATTTTCCCCTATAATGCACGAAGTATATAATATTGACTCAAATTTGTTGCTTGGGAAATTCCCCATGTTGTGTGATATGCATACATATATATATATATATACATTGACCACTTTTAATATATAATTTTTGATATATTATTAATTCCCAAGTTCAATACATTATATATATACACATACATATTTTTGATATTTGATATTATCTTATATATCAATTAATGTATATATATATACATATATATATACATATACATATACATATATATACACATATATATTAATCTCTATCTATATATTGATATCAATCTATATCATTATATATATATATTTTAATATAAGATGAATTCCCAAGTTTCTTTCCGTCCCCATGTCGTTTCATGTGCCAGGCAAAACGCTTGTGTCACATGCGCCGCAAAGCTGGCAGAAATCTCAGCTCGGCTGTCGTTGTCCAACGACAGGGCGGAGGAGGAAGCCGTGAAAGAATTGCTGTGCCTTGGAACCATGGATGAAACCCTATTAAAAATTGGAGAACAACTATGAACAATGGCATATGTTGGGAATATCATGGTTGTATGTATATAATTGTATATATATATAATTATATATACATATATATTTCTGACTGGAACTGCACTTCCACGAAGCATTTTTTTTGTGGACAATCCTATGGGTTCCGGTTGGAAAATCCATGCCATGTGCCAAAGAAACGGGACAACATGGTGCCCTGCCAGTTGTCGGGGTTGGAAGATGAGTGAGTTTCCATTAAAAATGGCTTATTTTCAGGGTCCAACTGTTTATTTACCAGAGGGTAATAAGTCATCATGTTTAGAATATACCCTATGGTTATTTTACATAGCCATGGTATAGATGGCCCATTTATTGTTGTTACATTTTTCTTGTTTGATGCCAACAAATCAGTTTTCTTAGATAATTATGTATCATTCCACAATACTCCATAGCTGCTGGTGACTAAGAAGTTCTCTAAATAAGAAAGAACTTAAAACAAAAAACATGGGGAGCACCAAGATTCTTTTTTCGGGGTGGCATTGGTTGGAGTTATACGGCCCCACAAGGACGTTGTCAAAACATCCCGAAGTTATTTGAGAACCCTGGAAATTACGGCTTCAAAGAACCGTTGATGCCATATTAAATTAAAAAAACAGAGAATCTGAACCCAGGTATACCCAGCTAATCCTTTTTGATGGTATTCCCATGTATTCCCTAATATTCAATGCAGACCTAACGACATCGCGGTGCTATTAGATCACGAATTGGGGTCACATGTGACATCATTTGACCATATTTGACCAATATAAATAGAATGCAACATCTACATGCAACAAAATATCCTGGATATGTACCACAAAAATATCAATATACGAAAAAACCCATAATTATAGACCACTCAAATCATACTGTAATAGAATGATGATATCTTTAGTACATGGCGGTTCCCAGCGATTCCCGTAGATTTTCAGTTTTCTTTGGGGATAGTTATGGCAATGTATGCAGAACCACGAAGTTAAGCTCTTATCAGGGAAGCTGGGAAACAAGCAGATGAGATCGGCCCATTTTTATCCATTTTTCCTACTGTAGTGAATTCCACCATTTTTCATGGTGCTTGCAGGATCAATGCACTGACTAAGTTGTTAGTATATAGAAGTGATGATCACAACTGTGCGTCCACTTCTTGACTTGTCCAGATGATTAATCCCTTCCCCCGTTCATATTAAACATCCCCAAATGAAACCATGGTGGAGGGAATTTCCACGTTCCATTGGGATCATAGACATGGGGTGTTTAATATGAACGGATGATGGAATTATTAAGACTGGTTGGTGGTTTGGAACCATGGAATTTTATGACTTTCCCATCATATTTGGAATGTCATCATCCCAACTGACTTTCACTCCATCATTTTTCAGAGGGCTAGGTCAACCACCAACCAGATAATTATTAACCATCATTAACCATATAATAGCCATTAATATTTTTCAGAGGGCGACCGGTCAACCACCAGAAATGAGGAATTTTCCCACGACTGAAAACCACACGTTCTTGGTGAAGTCACCAAAAAACACCATATTAGTGGTAAATAGTGGTAAATAGTGGTAACATATCCAAGTCTATCCCCATTAAAATGAACATATGTGTCGTAAAATCATCAAAGTGTTGGTGGAAAATCCCCACTATATTACTATATGTTTATGAAATCACGTTTTTTGTCACCCTTTTCATCACCATTTCTCTTGCTCAATTCCACCATATTTTCCTTCGAAAATCCTAATAACATCCACATGTTTACCAGTAAAATCGATGAACATCCTGTCTTGTTGTCTAGTAAAAGCACATCTTTTAATCCAAAAACTAATCCCCAGTAGAATTCCACCTCAAATCATAATCCCTTAGAATTTCCTAGTAAACATCACCATTTTCCATGCTTGATGGTTCATCCCACCTAGAACGTCGCTTAGTTCACCCTAGTTATAATTGGAGTAACGTTACTTGTTCCATTGCTTATAAGCTACTTACGATTCGTGGCTAGTTCACCACCAAGTATAGTTTTCATTGTATATCCCATCAACATATACCCGGTATGATGTTTCAGTAAATCACCATAAATGGGATGGTAAAAACCTATATTTATGGTATTTTATGATAATTTGCCTGGAAAACCGCATCCTAATGTTTTCCATCATGATGGGTTTTTACATCATCTCTGTGGTAAAAACCATTCCCATGTTCCAAGTGGTAAAATCAATGGCCATTTCAGGAACTGATTTATTGGAGGTACCTACCATATATATATATATACATACACATAGATAACTATATATATACATACATATATACATACATGTATACAAAAAGGCCTTCTTTTTTAGGCATTTTTTAAGGCCTCAATTTCAGGGAATATCCCCTCAAAATATGGCCTGAAAAATGGGACTAACGTACCTCCGTTTTAGGATCCAGTATAATTCCCACCGATTGTTTTCCCATTGAAGATTGATTAACATATATGGGGATTTTATGGAGCATACAGCCAACAATATGGGCATCATGCAGTAATGTCAACCCTGAATTAATAAACCCCAAACGGCCGTTTAATTGGGGGAGTACCATTTATCATATTGTGACTATTTGGAGGGTACCACAATTTTCATGGTTACCATGTTTTTTTAATCCGGAGTTGACGTTATTGGATATGTCAACATATGTCTGGGTAAATTATGATATATTTCACTATCCTGAAATAAATTCGGCCATCATTTGGGATCATTTCCCTATACCCTCTGGTAAACTAACATAGCTATTGAAAATAATCATTTCTGGTTGATTTACCAAACGTAAAAATGGTGGATCTTCCCATAGTTTTTGTATTACCAGAGGGTAACCATTGTAAAAACCCAGCATTTTCCCTATAAAAGGGGATCATTCCCTATAAAAACCCAGCATTTTTAAGGTGCCAGGAGGACGCCCTGCTGCAGTTTTCTTCGAGGCGCTGCGGCCTCGAAGGCGAGCGCCGCGCGGCGCTGGAGGCGGCGCTCAGGACGCGGGAGGCGGAGGGGTTTGGAGCGGCGGGGCGGAGCGGGGCAGATGGCGCCAAATCATGGTGGCTTTACTATGAAAAATGGTAAAACATCAATTAAACATGGTGGATTTTGGATGGATTTTGAAAATTTTGGGGAGATTTGGAGGTCTTTTTTTATGGAAAGTCATAGTTTAAAATGGATTTATAATGGTAAGCATATCCTAAAATAGGGGTACACCCAATAGCTGGATGCTTTTTTTGGTGTAAAATCATATGAAATAGATTGTTTTTTCCAATATCAAAATGGACAATGGATTGATACTAGATTTTCATAGGAAAATAGATGGATGGTTTATAATGTATGGTATAATGGATGGTATATAATAGTTGGTTTATAAATATCAACATGGATTTAAGATGTTTTTTTTTTTTTTAAATGGATTTATGTACCCCAATAGCTGGATGGTTTATAATGGACAATCCTATGAAAACCTATTAAATATGGATGATTGGAGGTACCCTCCTATTTTAAGACACCTCCATTTGGAGGAAAACAAGGCGGATTTGGGGGAGATTTTAAAGCCGAATCATGGTGGATGTACCATGAAAAATGCTGGATTTGACTAGGAGAAATTGATGATTGAATGGAGATTCATGGGGATTTGGCGACTTGCTCCAAGTTGCCATAGACATTTATATTTTGCATTACTATATGTTTTGAACTTTTTATCCATTGATTAGGTTTAAGCTGGGGCTTGCAGGCAGGGATCTAACCATCAGTTTGGTAAGATGATCCTGCATGAGGTCATAGGAAATATGTCATGGAACCAGTGCACATATATATATATATATGTATGTATATATATAAACATATGTTTGCATGCAAACATGTGGATTATTGATAACACATGAATGTAATCGTTGATATATATATATATAGTGTATGTTTTTTGAAGCTGCAAGCAATGGGAAGTTACCCTCCGGCAAACAATCATCTACCAGTCGTAGAGCACTTTCCACCAGAACCAACGCGGCTTTTCCATGTCTATGTGAGTTTACTGGAGGTAAATCCACCGTTTGGTGTGTTATTTTTTTTGTGCGGTTTTGTTGATGGTAAATTCACCATAGTTCCTGCTTAAGGCACCATTTGTCCTTGCCAGATCCTAATATGTTTCAGGGTGACTGCATCATTCTTGGTGCAAAAGAATCCATTTTTGATGGTGACATTGCCATTTTTGTTAAGGACACATCTCATTTTGCGATTTTTTGTCCATGCTTAAGTCACCATCCTAGTTATAAGTAGATGAATCCTACTTATCCCGCTGAAATCACCAGGTTTATAAGCTACTTAGGATAAGTGGGATGAACCAACAAATAAATCACATGTTTTGTTGGGAAGACCATGGTGAGTTGACCGTTGACATCGACCCTTTTCGAAAGCGTTTTTTAGGCCCTGTCCCAGCGAAGCGCGCGTGCGTCGCTGGATGCGCGACAAGCGGCCCAACAAGCGAGGCAAAGATGGGGAATGGAGTGACTAATGTGGGTAAAACAATGCCATAAACCATCCCCCAGTCATCACCGTTTTTATAGGTGGTATGGTTGCCATTCCCAGTCATGGGTGGTTTATGGCATTGTTTTACCCACAGACATTAATGGTGATTAATGGTGACTAATGGTCATTGATGATTACAACATTCCGGTGATTAATAGTGATGAATAGTGCTGGACAAGATCATCTATAACGTTTGGGTCAACCGACTCGTTAGATACGAACTAGAGTACTCTAATCTTTTGCTATCAATGGTAACATGTACATATACTAACCAGCTAAGAAGTAGTTTTTTGGGCATCTAAGATTCAGCATGGTACATTCCATATTCCATCCTGATGTTGATGATTTGTTTGCTGTCTAACAACCACTTTTTTGGGGTATCCATCATTTCCAAACCCAACTATGATATCACGTTGGTAAGAGACATTTGCATGATTATAGGACCCAAAAAAGATAGACTTAGTCGTGTATTTTTTGAGTGGATCTTGGTGAAAGAGTTAAAGATCGTTAAACAGTTAAACCAGCCATTGTCTATAGATATTCCCATTATTTCCCATTAACATTAGGTATGAGTTCGATATCGCATTACCAGTAGGTTTGTTGAGACATTCCATGTTTACCAAGGCATGAAATGTCTCTCATTACTCCAATGTGGCCCCCTCCCCACTTACAAGTTGTTTTATAAGCCAAGCGCATGAGCTAGTTCGATATATCTACCTTAAGTCGGATATTGGAGTGATTTGCAGCAAGTTACATAGCATGACCTAGCTATTCGTGGTGGCTACAACCCCCGTCAACTATAATGATATTCCCGCTATCCACCTCGGTACTCGTACAATCCTGTTTAAGTATAATGATATGCTATTGATTTGGGGTATAATCCCCTTTCACTATAGATAAGATAGATACTGATGTCCCCCTTGTTTATTCGAGTTGTGTTTATCAACTTAGCTAGATTTTTGCTGGTATAATCCCTTTTAACACCCTTCAGCTATAGATATTATAGATATATCACCCAATTTCTAGCTATAACTTGGGGTCTATAATCATTTAATCCATGATATTTCCCTATTTCCCTTTACGGATCATGTTATATCCCATGATCTCCCCCAGACGGATGTCCAGGCATCGCTTGGAGAAGGCCATCGAGGAGGCAACACTGGAGCGCCTTGGCGATGAGGAGCACATGATCTGAGATAATGATAATCATTATCGAAAATTGCTGTGTATATATAAATGTATATATATATAAATGTATATATATATGTATATATATATATTTATGTATATATATACATACGTATATATATATGATATATATATATATACATGTATTTTTATGTATATATGTATATATGTATATATATGTGTATATATATATTGTGATTTCAATATATATTCCCTTTCCATGCTGAACTCTCCAGTTGGGGTCGCTGCCGATGTCATGTTCCTGCATGCCAGCCAGCAAGGGGTTCAACAAATTCCTGATGGCCATCTATAGGCCCGAGCGAGGGGTTTGTGCACACGGTGAGCTCAGAGGAAAATATCCTGAGCCAGCTGCACTTAGCTTGGGTGGGACGGTGCTGTTTGCCATAGGAGTGGCCATTGTCATAGAGGTTCAGGGGACCATCCTTTTTCAGATCTTCCTTTTGCTGTTGCCTGATTCAATCTTGGTTGACCCGATCATCAACATCATTCCTTGGAAGTTCCCTACCAATTGTGGACATTCCACATTGGTAGCGGAGCAACTGGCTCCTTAGGATTGCGTGGTGAACATACAACTGAGTTGCAGTCAGTGAAACTTGCAAGGACCAGTGTTTGAGGTCCAATACTTTTTGCTCTGATATCCTGAAAAGGAGGTGATCCTGTGGGATTTTGAACGATTTGGAGTCCACAATGTCAATGGATGGAACTTCCGAGCCTGGTGCGCCCTCCGGAAACAGCACAGGTTCACAGCTTCCCTGGCATTTGATTCCTCATTTCAGTCCTGGAGAAACGGATCTTACAGAGTATGCTAGACGCCTTGAGTTTCTAGCTGGCATTTGGCCAAGTGAATATCTCAACCAACTTGCTCCACGAGCAGCGTTGCAGTGCAAAGGATCAGCCTTTCAAAAGGTTGTCCGTCTGGACACTGAGAAGTTGAAGGTGAACAGTTTAGATGGAGTCAAACTCCTTGTCACTACACTTGGAGGAGTGTGGGGAAAGACTGTTCTTGAAGACAAATATGAGAAATTCGAACGAGCAGTTTTTGGAATTTCCCAGAAATCCGATGAAACCAACGAGTCGTACTTGGCCCGGCATGAAGTCCTGTTTGAAGACTTGATCAGCCAAGGAGCAACACTCAGTGATATGAGAGCCTATATCTTACTGAGGAACTCTGCCCTTGTTTCTGAGGACAAGAAGCGCGTGGTGATCGAAGCTCAAGGACACCTGAAGTACGAAGAAGTCACCAAGGCCATTCGTATGCTTGGTGCAAAGTTCTTTCAGGAGGTTCAAGGGAATGTGAAACAAAGTCGGACCAAGACCTATGATGTCAACCATGTCGAGGGTGATGAAGAAGTTTTCTATGGGGAAGAAGTTCAGTATGGTTTTTCAGTGGAAAATGCCGATGTATCTGAATATGCCATGGAACAGTTTCTGTCGGAAAATGATGAGGATGCACTTGTTGTGCAGCAGTTTGAAGATGCCCTCATCGACACGATCCAATCAGACGGAGAAATGAACGCCTTCATGAACTCTTACGTAGAAGCTCGACGCAAGTTGACAGAGAAAGCAAAGTTCAGAGGCTTCTGGCCAGTTCGTTCCAAAGGAGGTGGCAAGAAAGGGAAATCCAAGGGATTCAATGCCCGAGGCAGAAAGCCTCTCGCTGTCAGGATCGCTGAGTCGGAATGTCGACTCTGTGGGCAAAAGGGACACTGGAAAGCCGAGTGCCCCCGAAAATCACAGAATGCCACGACTGGAAGCTCTTTAGGATCCCAGACACAGCCTACCAACATGATGATTTCTGCCACTGATGCGAACGATGATGAAGCCGATGTTTTCCTGGTCGAAAGCCTTGTCCATGATGCATCCGATGTCCTACAGTCTGTTCAGGACCCGTCTCATGTCACCATACAATCTCACTCCCATGATGTTTTCACGTGTGAAGGGAATAATCATAATGGGGATAAGAATAAACTGGGGAATCCAAGGAACTGCCGGTTTTATGTCCAAGTCAGGGATAGGTTAAGTTTTCTGTGCCAACACATGGGTGTCCAAACGCCCTCCAGGAAGAATGAAGATGGCACCAGTGAGACAAACCCCTCGCCTGAATGTTGGAGCAATGACTCCGTGCATGCATCCGCCGATGGATTCCAAGTTTCAAGTGTTCAACCTGCTGCTCCGACAGATGCTCTTTTGCAGAAAGCCTCCATGAATGCGCCAGAGACTCCAGCCAATGAACAGTCCGTGTTGTTTGCAACTCACCAAACCATAGGAATTTTGGATCTGGGAGCATCACAGACTGTAATGGGTCGGTATCAGGTTGATGAATTCTTAGAACTGCTGCCTGAAGCAGCTCGCTGTCGTGTCTTTGAGCAGCCTGTGGACATGTCGTTTCGTTTTGGAAACAACAGCGTTGTCCCATGCCGAGTGGCGTTGATGGTGCCTGTGGATCGTTTTTGGATTAAGATTGCAGTGGTTGATACCAAAACACCTTTCTTGATTTCCAACAATGTTTGCAGATCTCTTGGAGCTGTCATTGACACCACCAATCAGACCATATGTTTCCGTGAATTGGACTGCACCATGCCATTGACCCTTTCTGGCAAGAAACTGTTCCTGCTGGATTTCTCCGAGCTCGTTTCGTTGCGACCTCCCAGACCTGCTGAGTCCGACAAAACACCAATGCTGAAAGCCGAGAATGTCTGTTCGTGTCAGTCCGAACAGTCCCAGTTTCCATCCAGTGTGTCGCACCAAGATGCATTGAAGATCAACACTGAAAGTCTTGAGGTAGAGAAGGAAATGACTATCCAGCCTGATGTAGATAGAACTGAGGAAGCCAATTCTTCAAGTCATGTTTCGTCAGATAGGATCAGCACGTCAAGTGAAGCAGTTACCGAAGTTCTCCGGGATCAATCCAACCATCAGCCCACCGAGACTTCCAATTCATTGCCGTGTGCGAGTAGCCATGTCCTTAAACAACCTTGCGGATCGCTTCGCTGCCGTTCAGGAGATGCAGAACAAGTCGAGCAAGGAGCAGACTCTGATGGCCTTGAGCATGGAAGAACTCCAGAACCTCACCATCAAGTTCGGAACTGCAAAGGCCGGACTTACGTTCAAGGAGGTGGTCGAGACAGATCCAAAGTACTGTCAGTGGTTTCTTCGCCAATGGGGATCCAGCAGCAAGAGCGAGCATCAGGAGTTCCTGTTCTTTCTGAACATGTGGACGGAACGCAAGGAATTCGAGAATGGGATCAATGGATCCAAGACTGGCGCCCAACTGCCAGTGAAGCCGCAGCCGAAAGCCGGTGGCAAGGCTCATGGTGCCTCCTCCACGGGGATGCCGATCGACCTCGAGATCGACGAGGAGCCGTGGGATCAGGTGTCCCTAGCCGAATCCCTCATGCCACCAAAGATGATGAACCGCATCGACCAGCTCGAGAATGTACTGATGCAAGTCGTGAGTCAGCTGCAAAGCCTGACACCGCCTGCCGCAGCGGCCCAGTCCGATTGACTCAGCCAGCTCAGACACTGATGATTGATCAGGTGGTTGAAGAATATAATGCTTACATGTCTAGCCTGGGTAAGGAGAAATATCCGGTTCAGAGATCTTCTGTTGTGTCATCCAATTGGGTCTTCTGTGAAATGATGCAATATTTCTCACAGCATGGTCATAATCCTGGACATAGTCGATCAAGCCTGGATGTTCTTGAAGTTTATTGTTCTGCTGACAGCCGCTTGACATCGCAGTGTCAACAACAAGGACTTCGAGCATTGCGTTTTGGCCTGAAACAGGGAGATTTGAATACATACGAGGGTCGATGTCAGCTGTACAAAGTCCTCCAAAGTTCTCCAAAGCATATTTGGACATCTCCCAAGTGTAAGGCCTGGTGCAAATGGTCTCAGTTTAATGCGAACAGGTCCTTAGAAGCTGCACAAAGGGTTTGTCAAGCTCAGGAAGATGACGAAGTGCATCTTCTTCTGTGTGCTGCGCTGTTTAAATTGCAGGCCATGCGAGGTGATTCCTTTCACTTCCATCTAGAACAACCTGTCGGATCGCTGATGTTGGGACAAGAATGCCTTCAGGAAGTCATGGATCATGCCCATTGTGTGCGTTGTGACATGTGCACTGCTGGGAAATTGACACATCCAAACATGAACATACCTCTACAGAAGGGCACTCAGATTGTCACCACTTCCAGCATTCTTGCCAGGTATATCCAACAGTTCAGATGTAAGAACGATCATGAACATGTTCCAGTAGCAGGATCCTATGTCAAAAACAATGGAACTCATGGTAGACTCTCTGAGTATACGGAACTGTACACTCGCATGTTCTGTCAACGTGTTGCACGCACCATCTGTGCGAGTTTACAAGTTCAAGAGCTGTCCACAATATCACAAGACGTGATCCTTGGTTCGATGGAAGAATTTTCTGAAGCTGCCGCTAAGCGAAGACGCCTCAACAGCAAAGTCTTTCAGCCTGAGGGATATCCAATTGCCCCTTCTCCAAGCGTTCCTGAAGGAAATGTTGAAAGCACATCCGAGGCAAGTTCCTCTCATGATGATTCGAAATCCTCCAAGAAGATGATTCTTGATCAAGCTTTGCAATTAGCACCTCGTGTTGGTAAGACTGTGCTTGAGCATGGAGTCTTGTTTGATGTTGTGCAACAAGCATTTCCTGACCATATAGTGCGAGTTGTTGAGCTGTGCAAAGGAGCGGACCGTTTCCGCAAATCCCCAGTGAAGTTGATACCACATGAGGCTCCTCTCCGCATGACACTTGGAATACACCGCCATAGCCTTGAACCTTTTCCTGATTCCCAATGGGAACAATGGGAGAACCGTTGAACCTCAGCATGCGCCAATTGTGTTCCAAAAGTCCTCCAGCCCGGTTGTTAGTAACAGTGTTTGCCAGAGAGAAGAGTGGTATCAAGAGAGATCACGAAGATGACCCAAAGGACAGTCAGTCACCTTTTTGTCCATCCCATGCCTCCAAGAAGCTTCGTGATGATAGCCAAGGTTCTGATCATAGTGAAGATAATTCCTGGGAATCCAACCAACAACCTTACAGAATCTCAGATGTTCAGACTCCATCAAACAATTCAGACAAATTCCAAGAAGCTGCAACCGGATCACCATCAGCAGTTGAACCCAATGCACAACTTAAACAATCAATAGTACATCACGGACCCAAATTCCTATCATTACCACTTCAACAAAGACAATGGATTTCCAAGATACACCACAATCTTGGCCATCCTAGCAACCGAAAACTTCAGAATGTACTCCAACAACAAGATGTGGATCCAACCATCATTCAAGGTGTGGAAGATTTCCGATGTAGCACATGCGTTGAGCTGCAGGAGCCAAAAATATCTCGCCCAGCTAGTTTGCCTGAACCGCGTGAGTTCAATGATTGTGTGGGCTGCGATCTTGTGACATGGACCTCCAGAGCTGGGAAGCAGTTTCAATTTTTGCACATGATCGATGCTGCCACCAATTTCCAGATTGCTGCACCAATTTTTCGAACTGATGCCGAATCCATGTTTGAAACTATGCAAGACTGTTGGTTCCACTGGGCAGGACCATGTCAACAATTGATCGTTGACAATGCATCCCCGATTTGCTCCGATCAGTTTGCCGAATATGCTCAAGGTCAGAACATTCACCTTAGGGTGATTGCTGCGTTTGCTCATTGGCAAAACGGAAAGACAGAGCGTCATGGGGATATCCTTCAGCACATGCTTGAAAAATTTGATGTAGATCGTGAAATCAAGACGGATCTGGAATTCCGACAAGCCTTGCGTCTGTGTTGTCAGGCAAAGAACTCCTTGGCTAGGTCAAAGGGATACACACCGGAAATCCTTGTTTTAGGTAAGAGCAGAAAGATGCCTGGTAGTTTATGTGAAGATCATGCCGATCCTGCGCAGTACCTAGCTGACTCAGAAAGTCCCGAGGGTCTTGCCTTTAGACAACACCTCGAATACCGTGAACTGGCCAGAAAAGCATTTGTGCAGACTGACAACAGTGATCGTTTGAGACGAGCCTTTCTGCGTCGTCAACGACCGCATCGTGGTCACTTTGCCAGCGGTGCTTTTGTCATGTTCTGGCGTCCCGGCCGTGGTGAAATCAAAGGCAAATGGCATGGACCAGCTAGGATCATAATCCAGGAATCTGAGAATGTTATTTGGATTTCATTTTCAAGTCGTGTTTATCGAGTTGCACCTGAACATGTCCGGTTCCTTTCAGAGAGAGAAGCCCATCAGTACAGTACAACTCTGGAAGCCACCAATATGTCACCTCCTCCAAAAGAACTGGGGAAAGGAGTTTTCCAATATGAAGATTTGACAGGCTTTCAAGGAGTGCCACCTGATAACATGAACCATGAAAACATGCCTGGAAATGAGATGCCTCTGGAAGCAGCTCCTGCTGTTGATGCCACACCGGAAGCCAAGAGTCAACCTGACTCTGAACCGTGTATGCCCCCTGCCTCTCAGGCAGACAGTGAGTACACTCCCACGACTCCTTTGCATGAAGAAACAAATGATAACCCAGAGTTGAAACCTGAAGAGGTTCCTGTTCCTGAAGCTGATGACCTCATGCTTGAAGATGTCTGGGTGTGTCAGACAGATAAGATCATGCGGATTCATAACAAGCCTCGTTTTTCCGCTTTTGATCCAAGTAGCTGCACAGATTGTCCTGTGGACATCCTGCACTTGTCCGACACTCGCGTCACAACGGGCACAACTCCAACAGGGGCTGTTTGGCTAGAACATGATATGTGGGGATGTCCTGAGAACGCCTGGTGTAAGGATCAACCCTGGACTGGAGTTTCCGTTTTTATTGTAGTACCCGATGCTGGACAAGCCATTCTGTCCTGTGAAGATGTGATGCATGTTTCTCATGACCAAGTTTTGGAGTGCGAAATTTTTCTGACAGAACACGATGTAGAACAAATACATAATCATCCAAAGGAATTTCCAAGTTTAGTAGCCTCAGCTGCCAAACGTCAAAGAGCCGAAGTTAAGATCAAAGACCTGACGCCTTCTGAAATCCGTGAATTCCAAAAGGCCAAAGAGAAAGAAATCAACCAATGGCTTGATACAAACACTGTTCGTAGAATTCTTCGAAGCAAGATTCCAGAAGAGAACATCTTAAAGTGTCGTTGGGTGTTAACCTGGAAGGACTTAGATGCTACGGATGCGGCCATTGAGGGAAAGAATCGAAAAGCTAAAGCGAGACTTGTTGTTCTCGGCTACATGGACCCCAATATCACCGAAATACCAAGAGATTCTCCAACGTTGCAGCGCGATTCTAGATCTCTTTTGTTGCAATACTGTGCTGCGCGTCGCTGGAAGATTCGAAGCTTTGATGTGAAAACCGCGTTCCTTAGAGGATCCCGCCGGGATGACCGTGTGTTAGGAATAGAACCTCCAAATGAACTCAGAGAGAAGCTTCAGTTAAAAGAAAATGAAACCTGTGAACTCCTAAAGTCCGCATATGGCCTGGTAAATGCTCCATACCTCTGGTACGTGGAACTTAAGGAATGTTTACTGTCATTGAACTTCCAGATCAGCCCCTTGGATCCTTGTTTATTTCCCCTGGTTGATGAACATGGAGCAGTACATGGACTGATTGGCATCCATGTGGACGATGGTCTTTGTGCAGGAGACGAGGTTTTTGACAGGGCTCTACAGCAGTTGGAAATTCGGTACCCTTTTGGTTCTAAACGTGACACCAACTTCACCTTCACAGGAATCCAACTTACTCAAGATAAACAGTTCAACATATTTCTCAGTCAAAGGGATTACATTTTTGCCATTGAAGCTATTCCCATTGAACGTCAACGAAGAAAGCAAGAGTCGCTGCCAGTAACCGAAGGAGAGCGCCAAAACTTGCGTGGCCTTATTGGCTCCCTGCAATATGCTGCGACAAATACGCGTCCTGACCTCTCAGCACGTTTGAGCTTTCTCCAGTCAAAAATAAACTGTGCTACCATCAAAGACCTGTTGGAAGCAAACCGACTTCTGGGAGATGCGAAGACACATGCTGACATGTCAATCAAAATAGCTAGCATGCCATGTGATGACATTCGAATAGTGGCGTATTCTGATGCCTCTTTTGCTACACGAGAGAAACTTCATAGCCAAAAGGGAGGTTTGTTTCTAGCAACTCACAAGGACATTTTTGATCAGAAAAGTGCTATTGCAAGCCCACTGTCATGGTATTCAAAGAAGATTGATCGTGTTGTTGCAAGTACTCTGGCATCCGAAACGTATGCATTGTCATCTGCAGTGGACACTGCCAACTGGCTCCGTTTGATGTGGGAATGGATTAAAAATCCGTCTATTCCTTGGCGAAATCCTGAAAGGGTCTGGATGAAGGCTCCACCCGGCATTGCAGTGATGGATTGCAAGTCCCTCTTTGATGTCATTTCAAAGAACACAACACCTCAGTGTCAAGAACATAGAACTCTCATTGAAGCCCTAGTGATTAAAGACCATATTCAATCCGGAGTAACACCCTACTGGGTTCACAGTGCTGCTCAATTATCCGATGCATTAACCAAAATCATGGACAATTTTCGACTTCGTGAATTTCTCAAGCAAGGTAAAACCTGTCTTCATGACATTGATGAAACTCTGAAACAGCGCGCCGATCGAAAGGCCTTCAAGACCTGGTTGTCAGAAACGGTTTCCAACACCGTGCATCCCTACGAAGCACCAACACCACCAGGATGAAAGCTGCAAAAAGTATAAACAAAAGAATTTTTTGGGAGTGTGATTTCAATATATATTCCCTTTCCATGCTGAACTCTCCAGTTGGGGTCGCTGCCGATGTCATGTTCCTGCATGCCAGCCAGCAAGGGGTTCAACAAATTCCTGGTGGCCATCTATAGGCCCGAGCGAGGGGTTTGTGCACACGGAGAGCTCAGAGGAAAATATCCTGAGCCAGCTGCACTTAGCTTGGGTGGGACGGTGCTGTTTGCCATAGGAGTGGCCATTGTCATAGAGGTTCAGGGGACCATCCTTTTTCAGATCTTCCTTTTGCTGTTGCCTGATTCAATCTTGGTTGACCCGATCATCAACATCATTCCTTGGAAGTTCCCTACCAATTGTGGACATTCCACAATATATGTATATATATATATATGTATATATATATGCATATATATATATATATGTATATATGTATATATGTATATATTTTTTATTTATGTGTATATATATATATGTATATGTGTATATATATGTAGATATACTGTATATATATATATATACTGTATATAGATATATCTGGTGAATATTGTATGGTCCCAATACACGGGGGAAGGGATTCATCCAGAGTGAAGATGAAATTTGATGAGATTTGATGAGGTTTATAGTGGATTTTCTCATTAAAAATGGTGATTTTCCATGGTTATGTTAGTTTACCAGAGGGTAATTAGTTGAAGCATCATATTTAGTGTGACTTTTACCTTCATCGATAGGGAATCTGATTAGGTATTGTTCATGTTTTTTTGGTGTATCATCTATAGTCTATAGGGTTTGAAGGATTTTAACCATCGCACATGACATATATTGACATATTGGGATCCAACTGGTAAACGATTGTTGATGACTTGTGGGGTTGCGATACCCATTGTATCAGGGATTGTTGAAGTCAATCAATTGGGAATCCCATTCTTAAGCAATTAAGGACAGCGGTTTTTAAGAAATGCAAATAAATGTTTGGATAGACAACTCACAGTCTTTGCGTCTTGGCAGGAATTGTGAGTTGTGAGGATTATACATATATATATACATACATAGAATTACATAACTTAAATAATTTTGATTATTACAATAGTATTTGTGACAAATATACAGTTACATATTTTTACCAATTCATTTTCACCAAAGATTGATAAACCCCTTTGCCACTAGGTGGTACCATTTTAAATTGGTATAATATTTGATCACAGTTTGGGGGTCAACCCCCGGTTTTAAAGCAACAAAGTGTATTAATCCAGAATTACCAATATGTCTTCCTCTAGATAGGAGGTAGGACGATGGTATAATGAGGTACTGTATAATTGGAGTTTACGATATCATATGGAGATGTCATTGGGGGCTAGTATTCATGTAATGTAATTATATATATACATGCTGTTTGGTGGTTTGGAACATTTGGATTATTTTTACATATATTGGGAATGTCATGATCCCAACTGACTTTCATATTTTCCAGAGGGGTAGGTATACCATCAACCAGCATATATACATGTATGTGCACAAATGTGCATATTGATTTGTCCAACTCTACAGGAATTACCCAAAGCTTGGAACAAAACCATCATCGACGGGATGAGATGCATTGGGCGCCAGCCACCATCAGCCACCATGGGATCATCGTAGTAAAACACCTCTTTCACCATTCAAAGCACGTTGGATGTGCTCTACTTGCGACCCTCACGAACTCAAAAACTGTGGATGGGATATTGCGAAAAAACCATTTATAAACCAGCAATTTTGGATGGCAAAAGCCCAGTCGAAAATCATGGGATGTTTACCATCTATCAACTGGTTTACCCTGAGGATTTCACTGGAAAATGCTGACCCTCTAGTAATTTCTTACAGTTTGCGACATAGAAAATGGCCCAGTCGAAATACTTAAGATTTACCCAGCTAGAAAAAACGTGATTTTCAATCGTTTATGTAAACGTTTGCTGGAGGGCAATCTAAGTTGTGATATCCCATGAATAAGTGGCTAAGTAGCTCTTAAGCGGTACGTGCCCCTAAGAGCCCAGGCAACCAAAATGAAGAAACCAAATATGAAGCTTTAAATAAGATACATACCCTATAGATATCTATAGCTTAGTTTATAACTCCATATCACTATAGATTATTTTTTTAACGATACCACCTAGTGAGCCCAGCTGTAAACCATTTGAAACCTATCATACATCCACCATATCCCAGTTTTCGATGGTTTTTTGTCCCATTTCTGTTGGTCCAGTCCCGATAGAAATTGGTGGTACCTCACCCGAGAGGCTGGAGACCTTAAGAGAAGAGCTCCCAGCAGAAGTGCAACGCCTTCAAAAAAGCTGGGAAGAGAAGTGGCAGCAACAAATGGAGGCTGGCGAAGTAACGTGGTGCTCCGAAGTTTACTAAGAGGTCAAAAAACCGGGATTTATGGTAGATATATGGAACTAGTTCATGGGCTTTGGATCCAACCCTGGGAAGGCCGCAAGTGGGGACGTGCGGAAGTTGTGTATCCCATTTTTGGTGATATAAAACCAAGAAACATGGGGATACAATAGCGATATGATGGGGATATTTTCTGGGATGACACATTCGATACTGTGGATGGGCCAGCGAAATCCTGCACCAGTGGTAAGTATTGGTAACATAACTCAACACTGTAGAGTTCATGGATTATTTCATGGGATGTCTACCATATTTTACCACCGGTGCAGGACTTCAAGTCCTCCGGCGAAACGGTGGCTTTAGGGATACCCTCAGAGTTCAGACAAAGCTACACTGTACACTGTACACGTAGTAGATGGGAATGGCTGAAAAACCACCTATTTATGGTGATTTGGGGGATGGTTTATGACATTGTTTTACCCACATTGATGGAAATCACATCTGGTTTGCGTGAACATGGTTGAGTTAAAGATATATGTGTGCAAGATGTGTTCCGTTTTCCCGGTTGAATGAACATGGGTGTTTACTGTGTTTACCAGCGAGGATAGATGGATTGGTCTTAAAACAAGGTACCCCATTTTCTCAAGCAGTTGAAATTGCTTGAAACTATCAGTATCCGACTCTAGATCGGGGATAACCTCGTTGTTAGTACAAACGAAGAATCATGATGTCTATACACCATGGTTTTTGTGGATTGATGTTACTGATGTTGCTGCCCTTCAGTCCACACGTTCTTGGTTTTTGGCAGACACATGTTTCTGGCTGTGTATTCTACATCATATTTTCCTATTATATATCATATATATGTAATGCACAACCATATAATATATTATACACACTCCATTATACAAGAGTTACAAGACAGTTATGATATATGGAATTATTACATTGATATACATATTGTAATATATACATTGCTATTCACACACTTAAATGTTCCACATATTGTGGTTGGTATCATGTCTATGTCATCCCCATTCGATCCCAAGGAGTTGACAATGCGCGGAAAACATCTGCCCAGGCCCACGACAGTTCGCAGGCCTTGTCCGCTTTGCGTCAACGGATCAAGGAGCTGAAGACACAGCAGCTCGGTGAGGGGTTGACCTGGCGGAGTGGGTTGCTTCGTTTCGCGTGGCGTGGCACTTCGTGACATTCAGACGTGTTTTGTAACGTGTCGAAAGTGGTTTTGTGTGGCAGGCGCAGTACTTTTGCGTCGTTCTCAGAAGATGCGTTGCATTTTTCGTGGCAGGCGCAGCTCTTTGGACGTGTCCATCGTCATTTTGCGTGGCAGGCGCAGCACTTTAGATTTGTCTTGTGGCTTGTTTTTGCGAACCGCATTGTCAGGGCTGCGTCCAGTGGTGACAACGTGCAAATTCCGTGGCAGGCATGGCATTTTGTGAGATGTGCTGAAAATTGACGGAAGCCTCGCACGAGACATCGATTTCGAGGTAGCCAATTTTGAGGTTCATAAGAAAACTCGTAGGAAAACGTCGGTTTTGAAGCTACAAAGTGTGAAAATTGGAGGATGTCTCGCACGAAATGTTCGTTTGCTCCAGCATGTATCGTCTCGAGTCTCTGGTTTTCCCGTGGCCTCGCCGTGTCTATGGGGGAAGCTGCAAAACCTATCCTCCTGTTTCAAGGTGTCAAAGCAGGTTGTAATGTCGTTTTGCGTGGCAGGCGTGGCGCTTCTTGACGTTTTCACGTGTCTGCACTTTACACTTTACACTCTACAATTTTCTCTCCACACTCCACACTTTACACTCCACACTTTGCACTTCACACTCCGCAATTTTATCTCCACTCTCAACACTTCACACTCCACTCTGCACTTTACACTTTACACTCCACACTTTACACTTTACACTCCTTACTTTACACTTTACACTCCACACTTTACACTCCGCAATTTTTCTCTCCACACTCCACACTCCACACCACACTTTACACTTTATACTCCACACTTTACTCTTTACACTCCACACTCCACACCACACTTTACACTTTACACTCCACACTTTACACTCTACACTTTACACTTTACACTCCACACTTTACACTCCACACTCCACACTTTACAATCGACACTTTACACTTCACACTCTACTCTTTACAATCCACACTCCACACTCCACACTTTCCACTTTACACTTTGCACTCCACACTCTACGCTCCACACTCTACACTTTACACTCTGCACTTTACGCTTTACACTCCACACTTTCCACTTTACACTTTACACTTCACACTCTACACTTTACACTCCACACTTTGCACTCCACTCTTTACAATGCACTCTTTACACTCCACTCTTTACACTCCACACTCACTTTACTTTACTCTCCACAATTTTCTCTCCACACTCCACACTCTACACTCCACACACTACACTCCACAGTCTACACTCCACACTACACACTTTACACTTCACACTCCACACTCTACACTTTACACCTTGCACTTTACACTCTACACTTTACACTCCACACTTTCCACTTTCCACTTTACACTCCACACATTACACTTTACACTCCACACTTGACACCTACACTTTACACTTTACACTCCGCACTCCACACTTTACACTCCGCACTCCACACTTTACAATTTACACTCCGCACTCTACACTTTACACTTTTTACTTTACACTTTGCTCTCTACACTCTATACTTCCCACTTTCCACCCGACACCTCACACTGTACACTCCACACTCCACAATCCGCTCTTCACACTCTACACACTACATTCCCACTCAACACTCCACTTTCTTCACGCCCCACACTTTGCACTCCACCCTCTTCCGCATTCCAGTCTACAGTGCACTGGTACGGTAACAGGCGGTAACAGGGGCAAAATGTACAAGACTGTTCAAATAACTTGTTTCACACAAGTGTTCTACGTGACTGCATTCGGGTTCGTGGGCTGCATCTTGTTTTACTGAACAGATTGTGTCTTTCTTTTGAACGTTCAACTGTCATATGTTTGTTGGATTTGATATAGTGTAACATGTTTTGATGATATGTTTTTCGGGTGTTTTATCATGTTTGAATATGTGTCAATTTGTTTGAATAAGTTTTGATGTCAAGGTTCTGCGTCTTGATCTTCAGCATTCAGGCATTTGGGCTGTGATCACTAACTAGTCTCCCGGTTCAAAAGGAAAAAACATCTCTGAAAAGGCTGGCTGATGTGAGAGAGATTGGATCAACTTTTCATGTCTCTACCTGTGAAGATCTGTGAAGATCTCTTTGAAGATCCCTGAAAGCTGCGGAGTAATGCGGCGCATGTCCTTGGTCTACTTAGGCTCCACTCCCGCAGGTTTTACCCATCGTCCGAGGCATGTGGCCCTTGTGGACGCCACGGAAAGAAAGCGATCAGAGGAATCCCACGTAGAGGTGGAACGCCGAGAACAGGAGCGCCCCGAGAACGGCGCAAGGGAGGTGTTTTTCTTCGGGTGGATTCCAGGTTTGCAAGACTCTTGAAGGCTTTAACATGTCATGCCTATCATTTCATATATTTACATTTCAATCATATATTAATATTCATAATATATAAATATATATTAATATTCATAATATATATGTATATGTATATTATATTATATTATATTTATATTTATATTTATATTATATTATATTAATATGTATATCTATATTTATATTATATTATATCTATATTTATATTATATTATATTATATTTATATTTATATTTATTTTTATATGCATATCTATATTTATATTATATTATATTACATTATATTTATATTTATATTTATATTTATATTTATATTATATTATATTTTATTATAATATATTATTTATATTATATTATATTATATTTTATCATATTGTATTTATATTTTATTAAATTAAATTATATTATATTTATATTTATATCATATTATACTATATTATATTTATATTTAATTTTATATTTATTTTATATTTTATTATATTGTATTTATATTTATATGCATATCTAAGTCATATCTATATTTATATTATATTATATTACATTATTTTTATATTTATATTATATTATTTTTTATTATATTGTATTTATATTTTATTAAATTATATTATATTATATTTATATTTATATTATATTATACTATATTATATTTATATTATATTATACTATATTATATTTATATTTATATTTATATTTATATTATATTATATTATATTTATATTATATTATATTTATATTATATTATATTATATTATGTTATGTTATATTTTATATTATTATACTATATTATATGATATTAGATTACATTACAATACATTATATAATATAATATAATATTTTATAATATAATATAATATTGTACTATATTATATATTTATACATATCCCTTGAAGGTATGGTGAATAGTTTGTTTCATAGTTTTACCATACATGTGCATTATATTTCCATGTTTCTCCACCAATAAATTGTTTCCGTCTCCTGCAACTTTTCGCAGGTTTTCCCTGGAACATCCCATGTTTTTTACGTATGTTCCATGATTTTTCCATCTTTTCCTGGATATTCTCACTGTTTTCCCACATGTTCCCATGTTTTCCCCGGATTTTCTCATGTTTTCCCCATTTTCCTATGTTTTCCCTGGATTTTCCAATGTTTCTCCCACATTTTCCCATGGCTTTCCCAGCTTTCTGAAGGGCCCGTTGCCCATGTCTCGAGCTCCAGGAGGCCGAGTTGCGGTCCTCGGCACTGCAGCAGCAGCAATTGCAGGAGGCGAAGCGGCGGAAGGCGCAGGAGGCGACGGCGACGCATGTTTTTCGACGGGGACGTCCCATGGGAAATCCATGGATTTTCATGGGAATTCAATGGGATTTTGATTGGGAATTCATGGGATTGGGAAAGAAACCGGGAAACTCATGGGATAATCTCATGAAATTTAAGCAACAAGAAATGGTGATTCAATGGGATTAAATGGACATTAATGGGATATAATGGACATCACTGGGATAATTATATAGTAATACAGTAATAGTGGGATTGAATGGGATAGCTACAATAGTCATGATCGTTATGATCGTCAAGATAGTGATAATAGTCAAGCTAATGATAATAAACCATTGCCATAATAGGTAGAATAGTATATGATATATAATAGTGATGGTGTATAATACATATCAAATATAGTTTGTAGTAGGATATAGTGTATAGTATATACTGCATAATGAATGTTTGATTTGCTGAACCAGTGATTTTTGTTGTTTTCCCATTGGTTACTCCACCATGACCGGGGAATCTATCGGGATTATTCTATGATGGACATCATTTCAGCCTACTTATAAACTGGCGTGGCAAGCTGCGGGGCACCACCTTGTACTCATTGGCTTAAGTGTTGGATGGGCCCAGCATTTGCCTGTGCAGAAGTACAGTAGTAAACTCGTGTAATGACTCCGGTACTAACTATAAATTGTAGCAGTTGTGCATATCAATTCTACGTAGTACAAATCAAGAATAACCCCAATATTCATTGAGCGTATAATATGGGTATTATGGTCCTGACTGGTACCACTTGGGTCCTAGTTATGGTACAGAACAGTGTCTACCTCGCATTAATTATCACTTGTAACTTGTAACCCGGTACTGCACTGGTATTAATCTTAACTGTCACCGTGTTGGAACAGGTATCATTTTGTCAACGAATCCTTTGGTCACCAAAAATCAATAGTCAGTACTTCACCTTCATCAATTAATGCAGCGTCTTTTTAATACGTGCTGATTGGTGAATGGTGATCGATGACGATCATTAGTATCGACCGCCACTTGGATAATCACACATAAGATTTGCATCAACAATTGATGGACACTCATGGATATCAATGGTACTTGTAGACACATTCACTGGACCAGCATGATCCACGCATTATCATTCACCATCCGCAGATGGTTGCTGATTATTTGCTGAAGATATTACTTACGATTTCGTGATTCGATGGGATCTGTAATGTGGTTAAAACAATCATAAACCACCCCATTTTTGATGGTCTATACCACCCATAAAATTGGTGATTTTGGGGATGGTTTATGGCATTTTTTTTAAATCCACATTAGTCCCATAATACTGTTTTGATGTGTGCCGTGACAAGTTGGACAGCCATTTTGGGGGGATGGTCATCAATCCATTCACACAGATTAAAATACCGACCTTTTTTTTTGGCTTCACACAATGGGACCGGGTACCCCAGGAAAGTAGCTCCAGTCAAACACCACTTTGTGCCATCAAAAGTTGGATCGTTGAATCCCACATTGGGGGGATGGACATCGTACTTAAGAGGGAAATTCATGGCTTAGGAATCTAGAATGATGGGATGACAATACCTCATTTTTCCCATTTCGTTGGTGAAACCCTATAATAGGTGATTTCCATTTATTAGCCTATAATATGACCCTATATATCCCTATATAATACATAATATGTTTCCCATTTTACCCAGTATTACCCTATAGTGTTTTATGTCCATTTAACGCTGCTGGGATGACCATGGCTCGGTTTCAAGGTGGAGAAGTGTCGTTTCGGTCTTTGGGAGCCTTGGTTGAGTGGGCCCACTGAGTCATGAAGCGTAAATCCAGGTAAACCCTATGAAGTGATAGGTATATCATGGCCTATCTTTATTACTATGGGTGTATCCGTATATGGAGGTTTCCATAGTCATGGGATCCCCAAAATAGTTGGTGTTTTTGATGGAAAATGCCATTACTGGTTGGTGGTTTGGAACATGTTTTATTTTTCCATATATTGGGAATGTCATCATCCCACCTGACGAACTCCATCATTTTTCTGAGGGGTTGAAACTACTAACCAGATGGAAAATGCCATTCAAAGTGGTAATTGTGGGGTAGGAAACCGCCAGAAAAAACCCTATGCCGCTGGGTTTCCACCCTGTATTCGATCCCTTGTGCCTTGCTGGCGATGACTGGACCCATCGTTGAATCTCACTTGGTGGCAGTGGGATTGAATGACCAGTTGGGAGATGGTCATGATTTAAAAAGAAACAACCTATTTCTGGTCAACTTGCGGAGTCTTTTTGAAAAAATACCTATTTTATTTCTGGTCAACTATTTGTACCCCTAGTTCTCATCCATTTCAATAGGATTTTCTATAAACCATCCAGCTAGTGGGGGTAATGTGGGTAAAACAATGCCATAAACCATCCCCCAGTCGTCACAATTTTGATAGGTGGTATGGTTACCATTCCCAGTCATGGGTGGTTTATGGCATTGTTTTACTCACATTACCCCTATTTCAGGAAACCATCTATTCTAACCATTATAAATCCATTATAAATCCATTCTAAATCCATTCTAAATCCATTATAAACCATGATTTTCCATTATAAACCCCTCAAATCTCCCTGAAAAAAATGGTCGAAACCACCCGGGGATTCCGAGATCCGAGGACGTGGAGCAGAAGATCAGCGACGCCACGGAAGCACGCCTGGTGCAATTGAGACGGGCCGAGATGCGGTGACTTGGGACGACCAGTGATTTATATGGGATTTTTTTCGGACATAAACCATGAAACATGATGGATTCATAGGGATTTATATGGATGTGTATGTTTTTTTTTTTTTCGGACATAAACCATGAAACATAGTGGATTCATAGGGATTTATATGGATGTGTATGTTTTTTTTTTTTTCGGACATAAACCATGAAACATAGTGGATTCATAGGGATTTATATGGATGTGTATGTTTTTTTTTTTTTTCCGGACATAAACCATGAAACATGATGGATTCATAGGGATTTATATGGATGTGTATGTTTTTTTTTTTTTTCGGACATAAACCATGAAACATAGTGGATTCATAGGGATTTATATGGATGTGTATGTTTTTTTTTTCGGACATAAACCATGAAACATAGTGGATTCATAGGGATTTATATGGATGTGTATGTTTTTTTTTTTTCGGACATAAACCATGAAACATAGTGGATTCATAGGGATTTATATGGATGTGTATGTTTTTTTTTTTTTCGGACATAAACCATGAAACATAGTGGATTCATAGGGATTTATATGGATGTGTATGTTTTTTTTTTTTCGGACATAAACCATGAAACATAGTGGATTCATAGGGATTTATATGGATGTGTATGTTTTTTTTTTTTCCGGACATAAACCATGAAACATAGTGGATTCATAGGGATTTATATGGATGTGTATGGTTTTTTTTCGGACATAAACCATGAAACATGGTGGAAAAATTGGTGGATTCATAGGGATTGATATGGGATTTTTGTTCTGGGAAATCCACGGGTTTTTACAAGGCACACATGGTGGTTTTAATGGGAACACCATCCAAACAAAATACAATTGGGGAGTAAAGACTAATATATTCCACAATGGGGAATTTGAACCATATGTAATACATCCTCATTTTTATTCATCCATTCAGATGCAAAGAAAACAATGGGGAATTTGAACATACGATTGCCTGACCAAAATCTCAACAGCCATCTTGATTTCAGAATTGGCCTTTTCATATTTAAGTATTTCAGTGTTTGTGGATTGAACGACCCATTTCAACAGCATTGATGTTTTTTTGTGTATCGGTTTGTAACCCATATCGACAGAGTTTTTTGTATTCCAGGGTTCATCAGTTGGTATAAAAATTGAATACCCTCTAGTAAACTAACAAACAACTATTGAAAATTGCCCATTTATAGTTGATTTACCCATTAAACATGGTGATTTTCCATAGTTATATATAATTATATATATTTATACATATCTGAGATATCTGTTTGCTGCTTTCAAACATGAATTTTATTTTCCATTTCATATGTGGGATGTCATCCGGAACCCATTGACGAAGCAGCATATGATCTCCATCCGTTTAGTTGGATGTATCCTCCATAAATCCATCCTCCATTAGCCCAGTTACCCTCTGGTAAACGTTTACAAAAACTATGGAAAGATCCACCATGCTATTAATGGGAAAATCCACTATTTCGACTGGGCCATTTTCAATAGCGATGTTAGTTTACCAGAGGGTATAGTTTTTTTAACCAACAGAAACCTATCGAACTTGGAGCTCTATATATATATAATTATATATATATATTGTAAAGCATGTTTTGGGTCTCCAAACGTTTGGAACCCCCAAGAATCTCAGGGTCTATCATTAAAATATGTTACCCTTCTGTAAACATGAGCTCAGTTCGATGTGATTTTCCCCACGATTATATAATAGATGATTTTCCTGTATTTTCCTGGGGGTTCTCCATGTTATCCATGGGTTTTCCGAGGGTTTCCCCAGGGTTTTCCCCGGAAAAATCTCAAACTTTTCGTGGCTCATTTCATACGTCGAGGACACAAGAGTTGACCCGTGAGCACTCGATGAAGATGGCCGCACTTTGGGCTGGATGGTTGGTCGATGGCGTTGCCATAGAGGAAGCTGAAACATATGCCATAATAATCCATAATATATAAATATATATATATGTATATAATTATAGATATATTTATATACAATAGTTTGTTTCCATTCATACCCCATATATATATATTATATATATACACTGTATATGTTGTTTTTGCTCTTTGTGAGGAAGTTCAAGGTATGTACTATACCGTTAGATGGCAACGACACACATAGTACATATTAGTACATTAATATGTATATATATACACATATAAATGAAGCTATCTTTGAGTTTTGGAACGAGAGGACACATCACAAGTCTTGACCGAGCTTCGACACTTTACATAGAGGGGATTGGTGACACTTAGATTGCAATGAAACAGCAAGCTTGACGTGTAAGCATCCATCCAAAATGATGGATAAAGCAACAGGAATGGGAGATTTAAGCGATTTCGCTGATTATTAACCATCAATATTATCATACAGGCTGGTGCCCACCAGCCATGTTTCTTGGTTTACTTTCTGGTTCGATACATCTACCACAAACCCTAGTTCTGTTACTTAAAAAAAGCAAGGTTAGCTATGGGGCACCACCTTATATAATTCAAGGTACTGGTAGAATCATGGCATTTCAGCTACTTGTGGCATGTCCCAATATGTGGTCGTCTCAAAGTTGGGTATGGCCCCCCAACTCCCCACCACAATTTCCCGACGCTCAGGAAATGAAGAGTGAGGCGCAAAGAGAACTGCATACAATTCGGCCTCTGGGACTCAGAACATGAGCAGTGGCTCCAAAAAACACCTCTTGGTTTATGTTATGATGAATTTTGTTTTTTTTTACTACCCTGCTATATATATACCCTTTATAGATTCTTATACTTTTATTGGGGACTGATTCATCCAACTGGGAAATCCTATTAGCTGCTTGGCCCATTGGCCCACTGGCCCCACGGCATCGGAGACGATGGGATTCCGATGGCGATAGGTATCCCATGGCGATACCTGGGCGGAAGATGAATCCCAAGATTTGCCCTTGTCCAATTCATCACCCAGTTATGTTAAATATGGTAAATATGGTAAATAGTGGTAAATACGGATTAAATAGTGGTAAATATGGATTAAATAGTGGTAAATATGTGAAACTCATCACCCAACAATCACCCATGGTAAATAATGGTAAATATACCAGCACCATGGGTTGCATATGGGTATGCAAAGCATTGACATTTGGGACATTTGGGACATTTGGGATCATTTGGGATTGTATTAGCCGATGTACAGTAATCAAGGAATGTCACAAATATTGGGTGACCCATCAATAGGGAAACTTAGCAGCAGAACATGGTTCGATTTTACCCGCAGAAAAAATATAACGACATGTATGTCCAAATCAAAGTCAATTTGGGGGATGTGTTACCCTCTGGTAAACTAACATAGCTATTGAACATGGCAATTTATAGTGGATTTTTCTATTAAAAATGGTGATTGTCCATAGTTATGTTAGTTTACCAGAGGGTAATTGTGGTTCTAACATCGTTGTAACTATCCAGTTAGGAGGGCACGGCTCTGAGCCATGGCTAAAGATTCCCCATTTTTTGGAGCCGGGAAAAGGCGCTTGCCGGACGGTATTTATGGAGGATGTATAAGTTAAGTGGGGTTTATGAACCAACGAATATGTTCCCAATAACTGGGGCCCCAGCTTGCAGGCCAAATGTGTTTTGCGATGGAGATATGATTGTATCATATTATATCTGATTGGCCATATATATATATATTTATATACATATGAATATATATATATATATTTATATACATATGAATATATATATATATATGTATATATTTATATACATATGAATATATATATACATATATTTATATATACATATGAATATATATATATTTATATACATATGAATATATATATATATATATGATAATATGATATTATTTATATGGATTGTAGTTGGCTTGGCCGATTGGCCTGATATTTGCCCGGAGCCCGGGCCCCCAAAAAAAGGGCCCCGGGCCGGCATTTGGAAGTCCAAAAACCATGGCCTTGGAAGGTTATTTTTGAGCCTTGAGCTGAGTTTCTCCACGTTGGGTTTGCCTCAAAATAGACCACCCCCAAAAATTTGCTGGTTGATTGGTTGATCATCTGGTTACCATATTACCATGGTGTATATAAGTACATAATAATATATATATAATTACATATTACCAGGTAATCATCTATACATATTATATCTGGTTGGTGGTTTGGAACATGACTTTTATTTTTCCATGTGTATATATATATATATATTGGGAATGTCATCATCCCAACTGACGAACTCATATTTTTCAGAGGGGTAGGTATACCACCAACCAGGTGATTTTGCCGATTTTCAGCTACATGTTGCTACATGTTTACAGTGATTTCCTGGAAATGATCCAAGCATACCTGTTATGTTCAACGACCAAGGAATTCAAGCCGGAGCTTGGCCAAAACCATTGCAGAGGAATTGGAGACATCCGACTTCGACCAGGTACGACGTCTCGGAGATGTTGAGATGTGACCCAGATCTGTCTTTGTTTCAAAGCTGTTGGATGTCTTATCTGCTGAAAAAATATGTAGCATTTTCAATCATTTTCATCTAAACGAAGATTAAAAACCATCTCGCACATATCGCTCCCAGTTGCTTTCAGCTTTTCAATGAGCCAGATTCGAAGCGGCACATCAGTTCGTGAAATCAAGAGTTAACTTCAGAATTGAATTCTCCAAGTATAGTAGAGGTCAAAAAAAATCTTTGAGTCATCTGAAGCATATGTAATTAATTGTAATTACATATATACATATAGACATATGTATCATGTCACTATTCGAATGTCTGTGGTGTTTTTTTCTTTGCCCAGCCGGGCCCAGCCACGTTTTTTTATGGAGGCCTTGCGGCGTTCTGGAGATTTAGATCAAAAATCCGCCGAGCTTCTGCACCTCGGCATGCTCGGTGTATCCAAAAAAACCGTTTCTGGTGATCGATTTTTGGATGTTTTTGTTGCCCCAAATGTTGAGACAACGCCAATTTTGGATGGTATTTTTAAGTTGGAAGTTGGGTATATCCAAAATCATATCATGTGGTAGATATCCCATAAATACTACACCCATAGGCTATCCCAACATCCATCAGACAGCGTGGTGGAAGATTACTGGAGTTGGTAAGGGGTTACCCTGGGAGTACATACGGGTACATATTATATTGATTTATATTGTATATGCTGTATTTTTTAGATGTATTTTTATGTATGTTTATGCCTGCGGACCGAAAACCGTTCCCGTAAAACGCACGTTTTTGAATATCGCGATTGTGGGGTGGGGTGGGGTGGGGTGGGGTGGGGGGGGCATGTTAACGTTCCTTGTACTTCGTACATGATATATTGCCATGCTGCTAAGATCTCTGGGATTATTTACTACGTTACATGTTGCTACGCTGCTGCTACGCTGCTGATGGGGTGGTGGGGTGGGGTGGGGTGGTGGGGCATGTTAACGTTCCTTCTACTTTGTCAAAAATGTCACCAGAAACCGGCAGAATCTCAGCTGCCACACTGGCACCATAGATTCTATGTGGAATCTGATGAAGAAGTCAATTCCCAGCAACTTGAGTGCCACAAGTGACCTCTTGATGGTGTATGCTAGAGCTTGGCAATGGAGATGCATTCACAAGAATGCTGACTGCCAGCTGATAACGGTGCATGCGTTGCAGCGATGACGCTGAAAAGCCCAAAAACGCGCCCCAAGTTTTTCCAGGATTTCCAATCATCAAATCAGCACGGCACTGTGGTAAAATCACTATTTTTTTAAAAAAACGTGCGTTTTATGGGCACGGTTTCCGGTCCGGCGGGATGTTTATGTATTTATATGTATTTATATGTATTGTTTATGCATTATTATCAGATATTAGACAATATATACAAGTTTATTTATGTATCTAGCCGTGAGAGTTGGTAGTAAAAGAGCTAAGATTACGTTATACAAGTGCTTAATTTATGTATGAGATGGTTCCTAGACCCTCCTAGTACCCCAAAACATAATTTTTTCCCCATGATTTTTGTTTGTTTCCCCAGTTTCATCCCCAACCTTGAATAGGTAGTTTATTCCTTTGCTGTAGTTGTGTTGCTAAAAATGCGGTTCCATCAGCGGTAACGGATGACATTTTTGTTGACCAAAGATGAACCATGTGGATTTTTGGTGCTACTCCCATGACGGATCCATGGTGCTGGTATATATGCTAACATTTTTATGGGATATATTGATGGTAAATGTTACCATATATAGCAGCACCATGGATCCGTCATGGGATTTGGATGGTCTTAGGGATCTACCAATCATCCAAGGCAGAGTGCGTCCAAGCAGCTGTCTTCTTTGGCTGCTGCTGGCGCTTGATCTTCGCAATTGCCAGCTGCAAAATGTGTGAGTGAACCAAAGATGTGCGTGAAATTTGGGATATGTGTTTAACAGGATGTAACCAACTTCCATCAAGAATATGATCTTTGGCTTTGTCCACAACAGGGGGAAGACGCCAAAAAGGCCATTTTTCACGGGGAACCCAACATGATAAAGTAGCGGATCCATGGGCAAAGAAAATCGACGGCAACCCAACAAGAGTTGGTTCAGTCACTTTCTAGGCGAGACAGCGAGACATCTATCCCTTGATGATCCTGCACAAAGAGTGTTGGCCTTTGGCGTCCACAGTTATGGCCCAACTAACAGTTATAAATGGAAGTATAACTCTTATAACGAAGGTCATATGTCATTATAAGACCATTTATAACTGTTAGTTGGGTCCCAACTGCATGGAATGTACATAATCTGTGACTCTCTCCGGGGCGTCGCCCTAAGGGTTTGCCGAAAAAAAATTGCGCCTGGTGCCCTGGTGCAGTTTCCGGATGACATCCGGGCCGACTAGTGACTAGGTAAATCGCCAAGTTTTCATGATTCGTTGCAGAGGTTTTGTTGACCACATGTGGAGGAAGAATATACGTTCCGTAGAATCCTCCAGGCTCCTTTTCTTTGAACTAAAGACTAAAGTGTTTCAGAAGGAATCTTACACGGCTAAATCAGTCCACATCCACAAGATTTGGGAAACTCTTTCCTGGTCCTTCCTAAAGTTTCTAACCTCCCAACACTGTATCCCTTCGTAGCCACCTGAATATCATGTATCCCCATACAAGCCCCGGCTTAGTTTTGGATTTATAAATTTTCAGGGCCTATCACAGGAAGGCATCAAAATTCATAAACATCGTGTTTTGAAGTATCCCAGGTTCATGTATCGAATGCGTTGTTGAACTCCAATTAAAATTTCATTGACAGTGCCGTCATGGATAAAATGAATAATAAAATCCAGTTTTGTTTTCCTTCAAAATTCCACTCAACATGTGCAAACAAATTCCTGCCATGACACCTAAAAGGTGAAGAAAGGGCCGTTCCTCGTTCCTCGTTCGGCCGTCCTAGGCTGTGTTTGGCTTGGTGCCCCTTGGTCATCCTGCGCGCATGTTGCTCCTACCAACTGGTGCCGGTGGATGTGGTACCTTGGACCAGCACAACCTGGCCATGGCTTGAATCTGGTTGACTATGAATCAAGAAAACATGAGGACTTGAGGAAAAAAAAATAAAAAAACACCATGGGATTCAACCAACTTTTCAACCAAAGATGATCGATGAATTCCAACAAATCCAACGCGCACCGGAGGGATCTCGGATGGATTTCTGGGGATCCCTTGGGTGTCGCCGAGATCACAGACTTGACCATCAAAGCAGATGCCGAATGGGTGAAGAAACGCATGGATGAGGTGTGGCTGGGTTCGGCGGTTTATTGGCGAATATTGGCGATAGATGTGATTTAGATGTTATCTTTCTGTCAATGGGAATTCCAGGATCCTAAATTGGAGGTACTGTACCATATAAGGCCATATTTTGTGGGGATATTCCCTTACATAGGCCTTACATAGGCCTTATATAGGCCCTATATCTGGTAGGTACCTCCAATTTAGGATCCTGGAATGGCCATTGATTCTGTGTGAAATTACTATACGGTTACCGTGTATAGATATATATATATTAAATTATAGTGTATATATATAATTCAGATATATTTGTCCAGTTTTATTTGGATCGTGTTTTTATTCAAGTCTTTCCGAAAGGTTTTGCACTTGTCCACCTTTTGGGTCGAAATGGTGCAGGGTGGTGCCCCTGTTCGTTAGCCAAGTTGGTGAACATAAGTCCAATTTCACTATGGTTTATGGTACGCAAATAACGAACTACTTACTGGGGCTAAAAGGCCCATTTCTAACTGGGGGCACCACCTTGTGCATACTGCTAACGGAATGGACATGGGAAAATATGGGAAAATCGATGGATAATCCATCGAAATTGGGGGTGCAGTTTCGGAGTTTGATCAACCAATGATTCCTTGGTGGCAATGTCACTTTTGGGTGCTCCAAAAAGCCGCCTTGGTCTTGGTGTTGGCATGCGGGTCTGATCATCGGGTAAATAAAGTACCCCAAAATGGCGATTGAAACAGGAACGCTGGTGATTAACCCTTGGTTTTAGGGGCACAGTAGAGACAAACCCATTTAACAAAATGTGGCCTTTTTACAGCATGGTGAATCAGTGACATTTGCCAAGACCCTCTATGAAACATGGCTGGCAAATCCACCATGGTGTTTATAAGTATATATATATAATTACATATTACCAGGTAATCATCTATACATATTATACCTGGTTGGTGGTTTGGAATATTTTTTATTTTTTCCATATATTGGGAATAATCATCCCAACTGACTAGTATTTTTCAGAGGGGTTGAAACCACCAACCAGATATATATATATGCATACATCAGGTAATTATAATGAGTCAGGTTCCAGGTCCCCAAATCTGGTGATATATTAGGGTGGCTTCGAAAAACCGAGCTCTCGAATCACGGTGAATGGTGAATGGGGAATCATCCTCATAGCTGGCTCAACTTATTTCAACATTAGTGAAATATGATTAAAATTGCCCATATCCCATAGGATCCATGTATGGTATATATGCTAACATTTGGGGTATATTGGTGATGAATGTTACCATATATAGCATACATGGATCCTATGGGATATGAATTAATGTATATCATTATATATATATATATATGATCTAATGTTTGATATTTGGGAAACTTATGGGATAACCCCATTGGTCGGGTGTCACTGCTCTCCATTTTCCAATTCCGAAACAGCCGAAGTTTGCTCGTCGCAGGTGATGTATCGCGAGAACTTTGGGGTTCCATTCCTCAGTCTGTTTCAGTGAGTGATTCTCCCAGGGAATACAATGTGGTAATTTGTCACATAGCTATTGAACATATGTCATTTATAATGTGGGTAAAACAATGCCATAAACCACCCCTGACTGGGAATGGTTTATACCACCCATAAAATTGGTGATTTGGGGGATTGTTTTATTATTGTTTTAACCGCATTACTTAATTTCCCCGTTAAGAAGCATCAATTTCCATAGCTATGTTAGTTTACCAGAGGGTAGCCATATCAACCCCATGTAATACTACTTGGTGGTTCATCCCACGAATCGTAAATAGGTTAGTTCACCCTGGTTTTGTTAATGGACTAAGTGGGGTTAATCCACTTGTAGCATCTTATAACGAGCGGGTGAACTAACCCACTTACGATTCCTTTGATGAACCACCAAGTAGGTCAATCTTAGATGGGTAGTTTAATCCTTTGGCCTTTTGGCATGGGATTTTCTTCTAACCGGCAAAGTTGTTTTTCATCTGTTGCAGGGTATCTAAGATTGGCCATGTCATAGTTGTTGGTTATCACTATGGATATAATATTTATATAATTATATATAGTAATATCAATAATCCCATGTTATCCATTGATCCATATTAATCAGTATTAGTCCCATATGATCTTTGTTGGTTACATCTCTCAATTTTCATATCCCAATGATTTTCCCAATTTCAGATTCGCTGCTTGGTGGTCGCTTGGTGATTCGTATGACCGGATCCATATTTGGGGCTTTCCGAACCAAGGGGGGTACCCAATAGCTGGATGGTTCATAGTGGACAATCCGAAAAGAAAATGGATGAGAACTCGGAGTATCCCCATGACTTAGGAAACTTCCATTTATGAGAATATCTGGAATATCTTTGAGGAATACCTCATACTTGAAATGAATAGGAACAACCAAAAAACATCGCTAAAATGGGATTCAACATGGATCAACAAAGGTATACCGAGGTTTGAGATTCACAGACATACACAGAGCTTTGGAGGAACAAACAAAAGATGTACATGTGGTCAACAAAAATGGAATATGCCCGGAATATGCACTTTGGCAATCAAATATGGCTAGCTGGACAATCACCCATTTAGTTCCATGTTTTCTCGAATTAAAATGACAAGTTAGTTCGGGGATTGCCCAGCCATGTTTGATTCCCAGAGGGAAATGCAAAGAATAAATGACAGCAACATATGTGGTGAACCAAGGGCATTGATGTTGGATTTGTCCCGTACAAATATAGCTAAGAAATGCTAAGAATAAGTATAGGGTCTAACGAAAACATCCGCAATCGGATAAGCCAGACAGACTATGATGGGGACCCTTTTCAAAACAAACACATTTTACGGGCAGCGAGACAAAGGGTAGTATGAGACCATGCCAAGCGCCGAAGCATTCTTTTGAGTTGCGATTGTCGACGACTGAATGCCTGGCAAGAGAAATAAGTCTAGGTAAGTTGTGCATTCTGCTTCCAGCAATACAGTGCAAACTTATGTTGTAAAACATGTGTCTTGTTTTGCGTATTTTTAAAATGGTACTTGAGGGTCTAGGTATGTACATACATCAATAGGTACATCCAAAAATATGGGTGGGTTATCATAGATGATCTAGTTTATATGCCTAGTTTGTTTTTTGATGTATCAAATATTACACATACATTCGGTAAGATCATCACCGTTAATGGGCAGACATGGACTGCATATGAGGTTCCTTACACATGCCGAAATGATACAATTGAGCCAGACAATTGGCACGTGTATTACCAATAGGGACGGTAGTATGCCTCTATACACTGATGTAGATATGAGAATCTCAACAGGTGAAGGACAACCAAGATGAACATTTTTTTACAACCTGATGATTGATGAACTTGTGCTTTTCTACTCAACAACCATGAAATCAATGAAAATCCTGTCCAGCCGGGAGCAGTGCTGAGCTCTGGTTGTATCAGCCGGAACAAAAGGGAAGCCAATTGGAGCTACGAATACATAAATTATCTCAATGTATCTCAAGCATATGGATGAGCAACTGATATTCCAAATGCAAACCGGTGGTTCATATTGCAGGATATTACAGCATGAGACAGAAGCTATCCACGGTGACTGAGGAGGGAAGCAGCTTTCCAGCAGCGGCAGGCGGTCGTTTTTGGAGTCGGTCATTAAACCATTTTGCGGAGATATAGCCAACAATGTAATTTTGATTCATTTTGCATGTGTTTCAAAATGGGTTATTTGCAAAGAAAAGTGCAAATTCAATGTGGAGGTTTTCTGAAATGGCGGTACCCCAAACAATCGATTTGGGGGTACCCTATTTTAGGAACCCACCATTTATGAAATTATTCAAAGTTTGCCATCACATTTCCACTGAATGATCTGAATCTCTACCGCAAAAATGGTCAGACTTGTATGGCAATGCGTGGAAGTTAGGGCACTGCACCAGCAGGTAGTAGCTATCAATGGGCCTACGACTACCCCAAAGCAACCTGGATTTGCTTGGTCGGTGATTTTTTAATTTTCCTACAGCTAGACAGTTGATATGAGAATATTTAATCCACTATACATGACGATCTACTGAGTACTACTGTTTTTTCAGGCAACCTCAATCAAATCCCAATTACTAAGTTCTAAGTTGCCCCACTTTATGAATAGATCCAACATGTTCAACCATGGTCTTGATTCAGGAGGACAGACTAATAACCAACCAGAACGGGTGATGAAAATACACGTGTTCAATCAAAAAGACAGTTTTTTAGATGCACAGTTATGAATAATCTTTTCATCCCTCAATTTCTTGGGGTCCTTGGACTCAACCTGGGTGTAAAAAAAATCAGACTCCTGGGTAAGGAGATAGGTAAACATTGCCAGTCAGTAGCAGTCATACCTACAGGTCAGTGGGATATATATGATATAACCCTAGTTATAAGTGGACTAACCGTTTAACCCTACTTCGCCCATCAACAAAACCAGGGTGAACTAACCTACGATTCGTGGGATGAACCACCAAGTAAGTTGCCAAGAATCTCAGTATATTTCCATACGATTTACAATGATGCCTGTTCCCATTACAAGGTGGTGCCCCCCAGTTATGTTTGTTGGTTTATAATCCCATTAACTAGTTCGATATATCACCAACAAAAACCATAGTGAAATTGGAGTTATGTTCACCAACTTTGCTATCGAACGGGGGCACCACGATTTACAATGATGCCTTATAAATGGAGGTTTCTAGCCGGGAAAATCATCTATTTCTATGGGCCATCTATACCATGGCTATGTTAGTCATAACCAGATGGTAACCTCCTATAGGAGGACCATCAACATATATTATACCCCCGGCCTGCTGGGTTGAGGTGATTTGGAATTTCAATGATATTGGCCCGGCCTGGGTTTTCGTTAAAAGTTAAGAGAGCAGTATGTTCCCATGAAAACAATCCAGCTCTCTCATGATTGTATTAACATCCCCAATTATATTCGCAATAGCATTTAATACCATTATTTATTCCTATGATAATCCATTCTGGTTGGTGGTTTGGAACATGAATTTTATTTTTCCATTCAGTTCGGAAGAATAATCCCAATTGACGAACTCATATTTTTCAGAGGGGTAGGTATACCACCAACCAGCATTTATTTATCCCAGTATAGCCCATGATAGAATACCATTCCGAAAGTCGTTTGAGTGTCTAAGAATTCGGATGAGATTCCCATGATATTCCTTTCATGTCCTTATTATATCCTCATGACTAGCAAAAAAGCTGTACGCTGGATGGAAGACATCCTGATCCCGCAAAAAGTTGGCAAGCATTGGCACCTATGAAACACTGGGATTGTAAGGGACTATAAGGGATAAACCAAACTGAATATTGAATATCATGGAAATATCATGGGAATATCATGATATCCTCTGGTAATTTAACAGTTTGCTAGCCGGCTAGCCCATGATGTCATGATCATTCCATTGTCTTCCATTGGATTCCCATGATATCTGTCTACTAATTCATCTATCTATCATCTATCGATCTTCCCACGATTTTCGCATCATTCTGACTACTATTCCAATGATCTTCCAATAATTATGAGTTCCAATTTTCCATCATTGGAACTGATTAAAATAATGATGGAAAATTATTGTTCCAATTAAAAAAATGGAACATTAATATTCCAATTATTTTATTCCAATTATAAAACAATCATTCCAACATGATCTTCCCATTAATTATTGAATTATTGTTTTCCGATTATTCCAGTGAGATGAACCCATGAAAAATATTGAAAAATCCCATGAGATCATGATGAACGTGATTAAAAAAAGACATCATTTCGCCAAGTTCCCATTGTATCATTCTTGGCAATTATTGGCAATGATATTCCAGTTATATACAGTTATATCCAGTTCTCATTATTATTATCTTATTATTCCAATATTTCCAATGTTATAATGATCTCATTGATATATCATTAATATCTCATTATTATATTGTTATGTTCTCATTATTCCAATCACTCAATGATATTCCCATTACCCTCTGGTAAACTAACAGTTTGCCGGGGAAAATCACTATCTTTAATAGGTAAATCAACTATAAATGGGCCATTTTCAATAGCTATGTAACAAATTACCAGAGGGTAATTATAGATGTACCTACCCCAAAGCCTAGTTATAATGATTAACATCTCATATTATCTCATTATTCAAATAATATTCGTAAAATCCAATTAATACAGTTATATTTCCATTATAAGTCAGCTATTCCAAAAATAATCATATTACTAGTCATATTCCAGTTATTCCAGTAATGACAATCATATATATATATATTATTCCCAAAGAAAATGTTCCTTGTAATTCCCATTATTCTCATTAAATTGATACTACTATTATGTGGATTACATTCTAATCATAATTATTTTGATAAATCTACTTGCTACTATTATTTTATTTCATACTATAATTAGCATCTCATATTATCTCATTATTCCAACCCATAGGATCCATGTATGGTATATATATATGCTAACATTTGGGGTATATTGATGGGATCCATGTTACCATAGCATACACGGATCCTGTGGGCTATAATAATACAGTTATATTCTTCACATTAAATGTTCATCATCATTCTCGGCTTCCAGACCGCGCGAGGCCTAGAAGAGCCGGAGGCGGCCTCCTGCAACATCTGGGAGGCCTCCGGATCAGAGGGCCACGATGGAGAAAGCCTCGAAGTTTCGGGGAAGCGAAAAAAAAAAAGGAAGAGATTTGGGATCCATGAATGTTTGGAATTTTGGAATTGGGGTAGATAACTAAAGGTGGATAGAATGGATTGTTTTGGATTGAAAATAGGATATGATAGGAATGATTATGGTAGTCATAACTTATTATGAGAATAGATATCATTAGGAGTAGAATATATATATATATATAGATAGATATTCCAATAGAAATAATATAATTGCATTATATGGGATAGAAATGTATAGAATAGATTTGAACATGTTATATAATGGCGATTATGGTAGTAACTGGTAGTAGAGTTGCGATAATTACCTTAATGGTGATTTGCGGCTTTGTCTTCAATTCTGTGGCATTTTATCCCCAAGATATGGCAAACTTCATGGGGCTTCTGAGGCTTCGAAGTTGGGGTTCGTAGCATGGTGTACCCGATTGACCGCGGTGGAAACTCCCGAAGGTAGCAAAGATGGATAGATCAAACAATAACAAAAGGGATAGTACTGAATAGATTTGATGGAAAAATGGATAAGCCAAGATTTATGGGTATATTATATACCCCAATATTGCTGGTTATTGGGGTATATACAGTAATATAACCAGTTATAATATAACCATCAATATTGAATATAGAGGGATTAATGAAACGGCATCATGATACTAAGTAATGTTAATGATGATAATCATTGGTCATCACAATTTCCCTATCAATTAATGGTCTTTTGGGGTGTATACCGGTAAACCTAATGTTTGATGTTATGCCCATATTGTTGGTTGTATGCTCCATTAAATCTCCATAAATGTCTACTTGGTGGTTCATCCCACTTAGTAAGTAGGTTATAAGTTTCAACCTGGTTATAAACGGGACAAGTAGCGTTACTCCACTTGTAACTAGGGTTATAATCCACTTACGATTCGTGGGACGTGGGATGAACCACCAAGATTTGTAACTTCCAAAAAGATACGCCGAAAAAGCGTTCCCGGATGGCAGTGCGATGATGTTTCCCCCAAAATTTCCAGGCTTCCAACTTGTCTGCATCTTTTTTTGGGGTTTGCTAATGCTAATGGATAAAGTTTAATAAATATTGATAAGGCGGGCCCCCTTAGTAATAATTTGGTTATAAAACCCATTGACTACAATTAAACCTATCAATGTGGTCAATGTTGGTTTTACTTTTCAGTTATAAAACCCATTACCTATGAATTTTAGTTATATATACACTCGATAAACCCAACACTTGGCCATATTATAAGTCAACGTCAATGTAGGGTCTCCACCTTGTTACCAATCTGTCCGTAATGTCAGATACAATAGATACCAACGACTTAAAGCCACTAGGTCATGAACCACTTACCCTATGATATATCCCATGATATCCTAGTAATTCCCTATGACATATCACATAACATATCCAATTTTGATGGTTATATACTCCACTATCTTCCCATGTATATACATACAAATAACTGCAAATATATATTTTGGGGTATAGTTGCACATAGGACATGTGCAAAATAAGATGTAATAATCATATGATCCCTAAAATTTCCCTCCGTGTTGTATGGGTTATATATGTAGGCTACAAACCACATACTATAGCTTATCAACCAGTAAGTGAGATGAGCCTTCCTTGCATATGGGGGATGATGGATGTCACCCAAGCCCACCACACTTGAGACCATTTACCAATTATTTCTATGGCTAGAATTATGGGCTACATGAAATGGGAGAAATACTGATAAGTCGCTGAGAAGTGGTATTTCGATTTTTTTTCGGGCCTCTGACTATCTCTGACTGCATACGTTTCTACCATTTCTTTATATGGATAATGATGTACGTTTTATGATAGCACCATAGTTAGTATTAATACTAATACCATAAAAATACCACCAATCAATGGATTGGTTTAAGGGAAAAGCTACAGGAAACCATAGATTTTCCAATTAAATATGGGGTTTTCCTGTAAATTTTCCCTTAAACCAATCCATTGAAAATACTAATGCCATAAAAAATACCATAGTACTAATACCATAATATGGATAGTAATACCATTAAAATACCTTAAAAATAGCATTAAATACCATTACCATATACTAATACCATAAAAATACCACCAATCATAGAATTGGATGATGGGAAAATTTACAGGAAAGCCCTATATTTGATGGTAAAAACCATGGTTTCCTGTAAATTTTCCCTTAAACCAATCCAGTGAACCAACCAGATTTCTTTAACGTTTACGCACCGCACTTTAGGTGCCGTTGGTGGAGGAGGACGTGCACTTCACCAGCGACTGGCGGTCGCAGCTCGGGACCAAGGTGGGGTCGCCGTGACAAATGGTGACCGTTCACCGCTTCACCAGCAGTTTACCAGGGATTTAATGGGGTTTAATGGGATTTAATAGGATTTTATGGTGATTTAATGGTGATTTAATGGGATCTAATGGTGATTAATGGAGGTTTACCCTCTGGTAATTTAACATAGCTATGGAAAATCACCATTTTTAAGGGGAAAATCCACTATATCTATGGGCCATTTTCAATAGCAAACTGTTAGTTCACCAGCAGTTTGACGATGTTTCACTGAACAAAATAAGTTTCAACAGCAGAACATGTGGTTTTTACCAAGAAACATCTAGTTTTGCGAGCAAGAATTGGTGGTTTTACCAGCGAAAGATGTGGTTCTAGTGGTTTTGCGAGCAAAAAAGTGGCAATGTGGCGGGCAAACATGGTTGGTTTTACCAGCAGACATTGTGGTTTGAGAATTATTGGGCATAGTCAGCTAAGTCCGCTTGTAATTTACAACTCCAAGAATTTGGGTTTATGGATATTCATGGTAGATGTATCTGTATAGTTAGTTGGGGTTATAAACAATACCAACATACCAACTTATAACTTGGGGGCACCACCTTGTAGCATTCCTTATTTGACCATCATGTCATCCGTAACGCTACCAGCATTTCTTGATTTGGGTTGTTGGTTTGGAATCCGATCAACCGTGGGAGATGGTGTGGCATCCCATGTGGTGTTTTACTATATCATTGATGGTCCATTTCATGATGACGTACCTTCAAACATTGCATTATCACAGGGTAAACGATTCTTATCCGGTGGATTTTGGGGTATATAATATACCATATGTTCAGACAAAACCATATCAAACAGCGAAATTGGGAGTTTATGCACCATGACATTCTACATTTTACATGTTTAAAAGCTATATTGATTCCAGTTTTGTTTTTCCCTGCTAAACTAATCCACTGAAAAATCGTGTTTGTTGGATTTTGTTGGTGAAATCATGTGAATTCCATCATGTTTGATTGTCAAATCCCTATATAACCTATATACATCTATATACCCATAATGCCTGGACCCTTCAAATACCCATATAATGGTTAACAATTAAAAAAAGTTTAAAACTATCCCATATACTCCATGTAGTATGGTATACTATGGGTAGGTGTACTTGGCTTCCCCGGAGCATGTTGCAGATCCTTTCCACATCGCCAGATCAGAGATCATCGCAGCGCAAAGATTTGGAGCTGTCGGGGTCATGAGATTCATGTGCTTCTTGGGCAGCCTGGAAATTTTAGGGAAATCTGCAAGGTGGTGCCCCCCATTAACCCTTAATCTATGGAAATCTACGGAAATCTATGGAAATTACAAACTTAATCTGAGTTAGTTTATAACCCCCAATAGTTCGGTATATCTACCATCAACCCAAGTGAAATTGGAGTTCTGTGAACTCCAACTTTGCGAGTCCGAGCTGGGGCACCTTGCGGGGGTATTTTTTCAATGTCATGGTATATTTTTCAAGAGGTACTTGGTGGTTCATCCCAGTGAGTTATATCATGTTATAAGCCGATAAGTGGAGATTGCCCCTACTCCCACTAACAAAACCAGGCTTAGAAGCCACTTACGATTCGTGGGATGAGCCACCAAGTAGCTATCCCTATTGTTGGCCTGAAGTGTGCCTTCGGAATTACTGTATTCTAAGTTGCCCAGAATGATAGAACATGATGTATATGTCCGCGTGTTTTTAGTTTTTGAACATCACACCTGTAAAGCTGTGTCTGTTGGAGATGACAAATAACGTTTTTGTGGCCAGGGTGGACGTAAAAGAAAAGCTGGTTGGTGGTTTGGAACATTTTTTATTTTTCCATATTTTGGGAATTTCATAATCCCAGCTGACTTTAATTCCATCATCTTTCAGAGGGGTTGGTCAACCACCAACCAGAAAACCATCATTTTTCATATAGTAAAACCATAAAACCATCATTTTTCATCGTAACAACCACCATTTTATGGCTTGTCAAAGCTCAGATGACGTCCATTTACCAAACTCCTGTGAAGCATTTCATTCGAACTTGTGGGGATGTTTTGTGGTGATATCATGGGACATACAGAAACCAATGACCTGGAAGACCCACTGTATGGGTAGGGGGTAACTGTTCAAAATGCTGTTTAAGAATTTTAAGTAGCAAGCATTTGAGGATTCAGCAGAAACAATGGGTGAACTGGGTCAAGCTTGGTTAGATACTAAAGAGTACTTTAATCTTTTGCTATCAATGGTAAAATGTACTAACCAGCCAAAGAAAAAAGATGACACAATGTGGCCCCCAGTTATAAGTTGGTTTATAAGCCCCAGTGACTATAGTTATAAGTACCATAAACCATAGTGAAATTGGAGTTATAAACCAACTTAGCTATCGAACGGGGGCCTCACATTGCAGGTATCTAAGGTTCACCCTGTGAATATCTGTGGAAACCATCAAACATAGCTGCGATCTTGCGCCAATGGGGAAATCTGGCGGCGTCTCCGCACTCTCTTCGGGGAAAAAAAATACGGTAATCAACCATGACAATGGACAATTCCATCATTTGGTTCGATGATTTTCCCAGCTTATTAAACCTACAAAAATGTAGGGGATGTTTCATTGCCATGTTTGATTACCAGAGGGTATTTTTGGCATTGTTCAAGAGGGAGACCCAAGGAGTTGAACGCGCAGGGCTGCTTTCCATGGGCTCTCATGGCCCGCTGATTCCTGGGCGCTTGCCTGGGTAGTTCGATACTTTGTCTAACTTGTTCCCATTGACGGGGACACCAACCAGCTCATGTTTTTTTTTGGGGCATGGTATCTAAGATGGCCGAAGATTGCCAATGATCATCCCCAAGCTGCGTCTTCACGCCGGCGCTGGTGAGATGACTGAGCTGTTTCAGCATATGGAGCTTTCCTAGCGTGGAAGGTACCCTCTGGTAAACTAACATTGCTGTTTAATGGGACTTCAAAATGTGATTTAATGGATTATGAATGGGATATACCCTCTGGTAAACTAACTAACAGTTTGCTCTTGAAAATAGCCCAGTCGAAATAGTTGATAACTACCCAGCTATAAAATGGTGGATCTTTCCATAGTGATGTAAACGTTTACCAGAGGGTACCATGAAGTACCCCCCAAATCCATCCATCCATCCGAATCCGAGCATTTTCAATCTTAGCTACTGCCTAGAGTCACCTACATTAGAATACGCTCATGTACGCATATTCAACCACTATAGTATACAATTCACAAGTAATATTCCCATTAGCGACACCCTCCGATAATGGGTACCCCTATAGAAGGATTAGGTCTAGGTAGAGTCATGGCCCATGGCCAAACCTGAGGTTCCAACGACAGGAACCAGAGCCTGAGGACTTTCCGTTGAAGGTCAGGGGTCCCCTGTGGAAACTGGGGGAAATTCGCTGGGGAATATCCGGAATGTCGGACATCAACTGATGAAAGATGGTGAACCCAACAAACTATGCCCAATATAGAGGTTTATGATTCGGGCTTTATCAGAGTAGATGGTTTTGAATGGGTGATTTTCCGGTTAGATGACTGGAGTCCTGATTCCGCTGCTTTTGGATGTGACTTTGGGATGAGTTGGATACATTTGACCCCGGCATAGCTGGGTTATTTTGTTGTGGCTTGTGCTTCCAATGACTGGCCCTACACAGCTAAATGAAATCGGATGAACAAAAAATAGCCATGGCTATTGCATTGGTCACTTAGGATGTCAGATTGTGATTGTCTTGGCAAACTTGGGATGACCCCCCCCATTGATTTCATTATTAAGAACTGTTGAGTCAGTCGTGTCGGATGAGCTCCCGAAATTCTGATGGTGCGAACCATGTTCCAAGCATTTTTGGTCATTTCGGCTGCATATCAAGGGCCTCGTCAGAGAAAGCCATGCCATGTTTTTCCTGTGGCCCGCCGAACGTTGCCATCCCTTGAGGATGATAGAGCCATTGGATTTGGGGAAAAATCTTCGGAGAAAGCTTTAAAGGTTAGAGTTGTGACCCGGCCTGGTAAAAAAAATGTGATTTATTGCTGTTTAATGGGACTTCAAAATGTGATTTAATGGATTATGAATGGGATATACCCTCTGGTAAACATTCACAGTTTGTGACATAGAAAATAGCCCAGTCGAAATAGTTGATAGCTACCCATGAAAAATGGTGGATGTTTCCATAGTGATGTACACGTTTACCAGAGGGTATACTATAGATTGGCTAACTAGATCTGATTAATATACGTATAGTTATAGAACCTAACTAAGTGTCATGAAATCGCACAAAGTGCCCCCCTGTTTCCGAAGCTGTTGGTGAACATAACTCCAATTTCACTCTGGTTCATTAAAATGAGTTATGATCACTGAAATTGGACCAAAATTCAATTTCACTCTGAAATGATGATGGTTTCCATTTTCATCATGGTTTCCCAGGTGGTCCTGGTTTTCACTCTGGTAATGATTACTGTAACCCTCCACCCCTGAAATTTGGGCTGAAAATGACCATCAAATAGGTTAGAAGTACCGATCCCCGATCCCTCTATTTGTTCCAAAACGATATCATGAAAAAGATCTGCTCCGTGAATGACACCTTTACCATTTGGATCAAATGTTGTGTAAATGCTGCTAAACACGCAATGGAACATGGGGGACTGGTTGATGTTGGAAGCGCCCACCTTATGAAAATAATTCTAGCCTTTTTGGGAATGCTCCCAGCAAACGAGTCTCTTTCTCCCTTACCAACCTCAAGCGATCTGCACAACAATTTTTGGATGTAACACGTTAAGAAGGCAAACAAAGGCTCGATCCATAAATGTACTCCCCCGGAGGCCAAAATATAAGTTATGGCAATACATCCGCTATCCATGCAAATCTCTCGGGTTTGTCTGAAAATAGTGCCCCAATCCAGAATATCACAAATGGAGGTGTCCAATCCATGGGGGTACCAAATCATCCAAGTCATTAGACCATGAAAAAAAAAATCGTAAGGAAACCTATGGTGACATTAAGAAAGCCCCAAATCTTTTGGGGAAATGCTTGAAATGACCACCTGCTGAAAATCTCTGCGCCGGGTGACCGAAGAAGAAATGCCAGGTCTGCTTCTCTGAGGAAAGCCAGGTGCCTTGCCACCGGCTCCTGGTGGTTTCAATTTTTGCTGGACTGGTTGAAGGGAACCTCCAAGCTGAAAACCATGGTCTATGAAATATTACCCTCTGGTTATTTAGCATAGCCATGGAAAATGGCCCATTTATAGACGATTTCCCATTAAAACCTCCATTTATGAGGGATTTTCCATGGCTATGTTAAATAACCAGAGGGTAAATGTTCCATCAAACTACGAAAATGAGCTAAGGCCGCGCGGGGCAAAGCCTCCATGTCTACTTAAAAAATGACAACACCGGTTGATCACTGGCCGGTGAGATGCACATCTTTAGCACTGTCGCGGATCCCCCAAGGTGGATCATATCATCTCCGTTCACTCGCTGCCTTTCGACAAGCAATTTCCATCAAAGACACGACTACAGCTGGTTGGTGGTTTGGAACCATGGAATGGATTATGACTTTCATAACCATATCCATATATATATATTTATATTCAGCATAATATATATATGATTATATATGTGTATATATATATTATACATATCCATCCATGGAACCATTCAGTTGGGAATTTCATAACCCCAAGTGACGAAGTCCATGATTTTTCGGGTAGGTTGGTCAACCACCAGACAGGATTCTACCTGGTAGGCTATGGGAAACGCCGGCTGTCATCACCGGAGTCGGGTCCTTATTAAAATCAACTAAGAAAGGTGACTTATCAACCAACTTTTGATGGGGATATAAGGATATGCTGTATATTGATATATTATGATATATCAATATACACATAATTAAGTAAGTAAAATCATTCATGTATACATATCTAGCAACGTGGGATGTATGGTGGGATATCACAGTGTGCAGTTTTCAAAGATTCGTGGTGGATCCCTAGGGTATATGTAAAATTAAAGATATATCATCTCCATGGATTAATACATATGTATATATATATACATAGTCCCCATAACATTGATATTTTATGATTTAATACGAAATATATATATATATATATACATTGTTTACACATAAAACATAGGTCCAGGTGTCACAGGAAGGTTGGACACCTGAGATAAACATCCGGAAGGGGCCAACCACTTCGATATGTGTATGTATATGTATATTTAAGTACTGTTTATATACATATGTATCAGATGTATATGTATATTAATGTATATTATGCATGATAAACCCCAGTTAATCAAAAGTTATAAACCTCAACTGAATGGCCATTTCAAACACATCGCTCTGGCGCGTTTGAACTCTGGACAGGCACAGAAAAAGTTGAAGCTGGATGAATCTGCCAGTGACCTGACCCTGCAACCATGGTTGGTGAGGCACCCGAGCCATAGCTATGCTGACAACCTGTAACTTGCTCAACTCGGATTTATGGGGAATATATATATATATATATAATTATATATACATATTATTATTAGTATTACTATTATTACTATTGTCATTATTATATATATACATATGTTATATATACATATATATATATATATACATATATATGTTATATATATGTTATATATATGTTATATATGTTATATATATATATATGTTATATATATATATATCTTATATATACATGCTATATATATATATATGTATATTATATGTTATATATATATATGGTATATATGTTATATATATGTTATATATATATATATTATGTTTTGTATATGATATATATATATATATGTTATATATATGTTATATATATATGTTATATATATATGTTATATATATATGTTATATATATATATATATATATTATATGGGCAAATTATAAAGAATCATGGTTAGATTGAAGGGAATCATCCCCATAGCTGGCCCAACTTTTCAGATTAGTGGCTTATGATAATTTGCCCACATATATATAATATAGATAGATAGATAGATAGATAGATAGATAGATAGATAGATAGATAGATAGATAGACAGATACATAGATAGATAGATAGATTGATAGATAGACAGATACATAGATAGATAGATAGATAGATAGATAGCTGTAATAATGGAGTTCATAAGCCAACTTGCAACTGAAGGGTGCCTTACCCTGTAGGTGATATTTTCCCTGCAAAAATGGTGGTGATCAAATTCCCAATCCTCCATGTATCGAATAGTTATGGACATTTACCCTCAAATTTCTTGGAGGATCTTCATACGGCTAGCACAACTCGGTGAACTGAGCTCTCCTTCAGCAACTGAGCGGTGAACTGAGTTTATGAATGTCTATGATAAATAGGGTGAAACAAAAAAACACATAGCTGACATAGCTATTTTTGTTTGGCCCCAAGAAGATCCAAGAAGCCTGACTTGTGGTTAGATCACCATGACTTGATATGAATTACCTAGTACCTACCCTCTAGTCATTTAAGCTAGCCATGTAGAATCACCATTTAACTGTTGGTAAATATTTTCACTGTTTAGAGCACCATTTCAGCTAGTCATTTAACTGTAGAATCACCATTCCATGTTTTTTGTTTTACGGTTGTGTTTTTTCCCCCAAGTTACCATCTGGTTATTTAACATAGCCATGGAAAATCACAATTTTTGATAGGTAAACCATCTATTTCTATGGGCCATCTATACCATGGCTATGTTAGTCATAACCAGAGGGTACTTGTTAAATACACATTCCAGCGCTTTCGGATGTTGGGGACGTCCCAGCGGCCACCATGTTAGAGATGATTCACCTGAAATTTTAGTGGTGAGTGCCATCATGTTCGACTACCAGAGGTATATCTGAAGAAACATATACTGTTGGAGACATATATATATATACACATATCTGGGTAAATTATAACGACCTCACTGTGACCGAGCCCTGGAATCATGGTTAGTAAGGGAAATCATCCCCAAATGGCCTTAATTCAGGTTAGTGAATTATTATTATTTACCCATATATATATATATATATGTATATACACATATGTAATATACATTTATCTATCCCTATGCATCCAAACACTGTCTGAGCAGGTACTTAACCCCCTAAATCATACCCAGCACATTTCCTCAGAAAGTACGGCTAGATCCATAGGGTATGTTTATCCATGTTTGTATTCCCAGTGTATCCCTGTTGCTTCTCAAAAACGGTCCCCTGTGAGTATGAAGCAAAATATAACTTGGGTTTCAACAAAAAACAGCACATCAACTTCCAGTTCTAATGGCTATATATATATGTTTTTCATGGCTATAATTTCTAACAGCTATAATTTCAAAATGACGGTGTTTTCCAATGGCTCTAATTTCGAGTTCCAAGGTCAGCTGCGACCATCGACCATCCCCATCGTACCAAGGTCAGGCAAGTCAGGAAGCGAAGAATCGCCTGGCGCAAAAGCTGTCAGGGGCCTCGGTGGCGGTTTCTGGCTGCAGGTTCCAGCAGGTGATTTTGGTGGGTAACCATGGGGATATGGGGATTCCATAAGCCGGGTTTTGAATGGGGCTATTGATATATATATATATATATTATATACATATGTGTGTGGAAGAAGCATCTATCAATCAAAATACCATGAGGATGTACGAAAGTAAGTATGGTTAGGTGGTTTTGATGGGGTAGAACTGTGGTACTCCCCAAAGTTGGGACATACGCCCTGCAACTACAGCGATACGAGTATTTTTTCAGAGTCGGGGTTCAACAGCCCTCACCGGAACGCCTAAGAATCAAAAGTTCATCGTGGTGTTCACCCTGGTTTTGCTAAGATTGTCTAGATTCTAGATTCAAAACGGGAAAAGACATGAAGAAAACTATGATTTTGACGTGTTTCCTGTAATAAGTATACATCTTATATTATGTATACACACATGTATATATATATATACATAATGTGTGTATGATATACAAATATGTGACTGAATTACAGCGAATGCTCGTGCATTCTAATTCAGCATTCCTTGAACTGGAAAATAGATGAAAATAGGCAATTCACTTTACGAAGTCTGGGGTTCCAAAGGGACGGCAATGGGGAGCAGTTGCCACACAACTCGTAGAAGGGATCACCATGAAGACTTGTTTCCGCTGGTAAAATTGGAACAACATTTGCGTTGTTTAGCCAACTTTCATTGAAACATAGAAAGTTGTGAAAAAAATGAATAAATACCACGTAATGACGAGAAAAACATATTGTAATTCGCGAAATGTAAGTTTATGTATGTTTGTAATTGTAGATGTTATGTCATATTTTTGTTGTGCATATGCACATATAGACCAAAACACATGAATGATATTATGAACCAACAATCCTGACTGTTTTGTAGTTTAAATGACTTTTCATGTTACATCTCACCTAAGGGTAAGCTTTCACGAACGCTGAATGGAGGTATGGGAAGCTTATGAGAAGCTGGCTCCCAATAGGCTTAGGCTTGTGGGCCACTCAAATGTGTAGACAAGAGGCCTCCAATTTTGCTATGCTCTTTTTAGGTTGGCTTGAAGTGATATGTTTGTTTTTTTCCACAATCAAAAGGTCTCTTCAGAAACTCAAAGTAGCGCTTGAAATGTTCACTAAGACCTGTTGACCACTGGCATTGCACTCGCATTCCCACGCCAAATGAAACGAGATCCATCAGTGCCCATCAGATTGAGTATGAATAGTCCACTCCTACCAAAAAAAGTGATGTGGCTATGTTTGACCCAGTTCGGAAGGTGAACAATGTCATAAACGAGGCAACAATCTAACCAGGTTTGATGACTTGCCTTTTTCCCGGTTGGCAGGGTATCAAAGGTTGGGCATAATCCCTAAACCACCAAAATAAACCAACATGCGTTTTACCACCAGCAATTTCCTGGCGCTTAGTCGAAAAATGGGGGAATTACCTACATTTTATATAGAAACTATAGAAACTATTAACAATCATCCCATTTACCCATTCCTTACTAAGCGCCAGTTGGCGCCTAAAATCCCCTTTCTCCAGGTCATATCTGGTGGGGTGGCACCTCTGAGGCAACCATATCGTCCGCCCCGTTGGCAGATGGATTGCAAATCGATCGCTTGAAGCTCAGAAGTTGATGTTGAACTCGGTGTTTTATCGCTGCTTCAACAAAACATGGATGGAAACATCCCCAGTTATTTACCACCCAAGAGCGATTTGTTAGTTATTTTAACCAAGCGAGCTATCATAAATCACGTAAACTCATCTAAATTCCCATGAAATCCAACTAATTCCCATCGATTCCCATGAAATTTCCAAGTAAGTCCCATTAATCTCATTAATTATTTCCAAGTAAATCTCATTGATGCCCATTAAATCTCACTGAAGCTTTAGTTCCATTATATGCCAGGAGTTTCTTTTTAGTCCCATTACGTATATAATTCAAATTAAGTCCCATTATATTCCATTAATTCCAGTTAAATCTTGTGAAATCTTATAAGATCTTATTGAATACTATTCAATACCATTAATTCCCAAACAGTTCCATTGAATCCTGTAGAACTCCAAGTAGATTTGAGTCCCATTCAATTCCATGCCAAATCTCGAAGAAAATCGCATTAAATCTCGTCAACTCACAGGATGTTCCCATTAAATCTCATTGAATCTTCAATTCCCATTCATATAAGTCACTAAATCTCATTAATCTATATTAATCTCAGATAATTCTCATTAATTCTCATAAAATCTCATTGAACCTTCAATTCCAGTTAATTCTCCATTTTCCATGGCTCTGTTTTCACTTGGATGGCCCAGAAATTCGCAGGTTGAGACTCTCTTCAACGAGGAAATGGCTGAAAAGGAGCTGAAGGCGAGGATAGCTGAAGACCTCGAAGGGAAGAAATCTGGTTGAAGATTCGGAATTGCATGAACCAAGACCCTTCAAGTACCTTTAGAAACGATCCTATACCCCATGATTTTAAGATCTGTCCATTGTGTCCCAGGGTTTTGGAGGTATTTGGAGGGTCTATGAATATATACTGGTTGGTGGTTTGGAACATGAATTTTATTTTTCCATATTATTGGGAATGTCATCATCCCAACTGACGAACTCATATTTTTCAGAGGGGTAGGTATACCTTCCAACCAGATTTAATAGTTGATTTACCCAGCTAAAAAAATGTGGATCTTTCCATAGTTATGTTAGCCCGTTTACCAGAGGGTATCTCATTATTCCAATAAGATCATTAACTAGCATATCCCATGAAATCCATGAAATCACCATGAAAAATCATCATTAAATCCCATGAAAATCACCATTAAAATATCCTGACTGGACATCTATGGATATCTGATGAGTCGATGACGGATTTGATGAGTTGATACGGGCGGGAAATCCATGGATTTTCTCAGGGCATGGCGGCCACGAAATCGCGAAGTTGGTGAACAGTTTGCCTCTGGTAATGACGTTACGTTTACAGTTTGCGAACTGGAAAGATCCACCATTTTTAATAGGTAAATCACGGTAAATCAACTATTTCTATGACCATTTTTCCATAGCTATGTTGAATTACTAGAGGGTAACCCCCATCTAACTGTACGTAGTTTTTTGAGAACCGTAAAGCCTAGTGATTGTAGTTATGTGAACCCCAACTTAGCTATTGTGGCCGGGGGGTTATAACCCTGGTGAATTCAATGGGATGAGTAGGGGCAATCTCCACTTATAACGAGCGGGTGAACGGGCCCCCACTTACGATTCGTGGGATGAACCACCAAGTGTAATATGGATTACCCTCTGGCAAATTAACATGCTGACCCTGAAAATCACCAAGTTTTTGAGGAAACTCACAAATCTTCCAACCCCAACAACTGCCAGGGTCTATGTTAATTTACCAGAGGGTATATCCCATTATATCCCATTATATCCCATTTAATGGCTATTGATGGCTATTGGTCATCCCTGAGGGTATATAGGATTAACTTAACTAACATGGATTTGCTGGGATGATTTCTTGCTTTTCCAATGGGAAGTTTTTTTTTTGGCTGGTATCCTTAGGCCGAAGATTGGAAAGTTGTATTTTTTCAATATAGTTTGAACAGTTCATTTTCTAATAGTTGATATTGCAACATTTTTTTCGACATGGTTTGTTCTAATAGAACATGATCATATTTATCATGATTGTGGACAACAACGGTGATTAACCCATGATAAATGATAAATGCAGTTATATATATATATATACAATTATGATTTAACTGGAGATATTACAGGGATAACTGGATAGAATGAAGACACTATTTGTTTTTAAACATATTGGACACGGCTTTTCATATTATATAATGTGTTTTGTTTTATTAGTTTTCATAATCTATCTATACTATATCTATAGGTATATTAATACATGTATCTATATATGTACATACTGTATGTAATTAAATTTATATTATGTAGTTTGTCGGGAGCCACGTCTAATTCAGTCAGACACAACTTGAAGACCAGCCATTGCTGGGAACTCATGGTAATTGTTGTACTGCCAAGAAATGGAGGTTCCCGCGTCAGGGGGGTAGCCCGAAAATATGCAAATTATTGCCTATGATCAGTGGGAGAACCAATCGTTTTGGGTACCCATATTTTATGACACCTCCACATGTATATATATATGGGTATGGGTCAATACCTATAGATACATTTTTAGTGGGATGAACATCCATAAATCCCAGCTATTTTGATGTTCACCAGGGGTACCAGGGTTTTGACCAACTGCCATATATCAACATATTTTTGTTTTTGCCAGGTTTAGTGCCACTTTGTTTGAACATTGGGTACCCCATTCCATCCCATGGTTCAAAAGTGGGGTAAAGTACTGAGATAATGAGGGTAGCATACCCAACTTTATGGGTACTTGGAGGGTCTACAATGTGAGGCCCCCGTTCGAGAATGCTAAGTTGGGGTTCACATAACTCAAATTTCACGAACTGGTTTATGGTAGATATGACTATAGTTAATGGGGCTTATAATATGTTATAATGGTTTATAAACCAACTAACATCACTGGGGGGGCCCATCCTTACGAAGTTGTCGGAAGTGGGTCCATCCCGGGTGGTCGTTGGGGCAAACCTCCCACATCTTACCCTTAATGAAATCCCATGGGTTTTCAAAATGCTGGTAAAATGACTCCCAAAATAGAAGGGCTTCTATCCCCTGTTTCTGAGTTCACTCCCATAAATATAAATAAATGAATAAATATATATATATATATCATAAATTGGCTGGTTTACTACCACATTGTATCCGTGATAGAAATTAAAGGGTCAGGTGTATCCAGGGCTGATTATTCCCTTCAGATCATCCATCTAGTCCCAACCATTCACCGAGATAATATAATATAATATAGTATAATATATTATAATATATTATAATATATTATAATATATTATAATATAATATAATATAGTATAATATATTATAATATAATATAACATAGTATAATATATTATAATATAATATAATGTAATATAATATAATATAATGTAATGTAATATAATGTAATATAATACAATATAATATAATATAATATAATATATTGTATATAATATAATGTATTATAATATAATATATAATATATTTTATATAATATATATAAGATAATATATATATATACATAATATATTTTATATAATATAATATATATAATATAATGTATTATAATATAATATATAATATAATATATATAATATAATATATATAATATTATATATATACACGGTATATTTATATATACCATACATTCAATGGGACATGTCTATACAAGTGGGTTATTTCAGACCGAAAGTATACCTACAGGAAAGGCTTCTCCACCGGTTTATCTCACCCCATCTATATTTATATATATAACTGTTATTCGCCACAAATCCAGGTTTGTGAAGTTCCAAAGCAGCATTACCTACTGGAACCGGCGATCCGCTGGGTTTTTTGGGGTGGCCTATGGTGGCCCCTGGCCTTTGGCCAGGTCCTGTACGAGCGGCAAGCCTCATATCGCCCGCCCTGGCGCAGCGGCATTCCCGAACGGGGCAGTGAGGTCTGAGCGACCACTGGTGGCATGAACTCCCTAGGTTTCATGGGAATTCATGGGAATTTGTATCAATTTATGGGATTGAATGGAATTTCACTCAGACTCAGATTTGCTGTTTGCTGGGATTCTTGGTTTTCCCAATGGGAAATCCACTACGTGGGGAATCTATAGGGACCTTATAGGGAATATGTTATGTTTTGGTGCTTCCCTAAGCAAATCCAAGTCTTGATGGTAACATGCATCAACATGGATACGTGGCCGGCTATCTTGCAAAACGTGGGATAAGGGGCATTGTTTTTTCAACCAATGATAATTTTCAAAAATGTACGTTACATAATGTTCTGGGTCAGGCCAGGTAGTTTGATACGAAAACATGTTTTGCCAGAAATGGTGGAACTATAATGCTGAATTTAAAAGTAATCCTTGGCAGGGTATCAGGGTGTCTCATTGGACAAATCACGGCAGTTGGAAGTTGTCTTGTTTTTGGGCGGTGTGGTTGTTGTTGCTGCTGTTGTTATTGGCCACTCATGGACATGATATTTATGGCAAAATTAGGGCAGCAACTGTGACTGTATACAATGACCCTCAAAATACCTGAAACATGGGTCGAAGTACTAACATTTTCAGGTGAATACCATGTTCTGTCCGTGATTATATTTCGCAGAGTCCAGGAAATGGTCTTGTTGTTTCTTACCAATTTGGATATAAGATGAACAAACAAGTTTTGATTATGGATCATATTTTTTTTAGAGCCCCTCAATGGTGAAATGTTATCCGTTCGACGCCATGCTCCGCAGTTGTTGGTTTGTTGGGTCCTGCGTGAACCCCATTTTGTTGCCATGATCTCCATCAACCGTGGGAGAGCCGCTCACCGCATGAAAGCCTGACAGTTGGACGTGGGCAACCGTCAGATAGACTCAGGTGTGCCCTGAGAAGACACCGAGAATAGGTTTGAAGGTTGGGAAATTTCTTACACGTGTGCATTGAATGGGATATATATATATTATGTATATATTATATATATTATATATATATTATATATATATATTATACATATATTAGATATATTATATATATATATATTATATTATATATATTATATATATATATTATATATTATATATATATTACATATATATTATATATATATATGTATATATACATATTATAAATGGGTCGATCTTATCTTGGTGAGATACTTTAATATTTATTTTTTTACTATCAATGGTAACATGTACTAAGCAGCTATATTTTTCGGGTATCTAAGATTCACAATGATAAGTAAATCATGGATAGATACCACTTGCAAATGGGAATACCATCTATAAATTGGATAAAACGTGGAGTATAAAAGGATATACATTATGATATAAATAACTGACCAAGAATGATCAATAATGTGATTTTTGGATAATGTCAGCTTGTCCGAAAATTGGGTCAACCCCAAAATTTCACTGTTGACTCGGTTGAAACATCATATTCCCCATGAACAAATGCCACTTTCACTGCCCCAGTTTCAAAGGCACCCACACGTTGGAAACAAGAACACAACGATGCGTGTACAATCGTGTACACGTTTCAGAAGGTACACATGGAGACAAATGGAAGCTGACATAAGCTGACCAATGGATTAAGGCAAAAAAAACCAAATGGCAAATTTAACGTTGTATACATGGTAGTGAGATGTGATCATCCCAGGAAAACTGTGAAAAAACAGGCCTTGTTGGTAAGTCCCTGATTTGTGAAGTTATTTCATATACTTGGTATCTTGATGGATCATCCCACTTAGTAAGTAGGTCATAACTCTGGTTATAAATGGGCTAAGCAGGGGTAGTCCACTTATAAATGAGGTTGCAACCCAATTACATCACTTACTAACCAAATAAATACAATAACTGGTTTGATCCCATGATCGGCATTTCGCTTTTTCATATCTAAGTAACGTTTTTTTTGTCAGGAACACCTGAGGGAAAACACTAAAAACAGCAGATAACGACCAGGCTTTCGGGTTAAGTCGTCCCCTTCAACAATCCATTGAAAGTCATATATTTAAGATACTTCAATTATATATATATATATAGAATCTGTTGTTTTTCATATTAAAGCAGATATCATTAATCATTACATTTTTTTTTTAATGGTTAAATACCTCTATTTTTCCTTGAATCAATCCATACCTTCCATCTGGTTTTCTTTGGAACTTGGTGCCATCATGACAACTCGGTGTCTGTAGATGCGTGGCTGCGGCCACGGAGCGGACCACGCGGTCTCTGTGGTCTGGTTATGGTGAAAAGCTGCGGAGGGTGGGACCCAGGTTGCCGCCGGATCCTAACTTGGTAACTTGGCAAAGACAGTCTGGAAGTACCCTCTGGTAATTTAACATAGCTATGGAAAATCACCATTTTTGATGGGTAAATCAACTATAAATGGCCATTTTCAATAGTTATGTTAGTTTACCAGAGGGTAGATGATTTTACCGAATTTTACCATAGACAAACCCATCATTTTGCCGTAAAGCACCGTGGACGTTTGGGTCTTTTTAGGACTAAAAAAACCATTCCAAAATTTGGATCATCAACTTTTCGCCGGTTAAATAGAGATGTGAAGAATATTTCATACACTCCAGTAAATCTTGACATATGCGTAGATACAGTAAACCCCACCTTTAAATGTTGTAGATCATTATAGTGGATTTAATTTATAACCATTATGATTGTTAATAACTGTTATTAACCATTTATTTTGGATCCACTATAATGTTATTTTTCAACGGGAAACGGCAACGTGACACTTATTTGGAGGAAATTGCCATGTGTTGATCCTTTTTCCGAAATTCGGGAAAACCTAACGAATGACCATCGGTTGTTTAATAAGCTATTTAAAGAGTTAACGGTTGTAATAATTAAGTTATTTAAAGAGCTAAAGATCTTTTCAAAATGGGTTTCAAGCATTTCATCTGTGGCATTTGTATGTTTTGTATATACAGTCGGATGAGTTTGTTTTTTTTTAATGAGAAAACAACAACAGACATAGCAACAACTCATCAAAAAAACGATTTTGAAGTCAGATCTGTGTAAATTCCAATATCTGAGTTTTACAGCTTGAATCCTCCAATAGCCATAGGATCCATAGTGCTGCTATGGTAACATGGATCCCATCAATATAGCCAATTTGTGTTGGACATTTTATAGTGATTCAATGGTGATTTACTGGGACTTTATAGTGATTTAATGGATTATGAATGGGATATAGCCTCTGGTAATTTGTTACCCCATATTTGTTCGCATATATACCAGCACCATGGATCCTATGGGGTATACAATATACACTATTATCATAGAATCATAGAGTGTTTAGATGTGGTATGTACATATATATATATATATACCTAGTCACCTAGTCCTGACCATTGATTGGAAAAATAACGACAACACATGCAATACATATATATATATATAGACACACACATATATATATATATATCCTATTACCAGAGGCGATCCCATTACCAGAGGCTATATCCCATTTATAATCCATTAAATCACTATAAAGTCCCATTAAATCACCATTGAATCACTATAAAATGTCCAACATAAATGGGGTATATTGATGACCATGGATCCTAGGGGTGAATCCCTCCAGGAGCGTGCGTCGAAGCTCACCAGCCCTGCAGCTATCGTGGAGGCCATGGATCTCCGGAAAATAATCGACGGCCAGGGCTGAAACTTGTCATGACCGTAGGGTGGATTAATCATGGGCTAAAGTAGGGTTACCCTCTGGTAAACTAACAGTTTGCTATTGAAAATGGCCATAGAAATAGTGGATTTACCGATAACAAATGATGATTTTCCATGGTTTTGTTAGTTTACCAGAGGGTAATCATTGTCAATCATAGTTAAAGTAGGCTAGTCATAAGTGGATTAACCATAAATAACAATGTTTAACCATAAATGGGCTAAAGTAGGGTTTTTCATCATGGTTAACCCACTTATGACTGGGATTATAAGCCACGATCCCCGGGATGAACCACCATGCGTAGGAAATCTTAAATCTTCAGGGAATGGTGACAAATGTTCATAGGAAGTACAGATTGAGGATCTAAATCATATTTAAGTCCTAGGTTTGGGATTTTGGGATTGAACATTGCATATATTGACCAGTGAGTACCATGGGAATTCATGGGAATTCATGGGATGGGATAGTATCATTTTTCATGGCTCATTGAACATGGGAACAGATAGGAAAGGATAGGAAATTGGACTTTTTAAATGGCTGCCCCATGTTCAAGCAAACCCAAGTGAGGGTGGCCAGACCTGCAAAAACACGCGAGACCATGATTTACATGGGGTTATCTAAAATGGGGTAACCCCAAATTATTGAAACCTATGACTTTGGAGATCCCCAGTTATAAAAACCCATAATATACGCACATTTTATGGGATGTAACCTCCAGTAATCAAGCGGTGGAATTGAACATCCATCTACAGGGGATTTTCCATTGCCATGTTTGATTACTGGAGGGTACACCCCAAATTTCACATGTACTCCAACAAATGGAGCATCCAGCAGTGATGTCATAAAAATTGGACATGTTCGAGACACCTATTTCCAAGAAAAGATATGTGCGGGTGTAATTGATACATATAGTCATTCCATGTCATTCCCAAATTCAGAAAGATCGAACAGTAAAATCTTCAGGTACGATGTAATTTTTGATGAAATGCCTTCTGGTTGGTGGTTTGGAACATGAATTTTATTTTTCCAGATATTGGGAATCATCATCCCAACTGACGAACTCATATTTTTCAGAGGGGTAGGTATACCACCAACCAGTGTATAAGATGTATAAGTTTACAACCATATTCCCTCTGTTAAATTAACATAACTATGGAAAATCACCATTGTTCATGGGAAAATCCACTATAAATGGGGAAACAAAAATCCATAGCAAACTGTGAATGTTTACCAGAGGGTATATCCCATTCATAATCCATTAAATCACATTTTGAAGTCCCATTAAACAGCAATAAATCACCATTTTTTAAGTTGAGGTTATAACCCAGCTATCAATGGCATAACCCAGCCGGAATGAGGGGTAGGTTGAAACCACCAACCACCCACGAGGCGATGGAACAGGTCATCACGGACTTTCAGGCGCGCTTGATTTTTTTCGAAGAATGATGGTCAATTTTTGAGATGGAAAAATGGTGAAGATTTGGATTTCCTGGAAAAATGATGGGAAAATGATGGCAAAATGATGGAACACATGTATTATTATGGTGAATATAGATGGAATCTCATAGATTTCATGGCGATATCTAGGGCAATCTTAGATGGGTAGAGAATGGTAGAGACTAATCCTTGAGTCTTTTGGTATCAATGGGATCTAATGGGATTATTTACTAATTAACCAGCTAAGAATCTGTTTTTTTGCAGGGTATCTAAGATTGGCCCTGATATTTCATGATATAATGGGAGTATATCCTGGCGGGAATATCTAATGGAATCTCGTGGGTTTAATGGCACATATGGGAAACAAATCGTTTCTTTAATCAACTTGGGTGATGGTTGATGGGTGGTTTATGGTCATTTTGAGCCATTTTTAAAGGGATTAATATAGCAATGATGAGGGCTCCCGTGAAAGAATGATGACCAAGGCACATATGGAGAAAAGTTGTTCTGGCCAACTTGGGTGAGATTTGATTAGGATGTGTTATATTTTCACGAAGAACCATGAACAGCATGTTGTTTGAACCAATTTTTGGTGTGTTGTTTCCTCTTAACATGGAATGTGATAAGGGATCTTCAATGGTGAAATTTAATGCATGTAAAATCTGAATCAACCACTTAGAGATGATAGCAGGGGATTTTGTTACCTAAATGGTGATGATATTGGGTCCATGGTGGTGAATATGGAGGATATGGGTCTTTCTGAACATGGCTTGTTTCACGCAAAAATCTGGAGATATTGTCTTAATGGGATGGGACATATCTCAAACCCCCAGAAAAAAATGCAATTTTGATGGAGAAACACAGAGAAACTGACAATTCATCAACTCAAAATAGGGGCACCCAAGTTTTAAACAATTTTGGATGATGGAATGGCTTTCTGCAGGGTATCTAAGATCACATAAGCTGGGTGATCACCCAATGATGACCACCCCTTTTGAAGAATGATAAACAATACCATACCCATATGCAACCCATGGTGCTGGAATATAAATCCCAACATTTGCCCTTGTCCAATTCATCACCCAGGTATGTAGGGATTCATATACCAGCACCATGGGTTACATATGGGATAGTAAACCCCAAAAAGATGTCGATGTACATGTTTCCAGGATTTTTGTGCCGTGAAAAATGATGTGCTAAAGCACATACCCTCTGGTAATTTAACATAGCTATTGAACATGGCCATAGAAATAGTAGATTTTCATTGGATTTTCCCATTCAAAATGGTGATTGTCCATAGTTATGTTAACGTTTACCAGAGGGTATTCTCCAGGTCTTTGGACCGCTGTTCCATCCCTTTTTCGGTTTGCAGCTAGGATAACTGTGGCACATCTGAAATTGGATGGGTTTAGAACTTATCCAACTGGTAAACATCCAATCTACTTGTAGTCTTTGTTGGTTCAAACAACCATGTTTATTGATCAGAAATCCAGTACATTTCTACCCAAACCCTGGCAGGTTCTCACTATCTTTTATGGATCAAAGTATAGTTATGCAGTAGCTATATCTCGAATTACGGGCTAAAATCTGGAGGTGTCCAACAAAATCCATGCCCCAGTTTTTATCCCAAAAAATCACAGCATTTTGGTATTGAAACCGGTGACGGGGAGGGTTCCCAGGTGCCACCCGAGCGAGAAGATCGTGTCTTGGACCAGACCCGCATCCGTCTGAAGCGCATCGTGGCAGAGGCAGAACGGGACGGTGACCGGAGATGTTTCTTCGGGATTTCAGGGGTGCCGGTACTGTATATAGCTTATATAACTTATTGGGTAATTGGGTATATCTATTCAACTATAACTATTTTTTGGGAATATAATATATATATATATAATAACGTATAACTATGATAATAAGTATGGTACTGACTCCATCCATGAGTTGGGACATAATTCCTATGACATTACGGATATTGAGGGTTCTTGGAGGTTTACCACATTTTTTTCACCCTCCCAGTCATAGATAGAAACGTTGAAAACCTGGAAATTATGGGGGAGCATAATCTCATCCTGGATTTTGTGTTTATCTTTTTGCAGGGAGTTCCTATAGAGTAGAACAAATGGGATTGTAGTATGTTGATGCTATTCAATATTGAGTTGTTGCACTGGGTTTAAGACCAAGCTAACGTTTTAGTGTTTGTTCGTGATGTGTGTGTGTGTCACCGGTATGGAGGCCGAAATCCAGGTAAGGTTGGCAGATAGCCCATTTCAACCGCGTGTTGCTTAATGGAAAAAAGGAGTGTTGGAACCACAAGTTATGGTGGCAAGGCATGGCCCTTGAAAGGTTGCGTGCCGATACCACAGGGATGTGTCAAGTTTCATTATTTTGTTTGTTCCAAGCAAATGTCTCTTAATTAAGTCCACATGTTTGTTGGTTCAACAGCACCACTTTCGTTGGTTATCCTCCGGTAATTTAGCATAGCCATGGAACATGACCCATCTCGCTTGATGATTCACAGGACCTTTTAAACTCAGTTTTAAACATGCTGATTTTCCAGGTCGCACAGTGTTAGTCATGACCAGATGGCAAAGTTATCCAATCATATCCCCATTATATCACCATGGTTCCCAATTAAATCATGTTAAATTCTGTGAAATTATGTTAATTCATGTTATAATGTTAAATTATGTTTAATCATAATAAATTATGTTTAAACACCATTTTCCAAATCATGTTTTTTCTCCAGCAATCACTTCCCTCTCACTTCAACAAAGTCCTCCTCCGATGAAAAAAAAATCGCCATCCAATCCAGTCGAATTTTCGATGTCGCCAGGCGGAAGAAACCATTCGAAAGATGCTGGCTGAAAGCTCCTCCACCCCCTCCATCGATGCGGAACCTCGGCACGAAGCGACGGTTCAGTGATTTCACCATGGGAATGACACAGAAATCTGCGACCGGTGGTTTCAAATAGAAAATGGCCATAGAAATAGTTGATTTACCGATTTACCTATGAAAATATCTGGTTGGTGGTTTGGAACATGAATCTTATTTTCCATTTCATATATGGGATGTCATCCGGAAGCCATTGACGAACTCCATGATTTTTCAGAGGGGTAGGTCAACCACCAACCAGAAATTGATATCAGCTGTATTAGAAATTGATATCAGCTGTATGATATTATTTCATAATTGTATGCTGGGAATAACATGATATCAATGATTTGTAGCTGTATGATTCTGTATGATAGTATGATAGCTGATATTTGATGGCTTTCTGTTGGTTTATAACTTGGATAGCTGTTTGATGATGAATTCTCACTTGGATAGTTGCTAATAGTGTTTTCTTTTATGTCATTGAAATTGGTTTGAGCGGGGATTTTTTTGGGAATGGCACAATTATTTTACTTTTCATACCCCAGCCACGACATTTAACCACATTAAACCACATTTAACCACATTGAACCACCAAAATTTTGATTTGATGCAACCAAGAAGAAAGCTGCGGTTAGATTAACCACGTTGGATTATATCTGGATTATGGAAAACTAGGCTTCATGATAGGTATACGAGATGAAGGATACTATATTACTTATTGCAGGTTCTTGTAGGGGGACCCGATTTGCTTTCCGACGAGTAACTTGGATGGTCACTTCGGGTAGATTTTGAGAAATTGCCATATGGATGGCCATGCAACAGGAACCGATTGAGGACGGAGGTACCGATTCCATATATAAGGCCTATTTTTTAGGCCTAAATTTCAGGGAATATCGACGCAATTCATATGGCCAAAAATATGGTACTAACGTACCTCCATCTGTTGGATCCTGGAATTCACATTGACCATATGGATGTAAATGGCTTTGGTCAAAGATTGTTTCCCAAGTCAGTTTATAACCAATTATGGGATGGATGACCATATTTAGACGATTATATAATCGCATCTTTTGACCATGGCACATATGTTTGAACCCCATGTTTGATGCTTAAAGCCATCAAAACCACTCTTGATTCCCCTTTAATCCCCGTTATATATGTGATGATTAAGAAATCAAACCGGAAATCCTGTGAGGGACAGTACACCCCTACCTGGTTGGTGGTTTGTAACATAGATGACACCCAAAGTATCCCAAAGTCCTGGATACGATACCGAAGTTTTTTTTTTTGTGGCCTTGGTCAACTGTTGAGTTGATGGGGAATACAAATATATATATATAATATAATATAATATAATATAATATGTATATATATATATATATGTAACATTATATAACTATATAATAAGTATTCATTGGCTGAATCTAAAGCAACTTATACCCTCCTGTAAACATGCTGATGTGGAAGACCCACCATTTGTAGATCATGTTTCTAGCACTTCCCCATGGGTAACATCTTTTTATACAAAGTGGTGCCCCTCCAGCCAGAAGTTGGTGAAGTTGGTTTATAAACCAGGGCGACTAGATATATTTACGCCGCAAACCCTAATTATTGGAGTTCTGTTCACCAACTTAGCTAACTATCATATGGTGACTTATTGAGTTATATTCATTTATATTCCATATCCCCATGATATCCGATATTTCCGCTTTAAAGCCCATTGATATGAATGATAAATAACCCATCACCTTGTGTACCGTGGTGCCGACCAAGGTGGCGGCTCGTTTCAAGCGGGACTTCGGACCCGTGGCGAGTGTCGTAGAGGAGGAACTCAAGGTGACTGGGGAGATGGGTCAAATTCTCCTGCAGTTAGGGCCATTGATTCCCTCTGGTTATTTAACATAGCCATGGAAAATGGCCCATTTATAGATGTTTTTGAATGATTTACCTATTAAAAATGGTGATTCTCCATAGCTACGTTAAATAACCAGAGGGTATTCCCTATGGATCCAGCCGTACCTTCTTAGGAAGTATGACCGGGTATCATGGCATGGGGGTTAGCCGGTTAGCCGTTACTGGTGATGTTTCTGGGAGTATACATTTCACGTTATAAATGGGGTGACTTAGTACTTACCCTCTGGTAATTTAACATAGCTATTGAAAATGGCCATTTATAGTGGATTTTCCCATTGAAAATGGTGATTTTCCATAGCTATGTTAGTTTACCAGAGGTTAACTGGTAAAGGGCCGTAACTGTGGGAATTTGGCAATACAACGTTCCCCCTGGAATGATGATGAGTAAGGGGAAGGCATCCCGATATAACGTTGAACAATGGTGGTTTAAGCAACAGTATATAGTGAGAGTTTTTCTTGAATGGGAATAGAATGGTTTAACGGGGATTTGGCATGTTATTATGGATATGATGGTTTAAGAGTTTAAGATACATAAATTACATCTATTATGCATAGATAATCATCTATATTATGGATATTATATCTATATATTATATCTACTAATGGGATACCCTCTGGTAAACTAACATAACCATGGAAAATCACCATTTTTAATGGGACAATCCACTATAAATCACAATTTTCAATAGCTATGTTAAATTACCAGAGGGTACATCTGTATCATGGATGATTTCATGCTATGAGCTAAGCCGGATATCAACGAAATCATCCCCAGGGGATCATGAAAGTTTAAGGACGCGTTTCTGGGATGAAGCACCAGAATTCATTTAGAAGTAATCATGAAAAACAAGTGGTAATAATTAGTAGTCATTAATAGAAGTAATCATGAAAATATAGAATTAATAGCAACACGTAGTAATGATTCTATCATTTTTTACAGTCAATCATCATGCTCATCCAAACATTCAAGATGTATGGGATATTTACCCACAAAACAAGTTTGGAGTATGTACCAACATTTTTTGGGGTGGGGGTAAATGCTGGTCCATTTTCCATAATACATGAGACATGGAGCGTGGGGGAATGATTGATCAACATAATTTTCCGAACACTAATCTTCAATAGATAATGATGTGTCAACAACTATTTTTCAAACGATGGATTGTTGCTGTCATTCCCTATTTTTCAAATGGGTTAACTGACATTTTCAAACATTGTTCCATCAACGATGGACTGTTACTCTCATTTTTTTTCTGTAATTGAATTGAGATTTTCCCTCCAGAAAACCACGATTTTCTTTCATGGACAGATGTCCCTATTTGTAGCCTCTGGTAATTTAACAGTTTGCTATTGAAACTGGCCATAGAAATAGTGGATTTTCCCATGAAACATGGTGGATCTTTCCAGTTCGCAAACTGTTAGCCCGTTTACCAGGCCGGGTAGATGATCCCACAACGAAAAACCTCCATCAATCGCTCGGGGATAAATCGCTGAGCGTTACCGGAGGCGATCGATGAACGGAACATGAAATGGAATGGATGTCATCCCCTAGAAGATCGAACAGAGTCGAATCCTACTGAAATAGTCATGAATTGATTTTTCTACCCTCTGGTAAACTAACATAGCTATTGAAAATGGTGATTTTCTATAGCTATGTAAAATTACCAGAGGGTATCTTTTTGGGGGTTGCTGTACTGTACTCTTTCCAGTCATGCAATGAAATGGTGACTGACCCCAAACATTTATGTGACTCCTCATGATATAACAAGAGCATTTTTTTTACTGACGTTGGTATGATACTCAAATATCCTACGATCTAACCAACAAACAAGATTAAACAACAAAGAACGTAAATGAGAACTACGAAACACAGGCTAAATGGAACTATGTGTGACTATGCACGCATGTTACACTATGCATTTATAACAACATGTCGTCAGCATCTCTTTGTGATCATAGCATATCATAGCCACATCCAGAAATTTGCCGTTAAGAGAAGGGTTGTTGAATTGCAAGCGCTGCAAACACCATCCAGTGCGTCATTAAACTTCAGGATTTTTCTCCACTTTGAATGGTTTCCAACTTCGCAGCCACACAATGATTCAAGGGCGGATATGCCCCTTTTAACATGTGATTTTAAATGGTACAGTAACCAATCCGTAGGAGTTACCTTCTAAAAAACAATGGGTTTGTTGTAACAATTTCCCCATCATTATAGCTCATTGTCGTAAAAAAACATATCATTTATAGAGGATGTTCGGATGTCCCAGCTTGCTATGTCTGATCAGATTGGTAAATCTCAGTTGAACTGTCGTATTTTATGACGGATGGTGATGGAGAATCCCTAACAAAAGTGGATGAGAACTTGAGAACTAGGGGAAAACCTCCATTAATAGGCTATGGATGATTTAATGGGATGTATTAATGGGATTTGATGTCATTTCATAGGAATAATAATTTCGGAATGATCATGATTTTTTGGAGGTACCCCCATGACTTAGGAAACCTCCTGCCCCAACAGGTGGCGCGAATTCGTCGCGTGCAGTTTCTCGAGATGGAACTCGAGGCGGTTTTTGCGGAACGGAGATCTGTCGGAAGGTGATCTGAAAGCGTTGAGGTGGTAATTTTTGTATGGGGACTGAATGGTAAACATAGAAAAACCTATAGAAAATGGTGATTGAATGGGACTTAATGAGATTTAATGTGATTTTTAATGGAATTTCACTGAAAACTTAGATTTGCTGAGCCGCTGGTTTTTTTTCACAAAGGTTCTTCCACCAGGAGGGCTCGTGAGCAACTCCAAGCGATGGCGTTTCCCCCAACCAATTAACCTGTCAGAAGTATTGGATGAGTTGATTGATAGGGATTCCGCGTTCATGGATTGTGATTTTCCGCAATAGATTTGTCATAATTGGTATAATCCCCTGTATTAACCCATCGACAATGGTACTGTATTTATCCATGATATCCTTATATCTTGGGTACCTAACCCACCATGAAACCCCTACAATTATCTATCATGGATGGTTGAATACGCAGTTTCATAACCAACATTAACCAACCGATCATCGTAATTTATCAATTACATGCTCGCTCATATATATATATATGTATATATACATGATAAAACAAATGTTGGTTATGAACTTATGAGTTTATAACCAACAATCTTTTATCATTTGTATCTATCTATGTATATATATATATATATAAATATATCATGTTATATCCCAATATTCTGATGTTTAAAATAAAACAACTAATACACATAATAATAAGTTACTAATCAATCAACACTTGTCTTGTTTGGGGGTTTTACCTGGTCAAAATCATACCACCATCCCCATCATTTGGTAAGGCCAAATGATAGTGAATATTTCACCATCCCCAATAATAACAAACCATCTGTCCATCATTTCCCAAAAACCAGCAATTCATCCATCATCCATCTATCGTCAACCATCCATCGAAAAAACCATATGCTCCATGGTGCTGGTATATTTACCTACATAACTGGGTAATTTTGTGCAGGCAAATGTTGGGATTCATCTTCCAGCATCATGGGTTACGTATGGGTAAGAGTCATTTTTTGTTTAGAACAATTATAACAACCCAATATGGATCATCTATAATCAACCATCATCCATCATTTGGGTGACACTGGCCTTTCCGAACTCAGACTCGATGGTCCCGTCCCTTTGCCGGGCCTTTGCCCCCGCATTCGCGCGCGGCACGACGGTGCGCGGAAACGCGGAAACGGGAGGGGTATGGAGTCGGATCAGATCTGAGCGTTGGATGAGATTTTGGGAAAATCTGCTATAAATGGAGGTCTTAATGTTTTTTTTTTCACAACTTATCTGTGAATGGATGAGTCATGAGCATTCTAGCTTATTTTTTCTATATTTTTCTCAAGGTGTCATATAATGTCATATATATATATTAATACATGGAGGCTTATAGCTGGGAAAATCATCGAACTAAATGGGCGATTTTCCAACAAGCCATGTTTGATGACACAAAGAGAGTATCTGAATTTTGTATATCTATTCATATTTATCCAGAACTTTGGATTTACTAGGTCAACCTTGGTTAGATACTAAAGAGTACTTTTATCTTTGGCTATGAATGGTAAAAGTAGTCCTCACCAGCTCATGTTTATTGGTATATTATGCTCCATGTATGGAATATTTACCAACATTTGCCCTAAAAATCACCCAAATGTAGGTAAATATACCATACGTGGAGCATATGGGTAAGAGTCATCATGTTTAGAACAATTATAACAACCCAATATGGATCATCTATTCTGAAATATGTTGAATCGGCGCAATTTCCCTCACAAGCATCCCCTTTCCGTCACGTCTGAGACGGGGGATGTATCAACCTTTCTATCCTCCGGTGTCATCAAACGTGGTTTGCTGGAAAATTCCATCATAGGTTATGTTTCCAGTTATTAAACTCCATTTACAAGGTATTGAAGTTCATTGCCACGTTTGACAACATCGGGTTGCTAGTCAGGCAAGAGCGGGGACATACCAAGCACCAATCCTAGCCAGTTGAAGATCCGTGGTTCCAATAGAAACAACGTGAAATACCGGAGAATTCGCCATTTTTTGGGTGACGTTGGCATTCTGTTTCAAGTTTGTCTTACTGGTGCTAAACGCAGGGAATGAGGGAATGATCCACTTCATCACTAGTAATAATCATCCCATTCCCCCAGTCCCATCCATTCCCTAGTAAGCACCAGTAAGTTGTTTTCTCAATGACCAACTTCCGTGATTTCAGAACCAAGACGAATCAATGGAATGGAATATCTGTGATGTGACCACTAAGTCACTAAGAAAAATGCTGGATCTTGGTGTCTTATCTTTCTGTTGGCTGTATTTCCTCCTATTTCTATTTTGACTTCACCCACGTGCTCCATGGTGCTGGCACATTATCTACATATTTATGAAAATAAATAGATAAATAGATAACTATATATATATGTACACACATACAGATCATATACACTTATGTACATCCAATATGGCCAACATGGCTTTTCACCATCCCATTGTCAGCATACATATATTTGAAAGCAACATAAGTGAATACATATATACATATGCACATATATATATACATATATGCATATACATATATATATATACATATATATATATATATATGTACATATATATATATATTATAATACACATATGATATAAGTACCCATATCCATGTATGGTACCTATGCTAACATTTGGGATATATGGATGGTAAACGTTACCATATATAACATACATGGATCCTATGGGGTATAAGTTTAGTATTTTACGTTTTTTTTGTTTTTATGGCTACAGTATCCCATATGCTCCATGGTGCTGGAATATGAATCCCAACATGCGCCCGAACAAAATGACCCAGTTATGTAGGTAAATATACCAGCACCATGGGTTGCATATGGGTAGTGGAATATCATCCACATAGTGGAATAATACTCATTATTGATCATGGAATAATGATGGAATAATGGGAGCATATGGGTATATTTAATGGAACATCCTAATATTTTCTATGGATCCAAATACTTCAAGACACTCAACTCCCCAAGTCAAAGCCCAAATCGGTTTTTGGCTGGGGCATCGACGAAGGATCGGGCGTTGGCTGGGTCAAAGCATTGTAGGAATCCATAAGTGGTTGGTGGTTTGGAACATTTTTTATTTTCCATAATTTATGGGATAATCCTTCCCATTGACGAACTCATATTTTTAAAATTGGTTTCTTATGGCCTCAAAGCAGGTCTACAGACTTTCCGTATTTGATACTATCGATGGAATTGATCGCTCCTTATGATAAATCCCCCATCACCCGGTCACAGAATTGGTTTACGGAAAAGTTTTGCTGATCACCGATGTTATGTATGTTTTGAATATCTATGAAACGACCATTCCCTAATGGGTATTATCCTAAGTATTATCCTACCTTATATGTGTTTATATATGTTTATATAATATCTACTATCCCAAAATGTTTCATGAATTTACCAACAGCCAAAAACCCGGAAATTCTGCGACCAACGATCAACTCAAGAAACTCAATCATAGTGTAGCTTTCAAACTCAATAATACAAGGTGGTGCCCCTTAGTTAGCTAACTTGGTTTATGACTCCAATAACTAGGGTGCATGGAGGATATAACTATAGTTACTATTGTTTACTTATAACCAACAACCAAAAACCTGACTCAAGCTGTTTCTTTGGATGAGACTTGCCAAAAAATCGGTGCAAGGTACGAACTCGAGCTTGGCAAGAAGAATCCAAAGGCAGATCCCAATGACCTGGGTGACGTGTCAAAAACGTGGATTTATGTAATTGGGGTTAACATGATTTACCCTCTGGTTATTGAACATAGCCATGGCAAATCACCATTTTTATAGGTAAACCATCTATAAATTCCCATTTCAATAGCTTTTTGTATGTTTACCAAAGGGTAACATGATTTAACTACCATAGTATCGCAATCATCTTATACAAGGTAAGGCCCCCAAACGAAATGGCTAAGTTGAGGCACATATTTGCCTTGGTGAACTGGTGGGTTTATTGGGGATTGCAATATCTGAACCCTGGGGTCATTGCAAGGAGATAGATAACTATTGGCAACTTTAACCTGGCTAATCCTATTTCCCCGCCAATATTACAAAAATGTTGGTTTTATGAGATTATAATGAGATTATAAGATGGTTTTCATGTAATGAAGAATCCCTTCCCCCCAATAGCCTTAAAAGTCGAACCCTGGCTTATGAAATCTCATGAATTTGCTCGTCCTTGGTAGAAATCGCGGGTGGATCGGTTGTCCATCCCGAAGACATTTGTTTTTTTCCCCATGAATCATAGCTGCTTGGTGGTGACTGGAACCATGGAATTTTATGACTTTCCATATAGCTCATATATTGGGAATGTCATGATCCCAACTGACGAACTCCATCATTTTCCAGAGGGGTAGATCAACCACCAACCAGTTACTGTAATCATAGCATTTGGGTAGTTAAATAACAACCTAGCAGCTGATGCTTTCCCGGTGTCAACGGTGTCAACCATTCCCATGTATCCACAGCATTTGGGTGGTATTAGAACTATATATAGACTATAGCCAATCAAAAAGTTCAAAAAACCGGCTTTACCACATCTATGTATCATGTAATTGTGATCCTGCTTCTCAACCTCTTGTTTGAACATCAAGAATGAAGAGACACTGTTCATGTTTTAGGCCTATAGTTTTTTTTTCCTGACATGGACAGAGAAATAGCATGAACCACCAAGCGGGTTTGTGCAAAAATGGATACCTTCATCTTATCCAAGTGTGTTTAGAACATCATTATAGTAATCCCCATACAGATAGAATTATATTGGCAATTCTCCAATATATCAGTGGGATTTTACCCACTTCTATCTTTTTCTGGGAATTGGAATCCTTGGTTTGGAACATTTTTTTCCATATTGGAAATAACAATCCCAACTGACTAATGTTTTTCAGAGGGGTAGGTCAACCACTAACCAGCTATTAAATTCCATGAAAACTCCCATGGTTGATGACCAAAACCATTATAAGACCATTCCCATAGGATCCATGTATGCTATATTTTGTAACATTTACTATCAATATACAGTACCCCAAATGTTAGCATATATACCAGCACCATGCATCCTCTGGGTTATGATACTTGAAGTCCCAATATGTTCCAAATGTATTCAACTGTTGTCCTTGCATATATTGGGAATGTCATCATCCCAACTGACGAACTCCATAATTTTTCAGAGGGCTAGGTCAACCACCAAGCAGTATCACCATTGATCTTCCCATTGGAATGGTTGAACAAATTCGGACGTTTCCATCACCGAAGGGATCTCCACTATGTCCATTCGGTCTATCATTCGGTGATAAAATAGTGGACTATGAGAACCCATATGCAACCCATGGTGCTGGAATATTATTCATCCCAACATTTGCCCAACATAAATCACCCAGTTATGTAGGTAAATATAGCATACATGGAGCATATGGGTAATGGAATATCAACCACATAGTGGAATAATACTCATTATTGATAATGGAATAATCATGGAATAAAATGGAATATTGAATAATTATCATGGAATTATTCCATGATTATTCCATTATTATCACCATGTCCTTTGTTGCTTGAATATTGCCATGCCGCAATGCCCATTGTTGGTTGATAACTTGATGATATTCCCAAAAAAAACATCCTAAAAATGATGATCAAATGATGAAATCCAGTAAAAAATCCATGGAAATCCTATGGTTGGTGAAGTTTTACCATGCTGTTCCCACTGATCCTCCAATGATTCCACGGAATCTCCAGCATTTCGCCAGCTCCAACCGGCGGCAGGTCATCGCTTTCGTCACCGAAGAAGCGCGGCATGCGGCCACGTTGGAGGCGCGTGGCGCCTGAAAATGGTGCCCCCAGTGACACTGAATTTTTCGAACATGGTGACTGGAATTGGAGGTGACCGGATTTTCGGAGAAAGCCTAGAGTCTAGTAGAGTTTAATAGAGTTTAGTAGAGTTTAGTAGAGTTGAGTGAAGTATGGTATGCTAAAAGTTATTGTTTTAAAAGAATACGGCAGATTCACAAATCAGTGACAAGATGTTGAGAATCCAATGATTCATACAGAATGTGTGGTTCAAATGGTAGGGCCATCCTTTAAAAAAGGAATTGTCTGAGAATGTGGGTATAAAATAGGAATGGAATATTACCCATAGGATCCATGGTGCTGCTATATATGGAACCAACAAACATAACTGGGGGGGCTCACATTGCATACAAAGTCTAGTACCATGTTTTGACCACGGCTCATCTGATATCCCATCAGATGATCATAACATATTCACATCCCGGTGATGATTCCGCCCCGATCAATGGAAGGATGCGTAGCTGGGATGTGTTCGCAAGTGAGTTACAAGGTGTTGCCCCATAGTTTACTAAGTTACTCTCTGGTCATCAAACATGGCTGGAATTGTTTCTATGAACCGAGGTTTTAATGGGAAAATTATCTATAAATGGCGGAATTCCAATTGCCACGTTTGAAAAAAAAGAGGGTATGAGCGAAGTTTACAAACCGTCCAAATGGGATAGATACCTTGGTTGATGGAGGTCATCAACCAACTTCTACCGGCGCAAAGCATCAATGGCTAAGCATGGCTAAGCACCAAGACCACGACCATTCATTGCTCCAGGCGATGTTTTCCCAAGTGTAACATCCATTTGGGATTTGTGTTTTCCCTTCAACTTACCTTCTGGTAATTTGTTACAGTTTGCTATTGAAAATGGCCATAGAAATAGTTGATTTACCAATGAAAATAACTGGTTGGTGGTTGCACACATTTTTTATTTTCCATTTCATATATGGGATGTCACCCTTACCATTGACGAACTCCATCATTTTTCCAGATGGTTATTGCACCACCAGCCAGAATTCAAGAAGATGTCCCCAAGATTCGGTGGGTTTTCCGTTGTGGCTTGCATTTCTTGCCACCAAGGCGGATTTCGAGGTGGAATTGTCTGACCTCAGGTTTGGAGATATGGGATTCTTGTTGAGCTTCCCATTGATGACCCCGAATTTGGACAAAACTGCTACCCTCTGGTAAATTAACATAGCCATGGAAAATCACCATTTTTAATAGGTAAACCATCTATAAATGGGCCATTTTCCATGGCTATGTTAGTTTACCAGAGGGTAATTTATCCATGGCTGGAAAACCACCATGAGAGGTAGATCGTATTTCCAAAACTATTGCGAAATTGCTAGAGGGTATATCCTATTGAACATGGCCCAGTCGAAATCGTGGATTTACCCAGCTATAAATGGTGGATCTTTCCATAGATTTTTTGTAAACATTTACCAGAGGGTAAACCTCCATTTTCCTATGGTTTTCCTATGGTTCTACCACTTTTTAATCTAAACGTTTACCAGAGGCTATTCACTGGTGCCTTTTTTTCAGCAAGGACTTGGATCAATGTCATCATTTTTCAGAGGGCTAGGGTAGGTCAACCACCAACCAGTATTTATTTATAATATATATATATATGTGTACGTATAAACGTATACAATATTATACAATAATATACAATATATATATATATACAATCATCCCTTTGCGTTTTTTCGTAGGGAATGTGATGTCCTGAAGCACTGAACTTAGGGATACAGTAAAAAACTTGGACACACCCGTACTCCCATTCATTCTCGCAGAAAATGGTGATATATTGTGATATATTGGTTACTGTAATAGGTGGGGATTCCCAGAACATATCAGAACCGTTATGGCTTTGTCCAAACATGGTACCTCTAAAATCCAATGGTTTCTTAGCACCTGCTCATTAAGAATGCCTATGGTTGGGCATGGCCCATTCTGAAGGATAAAGCTGTATTCCCATTCATGCACAGAGGAACTGGGTGTATTGGTTGAGAGAATCAGAGTATCATGATCAATGCATGACAATGATATTTGTTACCCTCTTGTAACATCATTTATGGATTAATTTTCTGTAAAACTCCATTTCATAGGGGATTTCCATTGCCACGTTTGATTGCCAGAGGGTATTCCAAAGGCACTTATGAGAAAAAACACATCAACCATTTTCAACCCATGAAAATGAGTCGATACTCTCATTTCCAATTGGCGATCAACATGTCTTGGTTTTGCAGGGGTTGGTATACAAATGTCCTGTTTTTTTTGATTTTGAACATCACTTTGAAGTATCTGTTCGAGATTCTACCCTCTGGTAAACTAACATAACTATGATATGGACAATCACCATTTTTCATGGGAAATTTCACATGAAAAATGGTGATGTTCCATAGTTATGTAACAAATTACCAGAGGCTATTCCCCTATTCGTTGGGTGAGGTGAAGAAATAGGACCTTCACCCCATGTTTTGCAAAGATGGATCCGAAAGAAATGGGCAAAGTTCTGTCAGGTGCAAAGTTGCCAATTGACACCATTCTTACTGGTGCTTAGTAGGGAATGGATGGGAATGGGAGAATGGGATGATGATTGATAGTTATTGTGGATCATTCCCTCATTCCCTGCTAAGCACCAGTAAGAAGTATTTCGTTTGTGAATTTTCCAGTAATATATAAGATCGCAACAAGGCGGTGACTCCTACTTATCTAAGTTGGCTTGTAACTAGTATCACTGTTGGTTCAATCTACTTTTATTGAACTAATCCCTTCCCCCCAAAAAAATATTAAAACACTTTGTAGAAAACATGGTTTAGTAGGGGATTTACATTTATCTGGGACCATTTTGGTGGTCTTTTAATATTAGGGAGATGGCATTAGTTAATGAAGGTTACAAAACCGACAAACAGGGGGGGGAGCACATTACTAGAGTCCAAATTATACAGTATTCGGTTCACCCACCTGGTCACAAAATCCGATTACCGTTGTTTTTTTGTGCTGATTGAATCCCATTCTCATTCAAAAAGATATTGGCTACATAACCTTCTCATTTCATTCAAACATGCTAAAAGCCTTAGTGCTGTTGGTTTTCAGTCACCAGTTTTGGCGAAATATGGCTACATCGCCATGTTTTCAGTCAGCAGTTCCCTGAGTTTCTGTGATAAAAACTGATGCCATCTTCAAAAGGGGGGTGGAAACGAAGGTAACCTTGGTCAGGTGGCTCTTTTGGATGGTGAAGCAGCTCTTTTTGTTCTGGGTCAAAAGCTTCAAAACAAGTTGTCAGAGCTGGGTTCCAGGTAGTTATATCATGTTATATCCAGGTGATAGAAAACACTGGAGAATGGAATATAATACCCTCTGGTTATTTACTGGTTGGTGGTTTGAAACATTTTTTATTTTTCCATATATTGGGAATAATCATCCCAACTGACGAACTCCACAATTTTTCAGAGGCGTTGAAACCACCAACCAGTGTTATATCCAATATAGTTAGAACCCATGAATTAGTTATATCCATAAGCCATCATCCATTTAGAATCCAAGTTCTATCATAAGTTCTATCCCAATACCCAGATGCAACCCATGGTGCTGGTATATTTACCTGCATTTGGATGATTTTGGGGGTAAATGTTGATGCATATTCCAGCACCATGGGTTGCATATGGGATATAGTTATAATATGTTATAATATGTTATAGCCCCAATATCCATATGGGTATGGGTCAATACCTATAGATACATTTTTAGTGGGATGAACATCCATTTACCAGCTATTTTGGGGTTCACTAGGTACCAGGGTTTTGACCCATCCCCATATGTTCATTGCCCAAGTTCTGCCGTTTTCCCCTGTCCTTCCTTCAACGTTCGCAGGGCAAAGGTTCGTGACCTCACCCAGAAGCGCATGGAAGCACGTGCGCGATCGCTGATCCAGGTGCGGACGGTCGTAGCGAAAAACATGGCGAAGTGGTTGAAATATGGGGGTTTAGTGTAGAGATGTTCTCAGAGACATTGAAGTACTTAGAATCAGGGATGATGGATATATATATATATATATTGAAGTACTGTAATAATCTTGACGATATATTTTTATACTATCTAATATTGAAGTAATCATACGTAGCCAAGCGTATGTAGAGATATATTGAAGTAAATCGTTTGAGTTAGATGGGTTTACATAGATCAGGTTGGTGGAACCGGGACTTGTAATGTGGGATTAAGGGGATCAACGGAGGATTTAAGCAACGCATGGACTTTTAGGTGATGCCTTATCCAGTGTAAGGATTCATGCAAGGAACCCCAGTTAGCCTAGTTATGCCAAGAAAAACCTGTAGTTTAGTGGCTCCTTCCTGCATTTTATGGTGATAGGGAATGGAATTGGGATATTAGCTATAGCCGACAATATTATATGATTTGGGGGTCTGTCCTATATTCTTCAGTTTTTTTTTTCCCAGGTCTTGGTCCAAGATGAAACATTTTTTTTTTTTTACCAAGTTTATGATCGATGTAATATCTGTAGTTGGGTTGGTTTTTAAACCAACCTATTAGGGGGGGGGTGCTTTTTTGGAAGATTTCAAAGGTTCCAACATGAAATTCCAAAGTTTTGGGGGTCAAAGGGTCAAAGATAGAATCAACACTTGGTACCAACAGAAATGGGTCAATTTGTGGTGACTTGGGGGCAACAGACTATTTGACTATTTGTTCTTATTCCATATAGGATTCTCATGGATTTTCTATTTGAGTCTTTGGAAGATCGAATTTCTGTGGATCCAGTCCTGCGAATTGATCAGTATGAATTAATCCTTGGGCGTTTCGACCAACAGGCAGTGGCAGTAGCTCTTACCCCACTGACCCCATGAAAATGGCGATATTCCAGGGCTATGTCACCGCCATTGCCCACGGCTAGCCGAAATCAGCAGTTTCTTAGGGTCCCCAATGACATCCAATGACTAGGATTAGAGGGCACAGGTACCGGCAGAATCTAGTCCTGCACAGCGCAAATAGCCCAATTTCCCCATGTGGCTTTGATCACGTGAATTGGTGGTCGAAGAGTGTGAATTCAGTGTGAATAGTGCATCTTTATGGATCTTTAGCTCTTGCTGTGGTCATCTCTCCGATTTTGGTTCATGAATATGACCCCCGGGCACATTGATACCTGTCCATCCGAAAATGGTCGCCATTCATGACCAGGGTTGACTTCGATTAAATATGATTAAATAATGTAAGTTTGAGTTATATATGTACTAGCCATACGCCTGCAAAGAAACTGTCTAGACCCTCCAACTACCCACAAAGCAATTGCAAAAGAACTAAGAAATGTAACAATATGGTGTAATATAATATATAATATATATTATATATAATGTTTATGAGGACACTTGGAGGGTCTATGGTAGTCAACCTTTGGATTCTATCTCAATGGTTGGGACCACTGCCAGGACTTTGATGAGAAGCTCGCTGATGCCGCCGCTCAAGTGCAAGAGGCAGATTGGTACTTGCGGCTGCAGTTGAGGTCATAATTTATGGGTATAATATGGTTATCAACACCTATAACTTGGGATATAAGCCGTATAATTCTATAGCTATCTCTAGCTATCTATAGTTATCTATAGTTATCTATAGTTGTATATCAACTCCTTATGTTCCCTGGGGCTTTGCTGCCTTGAACAACCCCGGGAGTGTTGATATTTTGGTGGTCATAGGCCATAGCCTTTTGAAAAGACCATGAATATTGAAACCCATGAGGATGTCAATGTTGTGCCAGTATAATCAATGGTCATTTCAGGAACCGATTGATTGGAGGTACCTACCATATATAAGGCCTATGTAAGGCCTATGTAAGGGAATATCCCATTGATATAAGTCATATTCCAGTTTTGTGGTACAGCCTCGGTGTGTTCTATTGTTTTTCTCTGGAAAAGTCTCATTTTTAACAGTCATCTAACTTCTTTTCTCACTTTTTTACAGGGCTCATCAATCAGGGGTTGCTCAATTGGAGGTTGACCTCAATATGGAAAGTATCGATGCTTAAATCACCACAGATTTGGGGTATGCCATCAGCACAACAGTTATGTGAGATGGTGTCCTAAAATGGTGGACTCCCACAATGAATTTCAATACTCATTCATGGTCTAATTGATAACTTGGATGATTTGGGGTACCATGACTTCGGAAACCTCCATGAGTTATTTCATCCGATTTAAATCAGGGCGTCCACCACCATCACCCTTCACTTTCCTGGCACTTTTCGTTCCACCCGCAGCGTTTCTTTTTTAAAGCCACCGGTGACGCGGCGCGCCTCCCACGGACCCGAATTTATGATGGGCACGGAGCCGTGCGCGACGTTGAAGGCCTTGGTGGAGCACAGTTGGCAAGGCGCGGGGGCGAAAAACAAAGGGGTTACAGCCACTGAAGAAAAGCATGGATGAGGTATATAAATAACTATCGGATACTATTGGTATATCATTACAACATAAGGTATATATGTATTATAACCCACTGAAGATAAGGTTGGTTGTAATGATATATACATATATATATAATTACTATACATAGTGATGGTTAGAATGATATATAGTGTTGGTTATAATGATATATAGTGGTGGTTATCAGTTGTGTACATGTTTGATTGATGATTTTTGTTGGCGTTTGTTGTTCTATTCTATTCTCCTCTGATTCAACATCAGGTGTGTTAGGGGGAGTTAGGCGAATTTTATTAATTTACCCAGAGCAATGCAGACACAATACTTGCTGGTTGGTGGTTTGGAACATGAATTTTATTTTCCCATTCAGTTGGGAATGTCATCATCTCAACTGACGAACTCCATATTTTTTCAGAGGGGTAGGTCAACCACCAACCAGTTTAACATGGCTATGGAAGCCATGGCCCATAGAAACAGATGATGTTCCCAGCTATAAACCTCCATTTAGAATGGATTTTCCAGTTCGCTAATTATGTTAAATAACCAGATGGTCCTGATACTATGTTATTTATCATCCTCCTCGACTCGTCATCCTGAAGAACGCTTGAAGGTGGGGTCCCGAAATGTCACGATGGCAACAGTTACGTTGCCAATTTATTCGTCCCATAAGTAGTAGATTTGCAGTGGTTTATGGTAGATAATGCTAGATATCTTGAATATTGATGAATGTTGTAGTTTCATTGATATATATATATATAATATACATATATATATATGTATCTACAGCTAAGGTGCTTTCTAAGTACAAGAACTATTTATGGTAGATATTTCGAACCAGTTCATGGCATAGGAGTCTATAAATTTCCCAAACATCGGGCCGGCAGCGTTTCGACGATAGCCTCGAGGTCTGGCGCGGTCGACACGTAGAGCCTTGAGAAATGCCTCCTGGTTGATCTTGAGCCACAGGTGGGAATATCTTATCTGGGTAAATGCTGCACCTCACTATAATCATGGGATCATCCCCAAGATAGCCTTATTTCAGCTTAGTGAATTATTATTTACCCAGATCTTATATTCATATAATTTCATGGCAATTTAATGGTGATTGTGACATATTCATGGGAATTTAAGACTATTTAATGGTGATTGTGACCGCGCCGTGTTCTTTCAATGCAAAAAAACAGGTGATAGAAAAAAACTGGAGAATGGACAGAATGGAATATAATACCCTCTGGTTATTTACTGGTTGGTGGTTTGGAACATTTTTTATTTTTCCATATATTGGGAATAATCATCCCAACTGACGAACTCCATAATTTTTTAGAGGGGTAAGTCAACCACCAACCAGTTTAACATAGCCAATAGCTATGGAAGCCATGGCCCATAGCAACAGATGATGTTCCCAGCGAACTAAACCTCCATTTAGAATGGATTTTCCAGTTCGCTATGTTACCCTCTGGTTAACTAACATAGCTATTGAACATGGCCATAGACATAGTGAGTTTTCCCATTAAAAATGGGTGGATCTTTCCATAGTTTTTTGTTAGCCCGTTTACCAGAGGTTAAACCTCCATTAATCACCATTAGATCCCATTAAACCACCATAAAATCCCATTAAATCACCATTAATCACCACCATTTATAGTTGATTATAAAACTATATCCAGTATGACTTCACTGGATGGAATCGCTGGGAATATCCGATTTTTTTCGTAGATCTAAGTCCCAGGTGTGTTTGGCTTCATCCCATAGACCAAATTTGATTATAGCAGTTCATAGATTATAAGGGGGTTGGTCAGCAAATTTTAATGGGGACTATATATATATAGCCAATTTAACTGAGAGCTGAGAGTGCGCAACATACCAATTTTATCAGATTCTGATTCATAGTGGGAGTCGGAGTTCTACTATTTACCCTCCGGCCTCTGGTAAAACAGCACTGTGTTTAATAAGAAAGTCAGATATAGTTGAACCAATTTCATAGCTATATTTTAAATTGCCAGAGGGTAGTTTCTTAGTTTATTGGGGATTTGGGAGTGACTGCTCTTAAACAAGATCACATGTCGCATGCTGGTATTTAACCTGGTATCATTTTGTGTCTTCGACACCATTTCATATTGCATTTTACATGATTCTGTGTCAACCTGGTGCAATCAACCCTCGCAGCGCGTTTCCTTTTCACTTCAATTTGCCGAGCTCAGACTTCAAATCTGTCTTGGCCGGTAGATGGTATCGCCAAACAAAGGCATGCACAAAGTATGTATGTTGAGTGCAGTAGAACATGACGTTAGCGTAGCATAAAAACCATCCAAATGACGAGATCCACACCGCGCCACGGTTTCTTCAAGGCGGGTCCCCCGTTGATGATCCAACGATGAACTGTACACCCGAGTTAACCTAGGTGTAAACCAACTTAACCCAATCTACTGTAACCTATTTCATATTTGGATGATATATACGTACACTGTAGAGGTTGAGGACCCCTAGCCGGAATTTTATGAAGGAAAGTACGGAAATATAAAGAATATTCTTTCAGGAACCGTTTTTCATGACTCACCGTTGCTACTTGCGGTTCAACCGCAAGTGTTTTGATTAGATAGCAGTTTTTGGTGGTCAAATGTCATGTTAAATCACAATTCTTGTGGTGGTTAAACCTTGTGAAATCCCTCATCTTGCTGCTATAGACTGCTAGACTCCCAATCTTTCACGCTTGATCTCCAAATCCCCAGGTGTGAAATCCTCATTCCTAGTGGTTAAATCAGTTAAATCCCCATGTGTTGGACATGTTTAAGGCCCCATGTTTGCTGCTTTTTGGACATGTTGGATGGTGAAAAATCCCCCATTCCCATAGGATCCATGGTGCTGCTATATATGGTGCTCCATGGATCCCATCAATATACCAGCACCATGGATCCGTCATGGGACTCTGCTGGTGAACTTGGCGACCTTCGGACCGCCACGGCACTCGGCGACACGGCTTCGCGAAACGAGGCCCCGCAGTTCGCGTGCGAGTCGATGTGGGCCGCGGACTCGTTGATTGGCCGCTGGGCCGTGGTCGAGGTGATCCTGAGGCCGTGGGAGGCAAAGGATTCGAAAGGTTGGGGGCCATAGGGAGAATTATAGCAACCTTAAATGGTTAATGATGGTTACTAATGGTTATATAATGAGGATCAAACTAATTCCATCCACTGGTTCATCATGGTTATTATTAGGATCAAACTAATTCCATCCACTGGTTCATCATTTTCCCCAAATAATGGTTAAATAATGGTTAAATAATGGTTAAATAATGGTTAAATAATGGTTACATAATGGTTAAAATGGGTTAATCTATGGTTAATGATGGTTAATAACCCACCCATTTAGCCAATCTATGGTTAATAATGGTTACTAACTGTTAAAATTGGTTGATAATTGGAATATTGTGGTTAGAACAATGCCATAAACTAGCCATGACTGGGAATGGTAACCATACCACCTATAAAAATGGTGATGACTGGGGGATGGTTTATGAAATTGTTTCCACCACATTAAGCATTTTAAAGGGGATGATCACTGATTATCACAGTTCTTACGGGGAATCCCGTTCTTAACCAGCAGGTATTTCATGGAATGACGGGGATTTTGAACACTGCTCATCAAGTGGGTGACCTGAATGGTTCCCTTCTGGTAAAGCCCAACTTTGTGGGATTCTGTGGGAACGTCAGAAACACAGGAAGTCGGTAGCCCTAGGGTGTGATGGTGGGTATGGAGAGCCAAGAAATGCATGAAGGTAGATGGATTACTATTATGTATAATTACACTAACAATTATATTATATATATATGTATCATATACAGTATATAGATAGATAGATTAGATTAGATTAGATTAGAATAGAATAGATTAGATAGATAGATAGATAGATAGTTCAATGATTCTTTGACGAAGCTTCTTGTTCAGAATGGCACGCCCTGCAAAACATGTCGTTGTTCAGGCCTTGTGTTTGGTCATTCACAGACCATGGCTGTTTCTGCGAGTGTGAGCAACGGGTTTTGCATCGCGAATGCCATGGTGGTAGC